GTCACACACCAGACCACAAGGGTTGATGAGACTTCCAAAAGGACGTACATTTAATTGATAGACCAATATAAATCTTTGGACTTTATGAATTGGAAAGATAGAGTTCTTCAACTGTCGTCAAAGGATATTTCGAACATTATCTGGCAACCGCATGTCCATCAGCTTGTGATCGATGGTTTCCTAAATAAAATGAGTACACACTCGATACATTACAGTGTTAATCCTGGTAGCCTAAGTAGAGAGACAATGTACTTCAGTATGTCTTTTTAGATAACTAGTGAGCTGTTAACCAAAGGAATAAATCGTCAATTTAGAGGTTGACTAATCAGATTAGTGAGTACTAATATTGTTGAGCTAATGCCTCGATTTGGGTACCCGGGTAGTATCCCAGCCCTCACACAAATCGAATAATGTGGCACGTATCAATTTGGTGCCTCCTTTAACCAATGTTTATGTGTTTAAATAAATAAATAGCATGATAATTGATACATCATAGTTATACTCTATCAAAAAATATACAGCTGTGTTGTGGGAAAAATGTGTTCAAACAGTCGTGAAAACAATCTTCAAAAAATTGCCCATTTTCTCAAGCACTTAAATGCACTTATACTTAGATGGAGGTATAAACCTTAATAGCTGTGTTTGAAAATCTGTCGAGTCCTGTATACTATGCTCAACAATCGTCTTAATTGTTTGGGGACTGAGTAACCTACAGACTAATTTTCTTCGAGTGCCTGTGATCTATCATGTCAATTTTACGTCAATGTTTTGCATGTAATCATGTCATTTTATTACACAGAGCTATTCTGTTGGCCAATAATCTTGTCTTTGATTTGAAATCACTCGTAGGCTTATGTCAATAACGGTCTCGTGAATGGTCATCATTCGACCACATTACATTATTGCACATCATCTAACGATTAGGATTCTGTCCTTTCATAAATTTCGTTTACAAAATTATTAACATCGTAACCCACAAGATATATACATAAAAACAAGTTTCTGTTCGTTCAGAAAATAGGTTGGTTTGGTGAAAGCATTTTTAAATAAACATCTAGATTATGACTTAATTTGCTTACTTACGGGGGAAACCACATGTCGGCAAGACATCTATGGTTTATTATGGATGTAAATATTACTATAAGTGGTTGTAAAGCTATGTGAAAACATCAAAGTATTGTAAATTTGTTCACATGAAACTAGTAGCGTCATTGGCTATAGAAAAAATTCTTGGGATGAAAATGGTCACGAAAAATAGTGTAGTCAGTCAAATCAATTGATCGGATTAATAGCTAATTTTATTCAGTCAGTCAGCTACAACGTATGTGCATCGGTCCAAATTGCCATACCTCATTAGTACAACAAGATGAACGCCGGATTCATAGGAGTGCTTAGGTCAAAGGTGGTAATATATAGGAGAAAGATTACATATAAGGATACAGTACAGGAAGAAAGAGTTAGCTCGTAGAAAGAAAGATATGGAGCAATTTTAATCTCTTAGTTTAAGGGAAGACAGGGAGTATATACACCTACGCCATTGTGATCGATTCTGTACCATGTCACCCACAGTCTCCAACCATTGGTTACGAAAGTCACGCGGATCCTAACCAAGTAGTCTGCATCTACCAACATGGCTCAGACTAGAAGTTAGTGACTTCAAGCACTGATGCCACATTTTGGTTTGGCCGCCCCTAACTTTCTTCCAACCATCTCTAACACCAGTTAGCATTGCACGACGTGGTAATCGCTGTTCAGGCATACGTAACACGTGGCCCAACCATCTCAGTCGATGAAGATTCACTACCTCATCAACTGATTTACCATCATTCCCTAATACCCTGCGTCTAACCTCACTGTTACTTACCCGGTGATCCCAGCAGATGCCAGCAATATTTCTAAGGCATCTGTGGTCAAATACTAGTAGCTTACAGGTGTCTTCTACTCTTAAAGGCCATGTTTCGCTGCCATAAATTAAAACAGGACGAACTGCCGCGCAGTATACTCATCCTTTAATTGATAGACGGATATCTCAATTTAACCATAGGTGACGTAAGTTGGCAAAAGCCAAACAAGCTTTTCGAATCCGTGCTGAGATTTCGTCCGATACCAGCCCATTAGGGCTGATCAGATTTCCAAGATAAGTGAAGCTTTCGACGCGTTCGACTACTTCACTTCCTATCCTTAGTTCAGATTTTAATGCAGGCTAGTCCTGATGCAACAACTTGCATTTAGAGGGAGAGAAGCGCATTCCAAACATTCTGGCGTTGTTGTTCAGTGCTATCAAAAGACTCTGCATTTTATCAGCGTCTTCACCAAACAGGACTATATCATCTGCGTATTCTAAGTCGATAAGTGGACCTCCCGGTAGGAGATCAATACCCGAGAATTCAGTCGATGGGAGCGTTATTTCCATCAGTAGGTCTATGATGAAGTTGAACGAAATGGAGAAAGTGGACAGGCTTGACGGACACCACTTGAGGTTGCAAAAGCAGATGACATTTCGCCGTAACCTCTGACTAGTAGTGTTCGAGTAAAGAGCCCTCACAAGATTCACACACTTCTGAGGTACGCCTTTCAATGAAAGACACTGCCACCGAATCTCTCGGCCTACGGAGTCAAATGCTGCTTTTAAGTCGAGAAAGACCACCATTGTCGGACGCCGAAAAGTATTCCTGTGTTCTAGAATCTGACGAATGGTGAATATGTGGTCGATGCAGCCACAACCAGGTCTGAAGCCAGCCTGATTTTCTCGTGTTTGCAGTTCACGAATCTTAGTTAGGCGTTCTATAATTATTGATGCTGGTATTTTAGATGCTATATTAGTCGAACTAATCCCTCTATGGTTATTACAGGATGATTTTGACCCGTTCTTATATATTGGGACAATCAGTGATTGTGACCGTTCAGATGGAATTACGTCCAACTCTCAGATTTCAGCTTGAATATTGGCTAATCCATATGAACCAGCTACTCTTCCTCGTTTCAGATCAGTTATAGCATTTTGAAATTCAGCTAGAGTCGGGGACGTACTTCAATATACAATTCACGCTGTCTGGAAATGGTGGATAGTTGTTGAGTAGCTGAAGGCCAGCTGAACTGCTCTTTAAAGTGTTCCGCCCATCGTTCTCAACGTGTGGGCTGAGAGCAGATAAGAGTGTCGTCTTTTTTCGAAATAGTATCGCTTACACTTGACTTATTAATTCCTGTTTCTTGTATTAGTCTGTAGAGCTGTCTGGCGTTACCTACAGCCGCTGCATTTTCCATCTCTTTTGCTTTCGTTGCCCACCACTGCTCATGATTGTTGTGTTGACTTTTGCTTAAGCTAGATCTGATTTGTTTTCGCTCTTCATCGTGTTCAGAGCCTGATGGGACGAGTTTACGAGAATCCATCAGTGTGATAGACTTGGAAGAAATCCATTGGTTTTATATAACTCTTTGGCTTAAGTCACTAACAGATGTCGCTGCGGTTTCCACAACTGTTTGTATATCTTTCCAAGCAACATCTGAGTCAACCTCGTTTTCAGGACTACTTAAGTGCAACCTCAGTTCTTGAAACCTACTTCCGTATTTCTCATTACTGAATTCAATCCTAATGGGTCTTTTTAGTGTGGCTTTTCTGCGTCCAGTTAGGCACAAGCAGATGCGTGCCCGTATTAGGGTATGGTCGGAGTCCAAGCAGGTATTTCAGAATGGGCGAAAATCTCCTATCGACCCTCTCCAACGATGACTGGTGGCAATATGGTCTATTTGAGTCCATCGCTGGTTTGGTGTAGGGGGTCGCCATGTTAGACGACGTCTCTCCTTATGCTTAACATTTGTGTTTGCTAAAAATAAACAACTGTCTGAGCACAGTTGCTGCAGACGATCACCATTATCTGTTCGCTGTGCCGGAATCCCAAAATACCCACCTAAGTGTCTTTCTGCTTGGTTTAAGCTACCTACATGGGCATTGAATTAAAAAAAATTATTATTATTATCAGCTTTATTCAATATTATATTTTTGGTACAATATAGAATTCTCAGCGTAAAGTATTTCAACAAGTTTCCGTTTCTTTCTTCTTGGTCGGTCCTGGCGATAAATATTGAGTAATCGCCAGTTAGATGTTAGCAGTTAACTAAATGAACATCTGAATAATGTGCATTCTTTCCGTTGTATATTGCCAGCAACCACATTGTCTCTTATTGAGTTTTTTGTAACTTTGACAACGAAAGGTTTTACACTTTTCAGAAACGCAGCAGAATAGGTTATGCGATTAATAAACATAGTGATATATTAAAACAAACAAAAATAGATAACTTGTTGAAATATCTAGATAGCAGGAACAGGTAGCCCAGATGATCAAGCAGGCCGCCCTTGCCAAATCCAAGTCACCTGCTACGAGTACTATGTCTGAACGTTTAGCTTTCTGAAGAAGTTTATTCGGAAATGAGTAGGTCTATATCAACCAAATAAACTTCTTAATTGGAATTTGAGAAATAGAAGACATAGCTTTCGTTTCTCACAGAAGTCCACCATGGTTAAATAAAATCAGTATATTGCAAAAATGTCATTATTTCACTAGATATTACCAACAAGCTCATTTTAATTAGATCACAGTCAAGTTTTTCTTACTTGTTTTTCAGATCATAAGGAAAAGGAAGGATTTCTTAATTGTTCATTGTCTTATCCCTTTTGAAATTTTCTGTTTTCATGTTGGACTTTTATCTGTCTTAAACAAAATTCACTTCCTCCTGTTGTGGTGATTACCGAGAACACAAGCTAACATCTATAAAGGAAAAGAGTCGTAACTCTGGAAACTAAGCATAATAACGAAAATCGACTTTTAAAGAAATTACTTCAGTTGCTACGAAAGATTATTGGTGTTTAGAGTTTTGTTCAGATTGAAGACTGCACCTCTTTGAATGATTTTATCCTGAAATTATTTCAGCCTTTAAGTAACATTCTACATTCGTCGTTAAAATTCGTCCAAATCTTGTTTTAAGGCTGCTGTTAATTTTCAATGGCTCGTACTTGCTCTAATTTTTTTTGGGTGACAAAGAAAAATATTCTGCTTTTTTGGCGTTCGTGGTTCCAGGCTATCTTTGTAATTGTTGTTCCTTTGCTCTTAGTAAGTGTTCTTGTTTTCTTACGTGGAAGGGCAACAAGAGAGGTAGTAAAACAGCCTTTAAATTGGTCTTCCTTTCGTGTAGATAGTGGTTTTTATTTTTCTCATAAATATGTGGCATACGCTCCCAATGATACACTAAATCTCCAACTCATGAACGCGGTTCATATGTATACGAATTTACAACCTTTTGGCTTTAAAACGGAAGATGATGCTATTGCGTTCTTTCAGAGCAATGATGTCAGATCCAAAGAAACATTAGGAGCCGTGATCTTTGATCCTTTTTCCAATTTGAGTGTGGCAAGTTATACCATAAGACTTCGCTCAAAAAATGACTGGTCTACGAGAGTGTTATTCCCAATGTTTTTCAAAGGCGGCCCAAGGTCTAAGGATATTGCAGCGTCTCCTCCAAACTATAAGGAAGAATTTTTAGTTTTACAATATGCTATAGATCGCTCCTTAATCAACATAAATTGCAAAGTGAATGATTCCTCCCAAAAATTGAAGGTCGTATTACAACGAATGCCGTTTCCACCTTATATCAAAGATGAGTTTATAATTATCATCCAAAAGCAACTGGCACTTATGTTGATATTGGGCTTCATTTTCCCAACATTGTATTGCACTCGACTTATCCTGATCGAAAAACAACGAGGAATGAAAGTAAGGTCTAATCTTATATTTTCAGTTGTAGGAAATGTTAAAGCTCCTGGGATTAGGAGAATCAACGTATTGGTTTTCCTGGCTGATTACAAACTTGTTTGTGTTTACTCTCATTAGCCTCTTTCTTAGTATTTTACTCTGTTTCCAATTATCAGGAAATGGCCCTATTTTGGGGCTATCAAATCCATTCCTTATTTTTTTGTCATTGCTCTTATACGGTATCAGTATTTTTACGTTTGGATTTGCTCTTTCTACTTTATTCAACTCTGGTAAGTGTACATAGTTTTCCTTTTGATTTTTATGGTCTGAGAAGTTTCAGTTGCTGTTTTTACAAATTTTCCTGGATGGCTAGTTATAAAAGTAGCATACGACGTAATCACTATTAATAAGATCGATTATATATGGCTTTATAAGCATTTCAAAATTTTATGGTTAAACAATTGAACTCGGGTTTGTCTTGTTTTAGAATGGTGAGTGAAAGATAATTAAGAACTATTTAACCCAACTCGTGCTTTGATTAGAAGAGGAATTGGAGAGATCGTTGTATCATTTTATAAGAGGGGGCTTAGTGATTGAATCAATTGACTTACAATCAATATATGACGATTTCGAATCCCATAACAACTTTCGATAGGTATGTGGTAGCACTAGTTCTCGCACAAAAAGTGTAGATGAAAGCTAATTAAATAACATGTACTTATCCATTGAGTTATATGAATTACCAAATGAACCTTATTCTCTGGATTTTGGTATAATTCAACTCGGTTCTTATAGGTAGACATACGACATAGGTTATATTATGGAACTGCATTTATTCAAATTGCCTGTATATAATAGTCTAAAAAGAGTAATAAATAATAATAAGTTAAAACAAGCAAGACATGTGCAAGTGACAGAAAAATAATTAGAAAGCACCGAAATATTTAAGACTTCGGGAAGAACAAAAGGTAAATAAATCTGTACTACTGTTTTAAATTCGTAACCATAACGTCCATGTATTCCTAAAACCTTCAGGAATTGCCAGCTATTTTTTAATTCATCTAAAAGTTTAAGTGGATTTCCAGACAACCCTTAGATAACTGCTTCTTACTTTTCGAGTATTGACTTGATATATTCGTTTTATTATTATTATTATTATTATTATTATTATTATTATTATTATTATTATTATTAATTTGCACACAAACACTGGTACAAGGGGGCACCGAAGACATATGTGCCACACAATAGCAATGAGGCCAGTAGTTTTTATCATTGATTTGTGTGTTGGCTATGTGTTAGCGGGACATAGACTAGATTAAAGCATGCTCAATGCATGATTGTTTTGGTGCACACTGATTGGCTGATTCTTATCCAATCAGCACTAGTCGATAGTCGGAGAATATTCTGGAATCTTTTTATGTAAAAACTATAAATATACCGACGTTTTCCCCTATTGTGCTTCCTACTGGCTTCTAACTTGCTATTTGGAATATAATCTCTTTCTTGTTCAACCGTGTTCTGATTTGGGGACTTGTCGAGTGAATCGGTGTCCGAGAATACTAAGCAATAGGAATAAGCTGGGTCATTAACTGTAAGAAGAAAGAGAGAGATTATAACACTATGATACTTTCAGGGTGCCCAAACAGAAACAGTTTGTTTACTTTGGGGGTCACACCCAGAGCCTTCGACCTAAAGGTCTGATCTACAAGGCAGTGGAGCGACGTTAGGAGATGCAGTCCCATGGTAGCAGGCGACGAACGATTGGTTCATACGCCATTTGTTCCCTCAGGATCCTGGAGCCCATGTGCACCATTGGTTTAAAATCAAGGTTTTCCAACTCCCTTAGGTGGACTCTCCGTCTCCACTAACCCGGTTAAAGTGCCAGACATTCGCTTTTCGTCTTCTCAGTTTCGTAAACAACACCCCTACTGCGAGAAGGCAATGAGTAGGACTTCCTTGACAGTGGCTGTATACGCGAGGCCATATGAGAGCATTTCTAGGGGGACAGCAGACTCTTTCCACCCTCGACTATACCAGGGCATTCGGAGGCATTCGTAATGTATTTAACTGTTATGCATTATTTTACAAGATACTCAAGTATGGAAGGCCTAGCCGTATATACTAAAAAGTCATAATAAGCTATCAAGTGCTGTTCAACAATCGTTCTTTTTAAGTTGATTTATAAATCAACTTAGTCATTGATTTCGGACCACTTTATTATTGGGATCCAGCTAAGAACTTATCTCCATCCGTACTTTTTATCCTATTAAATAGGTTTCGTCTGCTGAAATAAAACCTTAACCTGTAATACAATATATATATATATATATATATATATATATATATATATATATATATATATATATATATATATATATATATATATATATATATATATATATATTCATGTTATAGTTTTGAAATACTGTTGTTTACTTCCAAGGCTTCATCAAACGACCCATGTAAAAGAATTTGAGTATTAAGTTGTCACTGGTATTTTTATGAAGTTCCTGTGAATTATGAGCATTTACCTAGAGACTGAATCACTACTGAGGAAAACTGTTATATATGTTATATGTTTAACTTACTTGTGCTTGGTATTCAAACCTCAAATCTGACGAAGCATAGTGAGAATATAGAAGTCGGTAATTGGGATTTATTTGACTTCCAAAACAAATCAGATTGATACATGAATACATTCCGTTTACGTTGATTTTACTCACATTTGATGATCAGTTAACAGTTATCACACATAGGATAAACAATAAGAATTACTACAAATTCCAAATTACGAAGTTTACACTGAATCGATGCAAAGAATATTATCTTGAACAAACATACGGAAATAAATCAACGTTATACTGAACAAAATATCACTAAATATAAAGCAGATATTACACTGAGTAATTACCATATTGAATTAAAATTGGGAATAATGTTGAAAGAGATACAAATACGTAATTTAGCCTATTTATCCTGTCATATCAAAATTATCCCACAAAATGTATCATTTTATTTGTCTGCTAATGATTGCCAACGTTTTTGAAATGCCATCATGGCCAAATATGCTTTAATTTAATAGTTGATTAGTGTTTGAAAACACAACGGTCTGGAAAATTCATTACATAAATGCACACAAAAAAGTAATTTAATTTATCTATTTGTTTCTAGTCAATATCATGAAGCCATCTAACGTGTTTAAAATAAGCTTTTTAAACAGTTCACTCTATGTTTACTGTTTAAAATAACAAATATCTTCCTTAATTTTTGCTTACATTATAGCTCATACTGGTGTGGCAATAGTTTGTACAGTTCTGATTGTTATCTCATTACCTTACCCACTTTTGGAACGACATTATAATGAACTAAACATATTCATTAAAATGTTTGCTTGTTTATTACCCAGTTTAGGCATGGGTTTCTTATGCATTTTAATTGGGCAATTCGAGGGCGCAGGTAATATACTCAATTACTTAAAATAATGACGTTTTAATGTTCTGTTTCGTTTTTGAGTTATGATCTATACGCTGAATGTTTCGTCCTTTTTGTTGAAAAGGGCCGATATTAAAACCCAACCGCACTTCTATTTTGGCTACGTTTAATGGAATTATTGCGTCTATTTACAGAGATCAATTCTAATTACTTTTGCAAAACAAATTTTTGATCGACATATCGTGAACCATTCGTTTCACACATCTAGTAGTGCACAGCGACGTCCCCAATTTGTAATTTTATCATGTAATCAGGACTATAGTTATGTTTAACATTCATTTCTTGGAATACACTTTTTATTCTGAGCTGTGATCAAAGGCATCTGAGATGTACATCATGCGAACTTTTCATTATTTCAAGACGGAAACATCAATTGACCATTGTTACCTGTTTTCAACTGACACCATTAAATGTACAAAACCCGGATGCGAGTATATCATAACGGTATTACCGGATGAAAACTATTTTAGTAATGAGTTCTAGTTATTTTTTTATAAGACCCTTTTTATTTCAATGAACTGTTAAACTGCACTTATCTCTTATTACTGTTACATTGTAGGTTTGGGTGTACAATTCTCATCTTATTTCAAACCAGCTTCTCCAGATGACAGTCTATCTATTCATCTCCTCTGCTCAATGTTTATTTTCGATTCTATTGTATTTCTGATACTTACTCATTATATAAGTGCTGTTTGGCCTGGAAAATACGGTATTCCCAAACCATGGTACTTCCCATTTCTCGTAAGCCTTATTTGTCGCTATAAGCAGTATTGTTGTCCTGAATAATATAAAACTAACCACTTTTTTCATTCACTTTATTCACAGTTGTTAATATATAGGTTATTATGATGGATTTGAATGTATCCTACAATTTTGATATTATCGTCAGTATTATTGTGGCCACAAGTTACACCTAGTTTTGAATTATGTCGTGAAAAATTTTTGTTTAATTCAAAAATAATTAAATTTCATGGGAGATTTTAAGTGACTGTTCTATTGCTTTAAAAACGTTACTAAAGCCGCAATGAATCGGCCAACTGATTAAATCACTGCAAAACTTAGCGGCAAACTCAGATCGGTTCACACCTCCATACTTTTAAATTATCTGATTAAACGAAACTGTTAGATATAATAAGAAAAATAAAAGCAAACAAATATGCAGAATAGGATGTTGTTCATTATTTAGAGATAGATAATTAAATGACGCATTTAAACTGTGTTACTGGAGTTTCATTTTCACTTCTTTAGCCTTATGAAGAAATCTAGTCAGAATTTTTAATTCCCAACAATATATAATCCTGTTATCGTAAACCTAACGCTCGACGTTGAACTTATCGACTTGCGAACCTTGAAATTATATAATATACTGCAAACACAAGTTACGAAAACTACTAAATCTACAACCATACTTGCTCTGACCAAATAGTGATGTTTTAATGGTTGAACCACTCAAATTTCTACTACCGTATCTCAGGACCGGGACATCTACTTTGATATGCTCTGCCAGGCAGCATCACTTATCCTCACTCAAAGTGTATTTCAAAATCGCGTGCACACGCTTCTTCTTGGTTACTGAGTTGCATTCAAGTTATTAAGGATAAAATTTTGCGATTTCCTATTGTGAAGCTTTTGGTGATTATGTCAGCTTAGTAGAATTGAATGACGGACATTTCTCGGACTAAAGTGAAAACTAAAAACCACGGATTGACTAGTGTTAAGAACCCTCAGCACTTTATTCTAACCGTAGCTGCTACCTTGACGTGGTGGTGGAGCGTGCCTATCGTGATGATACAACCGAGCTATAGTGGCTAGAACATATTTTCCTTTGAGTCGTATTATGCAAGACAGGTCTGTTGGAGAACAGTAAAACTAAAAGTAACAACTTAAGGTTCGAGAGTGAAGTCGTACTACTGACTTTGGAGATGTGTAACAGCAATAAGATGTTTCTCTCGGACAACCGGCATCTTCAACGACGCTTCCTTCTCACAACGAAACGAACGGGATTAGAAACGATTGACCCTAAAAATGCCATGTCTTACCTTACCCCACGGATTTCCGTCGCCGGCGTTATGACCTTTTGAAGTGCATAGCTAACACATCCAAAACTTACCATAAAAAGGGTGTACGCGACCAACCTCAAGCAGATGTCTCTTGGGCTCTGTGGTCACGCTTCCAGGTCGCTAAGACCTTCATTAATTCAGCTTCTCTTTCAAGTTCCTCAAGAATAAATGTCCTTCCATGGTGTGGGTAACCAAGAAGTGATAACCTTTCTCATATCTCTAACATCTTGTTGATAATCAAATCCCTTCAGCTCTTAATAATACTTTCATCCTCACGACTAACCCTTCTCATTTATCTGCATTGCCACGCGCCACCGATGCTAATGATATTAGTTCACGAAATGTTATTCTTAGTCTCCTGAAACCACGCTCTACACTATATGTTGGGGCTTTTAATGTTCGAACCTTGTGTCAGATAGGACAACAGGCTTCTTTAACTAGGATTCTAAAATCTTGCGCCCTCGATGTATGCTGCATCTCTGAAACGCGCATACAAGATTCAACTATGGTCACTCATCTGACCTCACCTTGTCAATCTAACGAACCGTCTCCTCGTGCTACTTCCTGCGACCTCGCTAGTGTAGGTGTAGCATTAAGTTCTAAAGTAGAACAGGCTCCGTTAGACGAGACCAGTAGATAGTTGCTTGTGCTTTGTTCGATTAAACGGGACAGTAAGAGCTTGGAAAGATAGAGACATACGCCATTAGTTTTTTGTTGTCTCTACCGACGCTCCCACTGATTGTAACGCGAATAAAGTCAAATATGAATTTCATGGGAAGCTGTCCATTCTCCTTCAAAAAGCTAAATGCTCTGATATAGTAATAATGGTAGGTGATTTTGATGCTCAAGTAGATAAGATAAACTAAACCGAACCACACTTGGGCGGATCTTACGGTGTTGCGGCTCAGCGAACAGATGATGGCGACTGTTACAACTATGCTCTGGCAAACACCAACTTTAAACCTAAGGTAAAATATCATCTGTGATGACCTCCACAATCGACTCATCGATGGACTCAACTCGATCATATTTCCATTAGCCGTCGTTGGAGGTGCTCGATAGATGACTTTTCCTTATTTCTGGAGCACATGTTTAGACTCAGACGACGCTCTAGTTCGAGCATCGATTTTTCTGCGTCCTACTGGACTCAACAAAGGCACAACTAAGAAACTCCTTAGAGTTCAACTAAATAATGAAAAAGTTAAGAGTATATTTCAGAAACAACTAAAGAAGAAATTAGTCAACCATAAAAGTGATATCTACCCCAAGGTAGCTTGTCATGATATCCAAAATGCCGTAGAAACAACAGTGATATCTACTGGTAACTTGAACCAAGATGTTAGGAAAAGTCAGTGGATTTCAGCAGTCTACAAAACTAATAGGTACTCAGAAACTCATCCTGTCGGGCTCTGGACATGTGGGGAGTAGAAGCAGCCTAAACATAGACTGATCAAAATCCTACGTAGTGATTGTGAGCAGTAGTAGGCAGTATATGCAGAAGAAACGGAAAAGACAGCAGGATTAGGTAATAGTAGACAACTGTACAGAATTATCAATGAAACGAGTATTAGAAATGCGATTGTTAGTGAACCTACCTCGGAAAAAGAAGGGACTATTGTTCATTATCGATTCAGGAGACTGAAATGATAGGCAGGACACTATAGGAGACAGTCCAAATGGCCTCCAACCACACTTCAGTTACCTGCTGTCTCCAAGAAACATAAATGACAAACTGATGCAAGTCTCCCAACTCCTTGTGAGGTCAAAAAGACTAAGTAACCTGAAACGAGAAAGAAAAGTAAGGCCTGATAGACTAGTTTTGGGAATTTTTAGAATGACAGTTCAGTTTTAGCAGTTAGATTAACTGAAATCTTAGCTAAAATCTAAATGGTCTCGATCGCTGGTCGTTCCAGTTTATAAGAAAAGACTAAATTCCTCTTGTAACAATCACAGAGGAATTAGTTCAACTAATATACTGTCTAAAATATTGGCCTTAATAATACTTCAACGACTAACTAGGGCTCATGAAAACCAAGCTGGTTTCAGACGTGGACGTAATAGACCAAATATTCACCTTTCGGTAAATTCTGGAACACAGACATACATCCCGACGACCGACTATAGTTGGATTCCTTGATCTTGATGTGGCGTTCGACTCAATTGATCATGAGGTTCTATTGCAGCGTCTGTTATTGAAAGGTGTAACAAAGTACATTAACCTCGTACAGGCTTTCTACTCGAACACTTTTGGTCGAGTTGGAGCTTATGGTGAACTGTCGTCAAAATTGGTTATTTGGTTTATGTTCCTCAAGGTTTTCCGCTGTCTTCACTTTTAATTAACTTTGTCATAAACGTTCTCTGATAGATGACACACTCAACCTCTGACTTTTCATGGAGTCAGTCCACCAGGATATTCACTTGTTGACTTAGAATACGCAGATAATAAAGTTCTTTTTGGTGAAAATGCTGACAAAATATAGTCTTCTGACCGTCTTAAACAATAATGCCAGCATGTTTGGGATGTGGTTCTCTCCCTCGAAATGTGAAGTGTTCTTTCAAGATTAGGTTCCGTTATCGCACGAATTAATGACAGAGAGTGAAATAATTGAACTCATCGACCGTTTCATTTATTTTGAGAGTCTCTTCAGTACTGATGATCTGGTGTCTGACGAAATCTCGGCACGGATTCAGAAGGCTCGATCGGCTTTTTTTCACTTTCACCACTTGTTGAGCAGGCGAGATGTCTGTCTTCTATCTAAGGTAGCGAAATTACTGCACAGCAGTTCTTTCCGTTCTACTTTGTGGATGTGAAACATGACCGTTAAGAGTGGAGGATATTCATAGGTTCGACCATAAATGTCTACGAAGCATTACTTGTGCATTTTGAGATCACAGAGTAAGCAATGCTTGGGTTAGAAATAGGGTACTAGGTAAGAATGACAAATTGATTGGTGCGGTAGTAAATCTTCATCAGCTGAGGTGATCAACACGTGTCACGTATGCCGATCCACTGCCTACATCAACGGGTGATGTCCGGTGTAGGAGTATCCTGAAAGGAAGTTGAGGGAGGTCAAAGCAAAACATGGCATCCGTCCACAAAGTCACTGACAATTGGACTTAGCCATGTTAATAAACGTAGACTACTTAGTTAAGATCCGCGTGATTATCGTAACCAATCATTAGGGACTTCGAATGGCATGGCTCAAAATCGTTTGAAATGGCGAAGGTGCATCCATTCTTTGTTTTTCTCTAGACTTAAAGCTCCTTAATTCCTCATAACTTTTTTGTTTTTATTCCGCTAATTTTGTTTTCTTCTAGAATCGTATCTCCAATGCTTAGTCTCTCCTATTACCACTGATAATGTCACTACCTCTAGTATTCTGGGATTTGACCTTACTGCTTCATTTCTGTGCTAATTGAGTATGGCAACTTGAATCAATGTACATACGTACAGGTTCTACGTTGTGACTGAATTGGTTCAAAAGTATGGTTGTTATGTCCTTGTTTTGTCTATTAACTAGTCTGTGCTTAGTATACAGGGAGAGAGAAAGTTGTGTCGTTCTAGTTTACGGCCTTAATTCGGTAGGTTACCTAGTACAACCTTGCAAATGAGCGGTTTTGAAGGCAGACAGAAAAAAACTATCCGACTACCGAGTTATGAATCAATAGGTTGGCAAGCGGAGAGAAAAAGACTTAATTGGTACCGATGTCCGGTTTATTCTTGATTCTATCAACTAATAATACACATATGACCAACAGGACCATTACGCACAAAGGAACGACAATCATATCCAAAATAGAACATCAGGATAGACAAAATGGTATACAAGGGTTACGTTTAGATTACAGTAATTTCTGAGTAGAAAAAATGACAATTTATACACTACATAAAAGTTGATGATTCATAAAATAAAGCAGGCACAAAACAATATTGGTACTTTGCAGGTTTCGAACTAAGCGAGACAGTTTGAAAATGAGTAACTTTCCTTGTTTGCCATTGTTTTTTATCCCTTTCTTTACAAAGAAAGCATTGGATAGGAAACCTCGAGAGCCAACGAGTACATTCCCCTGATTAGTGGGAATATCAAAATGGAACAGTTATGTAGTGTTTTATTGTTTTCAATGATTTTCTCACTATAGTAGCTCATGTGAACAGTTTTGATTGTTTGCTATATTGTTTATGCAATGTTTTTCAGTGTTTATGTAGGCGAAAACTAACTTTCGAAGTCCTGCTTGATAACCCAAAGCCGAATGAGATGACAAGAAATGTAAAAGAAACAACAAGATTACTCTCTTTACCAAATACTGATGGTAGAAATGAAGAGTTGCAAACAAACCAACAAATAAACATTAATAATACTGAGTTTATTCCATCAGATCCATTTCCTGAGAAAAACGAACCTTTACTTGAGCATAATGATGATGGCGATGACACACTTGAACGACTATCTGCACCAAGTTCGGACATGCATGAATATTTCGAAAGCGAACCTATTGGTTTACAAGTTGGGATTGCAATTGATCACTTATGTAAAGTAATTGTAATGCTGTCATAATCATAACATTAATATTTAACATGTACTCAGTATTCTGCACATTGCTTTCAGTTTATCATGACGTTACCAAATGTCCACAATTTACTTGCCGATACCTATGGCTCTTGCTCTACTCGATAAAGTAATACGCATTTATATTTTAACTGTGCTCTTGTATTATAGGCTTGGCTAATCTAAGTAGTTCTCGGGACCACGTGGAAGTGAGGAATAAAGGTGCAGACAAGCTGTTGCTCTCGGGAAAATTATTCATCTAGTCGAGTTCACCGTCTATATATATATATATATATATATATATATATATATATATATATATATATATATATATATATATATTAATTAGACGTATAGCCTTTGATGTATAGCTTCCTATCCGCTCTTATTCTTCTTACTCTTGCATAGTTTGTCGGGTCAACTGTGCATATATTCTAACGCAACTGGGCCAAAGATCATAACGCGTTCCGTGTTGGTTTCTGCTGTATTTCCAAGTCCTGTTTTTGGGCTTGATTCCGATTTCGATAAATTGGTTGTCTTTATTTGTTTAATCATATATCCTCCCGTGCCTAAAACGATTTGACAGCTTGTAGAATATCACACGAATACTATTTATAATTTATGTATTAACATACAAACAGTTTGGGCATTATCTTAATGAACTATGGTGTACATATCAAATACCAATATCCAAAGTATCATTTTCGTTACGTCAACTAAAATAATATTTTCAAAATAAATAACTTTCACTAAATAGTTTGGGAATGACTAGAACCAGAGATGGTTGTCGGTCAGCATTCGGATCCAGAACGTACATTTCTTCCTATCCGGGATTCGTCAGCCAAATGTACTTGCACCTCAAAATTAATGTTTACTCTGGAACTCGAATCCAGTACTGTTCACTTCGGACGCCATTGAGTTGTCCAGATAACTACTGGCATGTGGAATGGGGTGAAGTCTAATTCATTTGTATTGGCTGTTTGAATCTTCAGATTGATGTTGAGGACTGCAATTGATCAGTCTCTGGGATTCAAGTACACCCAGCTGACGAGTCCCAAATAGGACTAAACGTGCATCATGGATTCCATTGCTAGCCACCATCCACCTCTGCTTATAATGCTTGTGACGTAAGACAATATCGAGACAATCCGCACAGGATACATATACGTCATAAAGTGACTGACTGATACCAGTTTTAAACATCAACGAAACCATCCAAACTTCCAATACAAATCAATCAGTTTGAAAATGGTTTTCACCATGGTCTAAATTCAGTTGACAAACAATTCGAAACTGGGATTAATGAAAAGTATCTTCGTCGTAGTTTGAGTCGCATCAGTAATTCTACTTGGAGACTAGAACAGTGATAAAACAATCTCATGAGTACTCGATCTTCAAAGGATCAAGCACCACTCCATCTATCTAGGCTTAGCATTCATAGCTCTCGTTTCATAAATCAATATGCCTTATAAACAAGTAAGCCAAGTTGTTTGTGATAATGGCTGAGTTTCATTTACAAGTAGATTTTATTAGGCTAACATTCCGACTTGAATGAATCTAGACTCACATGCTATAGAAATTATTTCTGTCACTATCATTAATTTATTATCGTTTATTTTGTCATACGGTCTTCCTTTGATTGCTTCTTATTTTATGTACACCATAACCATCCCTTCACTCATACGTTCGCATTCACTTATGTAAACCCTTCAAATCCTGTTCAATTATTACGCAACCCATATATATATATATATATATATATATATATATAAAATTCTGTTAATTCTTTCACATTATATCTTAGTTCAATGTTACCTTTCAATACACATATGATTTAAAGCAATTAATGCCTTTGATAAGTTTCGATAGTGTAATAAGATGAAGATTATCAGAACTATGTGACATTCGCGCAACACACGTATATATGTGATCAGATTGTTCGAAATGTAATGCAATGTAAACTTCTAAATATAATGAATTCACTTTATTCTACATTAATTGTTGTTCTGGCTTTGTTCAAATATAGAAACTTTTTAAAACTCCCATTTTCAGAACAATTGATTATTATTTAGTCCTCCCGAATTTATTCTTTTTCTGTGAAAATTGATGATTAAATCATTTTTCCATAGGTCTATTCTAACAAGCAATCTACGGTTGTTGCTGTGTCTGGTTTAACAATGAACATTTATGAAGGCCAAATAACTGTACTTCTAGGGCATAATGGGGCTGGTAAAACTACGACTCTATCCATACTGACCGGTAAATGATTATGATATAGTGTTTTATTATATTCTGCACTGTTTGTCATTAATCTTTGCTAATCACAGGTAATTATCTCATTTCTGATGCTTCGTAAATTATTGTCATTAGTAATCATTTTTTGAGTTAATGAATATTTTCTAAGTGAACTGCTAATTAATTCAGATCACGTTTAAAAAAAGAGGGGCTATCGACCGATCAAACTTCATGATAAATCTTTACCCCTTTCATTCTTTTTCAAGATTCGATAGGTGGTTAATTGTACTTAGAAGTCACCCATTGAGTTTTAAAGTCGTGTTTTACACACTTCCAACTGCAAATTAGTGCGTTGAATAGAATGAAAATACTGTGAAAGAAGTTAAAACACGCGCTGATGATCTGGCGATGAATTGATGTGCAATCAATAAACTACCAAAATAGGTCATTTTTTTGATAAAAGTGAAAATTTTGTGACAGACCAACCTAGTGATGTAATTATTACCTGAAAAGTTAAAGAAATTACATATATCGGATATGCGACTCCTATGTCTCAGATACAGTTCATATTTAAACAGGAAGATTACCGGTTTCACTAGCTTGGTGTTAATCTGCCTGAACAAAAAAACAGATTTGGCCATTTGGCGAATAATGAATGAATGACGTGTATGTGTTTGCAAATAGGACATTTCACAAGAGTGCGTTATGCATACTAAAATGTTATATCAACATCAGCAATAAATATCAGTTCCCCAATTATTTATTTGTTCTAGTACAAATTATTGTTATAAATGCTTTTGAGATAAATAATTCACACTATATACTACCGATTAGAAATTTAAGTGTTTAGATATCATAGATAAAGTCCCCTTGGTCTAGTGCGTGTTTAATCTCAAGTAGGGTGACATCCCCTCTAGTGTCTGAACCTATGTATAAACTGTATCTTCGGGCCGATCAAGTATTGGTTTATGTCATCAAGGGTACAGTTATGGTGCAGGTTCTTATCAGTTAGCAAACAACTCATTTTCCTACCTCTCAGTGTTCAAAATCTATTATTTATTACCCGTGGATTTTCCACGTACAACCAATCACAGATAAGAGTAAAATCACATTCACTAACTCCTCTTTCACACCTTTATATGGTCAGTTTTTGAGTCCATTGTGGATGGTATTGTACAGTATAATTTAAAGATATTAAAAGATGTCTTCTTACACTACTAACTTCTACTGAAGGACTACTCTTATCTATTCCTGAAGGTAAATTAGCTTTCAAATCTCGTCACTACCAGCAACTACAAAATGATCAGATGAATAGAGCAATGAAAGAATAATGGAAATTGCGATTACTTAATTTATGTTTTATGAGACATTTTCAAATTTTAACCATGTAGGTAGGCATTATGAAATACCTGACGTTTGTATCTTTCAATCAAATGTATCTGATATTGGTTATCTTAGTATAAAAAGCCTTACCAGATAAACAGGTAGATAGAAATGACGTCAAAAGTATCTAACGAGTGAAGAAATACTTATTATATCAACAAAGGTTAAAAAAGCTACAAAAAGAGGGAGAACAAGGCTGAGGTTCCCAATATGTTTTTTACTGTTACTATTGTAAGATCTGAAATATGGAATCTAGGCATATGTGATGCATCTCTCAGCCATCCCAGTCATTATATGTTCACATCACTGTCGACGAGTATATCCTATTCACGTAAGTCCAATATCATCATCTCTCATTTGGTAATTCCATCTCATAAAAGTGATTCTTCAAAGTTAACGATAGGTTTCAGTTATTGTGTTTCACCGTCGTGTAATCGGCCATAGACAATTGGTGCACAATATATTAGATCTTTAATCAACATTCAAATCCCATTTACACTAAAGATTGCTTAACAAAATAAAAATGAGTGTTTTGCGTCTATACCAAGATTTCATTAAAAATCAATTACAAAAAAATCAAAAACAGAAAAGCTGTCATTGCCTATCGTTCAAGTACAGAAGTGCAATACGACCGACATAAGTTTCGATTCTAAGCTATATATCATAGCACATCGTGTCCACATACAGCATAACCTTCTGCACCACATCTCAAGAATCAGAAGACACCAACAGATCAGAAAGAATGTATCACTTAATTCTATTCTGCATTTTTCAACGAAACCCAAGGCCAATAAACTGTCCGTTTGGCGTATGTTAAATTTGCCCTGTTTATGGAAAGCAATGTTTTACAGCTATCCCACTTATTGTTAAATCGTCCCCACTATGGCGAAACACCATCAAACCTTAAGATGTTTTCTGATATATTGTTACCATGTTACCAGTCCTACAGAGGTAATCATAAGCCAGCACAAAAGACTGGTGTTTATTATATTAATTCCCATTAATGCGTTATACACAGCGTTGATGATTTAGTGTATACTTTCTTTATATGTAAAGCAAATCACTTAAAGATGTTAGTTGTAAAGTGATTCATTGCTCTATGAGCAATGTGTATATTATCACATAGAACGACGTTTTCTATGTGATTAAGTTTAGTAATAATGTGTGCCTATTATATTCCTTCATTCTACCTTAAGTGTTTGTATGCATGTCTTACAAGTTGTTTGTCAACCTGTTGTGTAAATTTTTTATATTTAAAGATTTGTTAATTTAGATTTAGACAGTGATTGTGATTGTTTAGGTTTCATCGACTAACAGCTTGAACAGCTATTTAGGCAAATGCTTTTTTTAATCGTAATTATGTTCTTGTATATCATACAGGTTTATATCCACCCACTTCTGGTACAGCTTATATATATGGTCATGATATTCGTAATAATATAGAAGGTATTCATGGAAATCTTGGTTTTTGTTCACAACACGACGTTTTATACGACACATTAACTGTTGAAGAACATCTTTATCTGTCTGCTCACGTAAGTGGTTTTATTTGAGTAAAAGTACCTATCACTATGATATTTTTCCTTCTATACTTCAATACTTTTTTGTGCTTGGAGTTGTAGATATCAATAATACTTTCAGTCCACCTGTTTTCTGACCACATTTTTATTAACTTAACTAATTTTCGATCATAACTTAGTTGTCTGGCGTATGTTTCGATTTTTACTGCATTTCTGTTTCATCGATAATTTGATGTCGCTACTGATGGTTTATCAACTATCTGTACATTGTCAGTTTTCATGTATAAAACCCTACAGTTTTGATCCATAATGTTAGGAGATTCAAATGCTGTTAATTTTGTAGTGTTGTTCTTGGATAAGCAGATGATCACATCACAGATAAGATTTGGGATAGAAAGGAAAGTTTAATTACTTTCCAGTTTGAATAAGTTCAGATAGTTGGAGTATGTTTGTACTTATTTTTACTGTATATCTCAACTTGCATTGATGGCTTGATCACGATTAGGATAAAGGGTGGTCAAGTGAACAAATGATACTAAATTATTTACTATTTGATGTTCGTAATCGTTTGGAAAATTTAGTTTTCTTATTTTTTTTAAGGCAACTCTATTGTTATTCATTTTTATGGATCTGGGTATATATATAGTTAATGTTAATCAAATTTCACCTGACAGAAGGCTGAACAATCCGATACAAAGTGTCTGTTATCCAACCAAAAAGTGTGAATCGGCACATTATTCAAATAAGACTACATAAATCCGGCCAAATCCATTTTTCCCTTGGATTGTTAACATAGCTCACAAGTTGACGTATAGCTGCTTTTTCTATACTGTAAGCACTGAAACAGTGAGTTTTATATCATTAATGCTTCCATTAATTTTATTTGTTCTTTTTTATTCCTCTTATAGCTCAGAGGCTGTGATAATTCCACTGTCGAACAACAAGTGGAAAGAACTTTGAGAAAGATTTATTTGCGTGACAAAAAGAGTGAGTACACAAAAACATTGTCTGGTGGAATGAAACGGAGACTATCTATTGGAATGGCCCTAATAGGTGATTCTAAAGTAAATAGTATACAATTTGTTATTTCAGTTTATTTTTTCTGGGAATCACTTACATATTAGAAACAGTGTACTTTATGAGCTATTATGTCGTAATAAATATAGTATATTTGTACTTCGTATTTTTGATATTGTCGACTAAATAAAATGTGGACTGTTGGATCATAAGCTCAATATTCCAAGGGCTGAGAGCTTTCAAGAAAACCTGAATTTCATTGATTCAGTTCGTGAGTACACACTAATGATAAGTCCCATATTAGGACAGACCAGCAGCTCAGCTCCTCCTGGTTTTCAGTAGCACCCTAACTGATATCATTCCAAGACGAATATTATCCACAAATTGAAACAATCTCCATTAAACAGATCATTAGTAAATGGTTCATCATCTAAACATATTTGGATTTTTTTCATCATAGTATTTGTTTATTCTTGCGTATTCGACCAATGACAGTACACAACATATAATGTTGAATAATTTGGCTAGAAAATACTAATTTTATCGCTTTACCCTTAAAATATATGGATAAGGGAAAATAGTTCATCGACGTATTAACTCACTAGCCATTTGAGATTCAATCAACTGTATAACTAGTTTCTCAAAATAGTTTATCATAATTAATCGAAAATTAGAGGTTAAATGTATTGATCCAATGCATGGTACAAAAAGATTATCTAATGAGAAAATGTGAAGAATCAATTCATCTCCTGTATTCCGGTTTCGTCAAACAAGTTTTCTGAAATACTCCGGTTAAGGTGGGAATAAAACTGCCGCAGGTATAATTCTAACTTTTATCTCTAGTGATCCTTAGTATTATGGTAATAATAAACATTTTGTTTCTATAGCAGTAAGGAACAAGTGTTGAAATATTATAATTCATCGTTCAGTCGTTGGCCTAAATGATCAAGAAAATGCAGTGTGAGTTTAACCAAAATCATTGAAAGCTTCATTCATCACCTAACCAGGAACATACCTTCTATAATTCAAGTTATTGAATACATTTGTCCATGTTAGGTTCTCCGAGCTCTCACTGTCATTCCGGACAAGGTTATCATCTTTTAATGTAGAACATGGACCTAAGAAATTTTCACAAGTATTAGATTAGTCCATATTGGTGACCTTGTTTGCTAAAAGTTTATTGTGGTTTTGATATCTTTATTGAAAATCACCTCAACCATTGTAATGATATACGATCGACTCATTTTATCATTACAAACCATCAGCGTTATTCGACTTTCCAATTACATCTTAAATTAGTCTTTGATAGCAATCTGAAAATGGTTCTATGGGAATTCCACGGGGATTGTCTCGTTTATCCGCCATCTAATGAGAGGCTTTTTGAATATGTTTATGATTACTTCCTAACTGTTGAATACCATACAAGCTACTGAAGCGTTTCTTGGTGCTTCGTTGCATTAATTTCTTTTGTTGTAGCCATAAGTGTTAGTACATTATTTATTCACTAATACGTTATTCATGTTTTACATTTCCTTAAAATATGTCTCTTCAAATCAAAACACTATGAGATTAAGTCTTTGCGTGTAAAATATCAATCCTTTTAAAAGTAATTCTTATCAGCATTACATAAAAGATGGACTTTTTCTCGATTTTACCATATAATTAGTCATAGCCATTGCTATTTTTTTCTTTGTAGGTTCTTATATTAGACGAACCTACCTCAGGATTGGATCCTGATGCACGTCGTCAAGTGTGGGATATACTGCAAGCTGAGCGTCAACAGAAAACAATCCTAGTTACTACACACTATATGGATGAAGCTGACCATTTAGGTGACCGTATCGCAATCATGGCTGGCGGTGAACTCAAGTGTTGTGGATCACCACTGTTCTTGAAAGCAAAATATGGTATATTAGATCACATTGCCATTCCTTTTTGACTTTCTTTTTTATGGTAAATGTTATCACCCCTAGGTGTTGAGAACAGTCAGTCAATATGTTCATCGTAACTAATTAAATATAGCTGTGAGAATCCACTAAAGCATCTGAAAAATCACCTTCTAAGTTCTATCACGAATCCTTCAAAAACTCTAACATATATGGCATTAAATAATGAGTAGTGTTATATCACCAGTTGACGTCTAAGTTGCTGGCTCAATGCGGAACAACCTTGTTGGATCGTAATTCGGAGTGGCTTGTGTTGGAACTTACAAATAGGTTCCTGATAGCTATGAGTAGAATGCAAAACACATTTCTTACACTTAGTAATTTCACTCAATGCATTTTTTTGTCAACGGTTTACTGCTGTTTGATAAAACTATAGATTTACTAGGTGATTTATCAAAACTTGTTGGATTGCCATAACATTTAACATTTCAAGTCAATTTTACTTCTTAACTGTAACTTTTATTGTATGGGAGTTATTTTTCGAACCTGTCTATTTGTTTTTCTTTGTTTCATATATTTTTATCTTAATAATCAAAATACTCGGCTTTCAGTTAATAAATTTCAGTTTTTTTACCCCGTAAAGCTTACATCGGCTTAAACAACCAGTATCAGTAGCCCTCACATGGGAAAGCGTTGTTGAAACTCGAGTAAATGAACTTGTGTGGGATAAACATATTAAAAACTAAGTATTTCGAAATAAACGTAAAATACACTACCAATTTATAGTAAATATCCCGATAGTGATGAACACTTTTTCCTTTGAGTTTTATCACTTTTCAGGTGCCGGTTACTTACTGTCTATCGTCAAACAATCCAGTTGTCCATCTGATTATGTATTAAAACAAGTTAAACATCACATCCCTAATGCATTTATACACGCAGTGATTATGGTGAAGAGATCCGCATACTGCTACCATTAGAATCAATAGATAAATTTGGAAATTTATTTGAGGATCTGGAGTCAAATAAAATTAGTTTGGGCATTTCAAGTTTTGGTGTATCTGTCACAACAATGGAAGAAGTATTCTTTCAGTACGTGGTTTTACTTGTAGTCTATTGTTACTGTTTCCTTGTTAACCCATCACATTTTGTAAAATAGTATAGGTTAACTCCACTTCAAGAACTCTCCGTCGAATTCATTCAAAGTTGGAAAATGAATAGTTTTACCCTGTGAAAAACATATGTCACTCTAATAGCTGGAATTCTGAAACCATTTGGAAATTATTTCATATATTAGCGAACAGATTTACCTCGTTCCATTGTATGCAGACCAAAAAAAACATTCCAGGCATCCACACTTACATTAGCCGTCAGATGATATTGTAGTTCTCCCAAATATCATCCTATGTAGACAATCACATAAAGGGAAGTCGATAAGACAATCTCGATACATGTCATCAATGTGTTTACCGATAGTTTTATCCCTCCCTATACTTATCATATTTTTAATCTACAATAAATATTAAACAACCATTTATTTAATCAACTAAGCTATGAACTGTTTACTGTGTCCTTTTATACTGCCTGCAGACACATGTAATGTAAGCAGAAAGTGAGACAGTAGAAGCCTTTTTAGTTACTTATTCATTTAAATCGTCACTTTTTCTGATAATATCCGTATAATAGGTTGATTACACTAGTTGTCAGACTGCTAAATAACAAAGCCTTATCAGCCAGTTGGTTATAGTTAGTGTACGACCTGATGCGAAAAGTGTATCAGTTCAAGTTTACGCATCCCATATGAACAGAGTGATGAAGGAAATTGATATGACTTCTCGATTGAACGCTAATTTTTATATCTGATTATTATGTCAGAATCACTTATCACTTATTCTTATGAAGCGAGGAACCACTGCAATTCCCACGACGTGAAAGTAAGAACACAAAGACTGATACAAGTGATGATTTATTAACCCCAAAACACGACAACGTCTACGACTCTAGTCAAAAGTACACTCATTTATATATTGAATGTACACCCATTTTGATTAATAATTAGGGTGAAATCACGTGTATGAAAAACACTTCTCATTCTACATGTCATACTAAGCATAGTTCATGTCAATTTCTAATACAAGAATATCGTATATTATACAGAATAAAATATACGAGAAAACAAATACACTTAGTGATTATCACATTGATTAAAAAAAACGGAATTAATATTGAACAAAAACCATAATAAGTAAAAGAATGTAAGAATGACACTAGATATTCAGGGGAAGATAAATAATGATTGCTGCTGGAGCACTCCAACCGATTTTGAGTCATCATAAATTACAATTACTTTATGGCCCCGAAGCAAGAATTATCTTTCCCGTTACATCTTAGGTAAACAGCAATTGATTCCATATCTTGACCTGCTCACCTATCGCTTTTCGCTAATCTACCATGTGAACCAGCATTACACTTTAAGGCACAAAGTGGATAGAAATGTATAACACCTAATCCGTTATGTTTTGCGATCCCTTACAGTAATATCTAACTACGAACATTTGGATCTGTGAAAACTTGGTGAACCGCATATTTGACACACAATGGTTCAACAACGATCTCCGATTCAACAGAAGGCAAAGAGAAGTCAGAAAACCAATAAAAGTTTGATGCTTAATAAATCAAACGTGAATTAGAACAGAAGTGTATAAATCGCAATAAACATGAATCTGAGACACGTAAAATTACAAAACGAGAAGTGACAACAACCAATAAAATGACAACGAACCTGAGTGCGGAAATATGAATTTGAAAACAGTCATCGCTGTTATTTTTGCACGTAGCAGTTAACCTCCAATAATAAGAAAAGATTATAACCAAACATCTTAGCACGACTGCCTCAGCTAATGAAGGTTTATTGTCCCACCAGTCATGTTGTTATTCTTACTCTGTATTCTACCCTTTACCTTACCATTAACCACTTGGTGACTCCATAACTTAAGGACACCTGAAACAAAATAATAATCTACTCTCATTAACTATATTTTGCAATCGTAGAGCAATTTGTGAAGGACTCCCGTGTAGTATGCGAAACCATATTATTATCAGTCAGTGAGATCGTGAAGTTGTATCAATCGAGCTAGTTGACATTTCCACCCGTTCCTAAGTTTTATATACAGATGTATTCCACATTTATTGAAGTAAAGACTGGACATTAAAAATAATGAATGTCTAGTTCAACCTAATGATATAAAATTAACGATGGTCCCACCGTTCCTTGATATATCACTGTACTAAAAAGAGATTGTTGTTTTTGTAATAATAATTGTCGTAATAATACCTCCTTATCAAATATTTGCTCGTCTTACTCTAAGGTTTTGTTGAATCCTGATTTTTCACAACAAAATGTACACGAAATACGTATACATTATCATGACTGCTAAATTAATTATTATGAAAAAAGTAATATCAAAGTGTTTGTAGCACTTTTCTATTTATTTATTTTCTTTCAGAGTTAGTAAGCAGACGAATATAGTCAGTTGTTGCAGTCGTGAAACTCGTGAGAGAAGATGCAAAACAACTGAACAAAGCCGATGTACACCAGAAAGTTAGTTATTCTAGAAATTTGTATTCGTGTACGGTTACAAGTATTCTATTTTGAAATGAATGATATGCTTTCGTCTACTATACAAGACATCCACAAATCAAATGTTTGACTACTACCACCGATTCAAATTTGACTTAAAGTGAAATAAAGTGTAATTGAAAGCGATACTATTTACACTCACAACTTGTCACACGTTAATCCGTCATATATTCAAAACGGTTTTTTGTCAGAATACTAAATAGTAGTATGAAAGCTTAGTGATTAGGAATCAAACATACACTAACTAACAACACTCCATTGTTTTTCAAAATGTAGGATGTTCTGCTTTTGTCTAAAAAACGCTATGTATAAAATATATCTTCTACTCATTTATATTTTGAAGTAATAGCCTTGAATTTTAACTTTCATCTCAGTCTTTACAATCATCAACGAATAGATGAATATGGCCCTTGAATGCTCTGGTATGGCCGAGGGTGGGGAGAGTCGACTCTCCCTCTCGAAATACTCACATGGCCACGTGCATACAACCACTGCCAAGGAAGTCCCGTTTACGAAATTCAGACAAAGAAAAGCGAATGTCCGATGCTTTAATCGGGTTGGTGGTCACGGAGGGTCCACCTAGGAGAGTTGGAAAACCCTGATTCCAAACCTATGGTGCACATGGGCTCCAGGATCATGAAGGAACAAATGGCGTATAAACCGGCTACCATGGGACTACATCTCCTAACGTTGCTCTATTTCCTAGTAGATTAAACCTTTAGATCGAAGGCTCCTGGTGTGGCTCCCTAAGTAAAACACTCGCCTGTGTCTGGGCACCAAATAGTATCACAACTCCCACACAAATCAAGTGACTTGTGTGGCGTATATATATTCGGTACCCCTTTTTATTTGTCCGAATAAATAAATAAAATGAATATGATACATAAAACACAAAATCATTATTGAAATCACGAATCGATCAAAGTTAGATAGCCATTGATAAACTGGTTTTCTAACTTTGTTCTGTTCGTTATTTCAATGGAATTCAACAATTTCTACAATCTCATGCTGATAAGATCATTGACGGAACTGGAGTCTTAATTTAAACTTTTAACTGAATTTAAGACGTATACTATATCATCAACATCTATATAAATAACTCACTAAGCTTATCCCATCACAGTCAAATAAATTTAAAATCACCCACCAGTACTACGAAAACTTGCTAACCATGATTCTCATTCCATCGATCAAATAAGTAAAAGCACAACGTCAATGACTGAAATTTACTTGATACAAAACGTGAGAAATTACATCATTCCAAAAGTGCTGATCATTATATACAGTTTACATTGATGTAATGATGTGACTCGTTCATTTAGTTAAAGTTAAGGTAGCGCAATAAAGCAGATCATTTTATTTCAATTAACTGACAGCTAGTTGGGTCATCGATTTATAAAATCCCGCTACATATTACATTCATACTCACAAGGATATTGACCTTAAAGGATGTCCGTTTGTCTTACTGTTATGACGGTTCACATCTGACATTTGTAGCCCATTTTCTCTCCCATTTTTCATCGAATAATTTCTAAGGTTTTTTTCTCCAATTACTATCATCTCAACTGGTAATAGTGATTTAAGTGTATAGATTATTTTTTAAACATTCCAGATTCATACATATATTATCGACCATATAGCTTACTTTTTTAAGCATAGAATATTTTGTAAATTGGAGAGAAATTTTCCACTAAGTTGTCACGTTTACGTTGAAAAAGATTGTTTTGTCATTGCAAAGTACAGATGGACTTTTTTCCACTTATAATGATTAAATGTATACATAACAACTTATCACCAATTCAAATAATTACCAAAACTTAAACAAACTTACCTATTAGCTTGATCTATTTGTTTCACTTAATCGTCTCTCCCCTTATGTATCTTTTTTTGTGCAGCTAAAGTCGGTCATAAACAACTACGCAATCAGGGCTTTTTATTCTACCGCCAACAATTTTGTGCTTTAATGATCAAGCGTTACACATTCACAAAACGCAATTTAATATTCGTTCTCAGTCAAATTATTGTACCCATTGCGTTCACCTTGATCGCTTTATTCATATTTCATCATTTACTAAATAAAAACAATTCACTCGATCCACGTTTGGACTTGTTATTAAAGCCTTATGGTAAAGATTTGTTACTTACATTAAGCAATGAAGCTGAGGGTTGGGAAAAACGTCAAAACACTGATCAGTTTATTCAGTCCTATATGCGGCAGTTTGATAATAAGCAAGTTACGCCAATTGAATTCAATACATCCACAGGAAGTTATGAAGTGAGTGTCCGAAGTGTTACTTTCGTATGATTCTAGTTTGTTGGCATTACCACAAGCTTTTTTGTGATCTTAGTAACTACTGTTATTATCAATTATGATTGTAAATTTAACTTTTATTAATCTGTTCAACTCAAATATGTTTGTCTTCTTCTTCTTCTCCTTCCTCTTTGTTAGCTATCTTATTCAGTAGAACATCCATATAATTTGTATTTTGTTCAATAAATCGTTAGAACGTTTTAAATAATCCTAAAAGAGATGTTTCGCCAATTCTTCAATGCTCTTTGGTTTTAGGGGATTTATGATGTCTTAAATCATGTGGTTCAAGTTAGTCTTTCTTAGCTGAGCTACAGGTGCTCATACCATCAATTGAGTTAAAGTTCTTTGATCGAACACTTTTGGCCAGAACAGATCCTATGGTACATGATCATTCCAATTGATCGCTTCGAGTGCTATTCGTCAAAACGTTCAAGTTTCTCTATTGAGATAGTGAAGAATATTTGTATTTCAGAATGAGTTCTTAACAACTTCATCAGCACGTGCTCCAGAAATAAGTGAGCTATTAGAATTTCTCTAAAATTGACCAACACCTTGTTCTGTTGGCCCAACCCATGTCAATACGTGGTGTTCACCACGGTCACTCGCTTTCTCTATTTTTATTTAGCTTCGTCATAGGCATCCTTGTAGAAATAATGCTCTCATAGTCTGATTTCAGGAATTGATCTATCAAGAGACTCACTTATCGACTTAGAATATCCAAGTGACATAATCCGATTTGGTGCAGATGATGACCAAAGGCAGAATCTTATGGTCGTCCTAAGCAACAATCCAAGCATGCTTGAATTATGTATCTCTCCCTATAAATCCAAAATGTTGCTTTAGGATTGACCCACGTCAACACCTAAACCAATGTTAGGGAGTGAAGTATTTTAACATGTCGATCACTTTACTTATCTTGAAAGTCACATCAGCCCTGGTGGGTTGATGTCTGACGAAATCTCGATACGAATTCAGAAAGCTTGGTTGGTTTTCGCCAACTAAAGAACGAGTATATTATGTAGCATTTCGCCTTGTTCTACTCTATGGCTGTGGAACGTTACCTTCAAAATAGAGGGTGTTCGCAGGCACTAGTATCCGATCATAGATGTCTTCGAAGCATTGCTCATGTATTTAGGTACCATTTAGTTAGCAATTCTGAGACTAAACACAAAATATCAGGTAAGAATGGGAAATCAATTGATTGACATTGTAAATGTATCACATATTCCCATCCACCAACTACCTTGACAGGTGTTGTCTGGTGTAATAAGTCGGAAATATACTAGGGGCTGCCAAACCAACACATCAGTTCATAGCTACTTTTATTCTTGAACTGAAACACGTACCTAGATCCAGAGTATCTCGTAAAATGTTTTTTTATCACCATTCTACGAATTCATGTTCTTTTCTGGAATCTTATCTTCTATGTGTTACCTTTTCTACTATCGCTAATACCGTTGCTACTCTGGGATTTGTTTTGACAATTTCATCTCGTTGTGCTAACGATTTGTGACAACTTGGACCTATTTACAGAGGAATCAAGTTCTACGTTACACATGGCTGATTGAAACACTGATGCGCGATAGGATATGATTCAACTAGATGAATCCATTGATTTTAAACATTATGGAATCGTAATTTTATATCCTCTCTATTGCTTCTGGGTTCTGTAAATATTGATGACTAATCGAAATGCTTTTTTGTTTTTTGAATGAAGTACAAACAGATTTCTCAGTTAAAATTTTAGTCACTTCTATCCATCTGTTAACCAGGATCATCTACTGAAACAAATAGCCATTCCTCACTTGTTTTACTTCCGTCTCAAATCAATTATCGGGCTAGTGGTTGATACAAAATCAACTCTCAAAGACCAAATCATTTCATTACGTGCTTACTTTCAAGGTGAATCATTTCATGCTGCTCCAATTTCTTTGAATGCAGTCGTGAACGGATTTTTACAGTACCTAACTTCAGTTAATCAGGTGATTTTCAAGAATATATATATGTATAAAAATATTTGCTTCTGGAGACTTTTGAATATATTATTATCATAAAATTATGACAAATTAAGTAAGAACAGATCTTGGTTCTACTGGCTTACATTATTTTACACAAAGTAACTTCACCTCAGTGCTCCATGTCTGATCAGATCTCAATGTGTCCTAATCTTGTTCAAACTGCAGTATATCGTTATCTTTTTATGACTCACTGTCCACTGATGTACATCGTTCTTATAAGCAAATTATTTCGTATTTGCATTAAATCATTCTAAATTCACTAAATAAGAAAGTAGAATCCCCGTATTCCAACTTCTATGCCCAGAGTATCGAAAATGACTCGATGTTTCTAGTTGTCTCCTTGGTAATGTCAATAGGTGAATTCCCGAAGTTCTAGTGAAAGTCGTCACCGATGAAGTTCACCCATAATCAAAGGAAAGATTTCACCATACAGTCGTAAATTGATTGAGTTTGGAAATTTTAAATGTTAGATTCTGACTCAATGGTAGAAAACACAATTCTTTCCGAGTCCTTGTTTGTTCCGTAACGTAATAAGTCAACATAAGCACCTAGTTACATGTGAAATGTATTACATTAAAGAATACTCGCTAAATTTAAAGTGGTTACCACGTTATGTGACAAAAAAATAAAATTAATAGTACAGAAGCTAACGTACGCCCGATGGAATAAAATAGATATTTGATAACACTTTATAATTTGTAATATATTCTTTTGATTTTGGATGTCGTTAAAATGCTTCAAAAAGTCGCTTCGGCTTGGTCATTAAAGTATTAACCTGCGTAGTTGCGCTAAAATTGAATTTAAGTATTGCTTCTTTTGAGAAATTAGTTAAGGAGACAACGTAAATCGAAATGGTTCATTCAAGCATACTGATAAGTGGTTTTTTGAGTATTTAGACTTCAACTACATTTTCCTTAATATGAAAGCAATAACATTGATGCATTTTTGAAATCAGATTCAAATATTTTAAAAAACTCATCCTGACAATCCAATACAGGTTTTATTCAGCTCTCAAAAAGCAAAACCTCTGTCAGTGTTCGTACTTCGGAAATTATTAGTCAGTCACATGAGTCATTTCACTGTAACCAGATTACTGAAATTATCGTTTGCCTTTGCCTGGTGCTTACTAACCATTTGGTATTTTTTTGTTTTCAGACAATATGCCCTGGTCTAACTACTAAAAACAGTCCGCCACAAATTTATGTATCTAATCAACCTCTGCCTGAAACCAAAGAGGAACGTGCCAAACAGATTGATGAAATCGAAGGTCTTATGCGCGTTGTAGTAGCAGGCTTTCCATTAGCGTCCAATATTCTATTCGCTGCGTCCTATTTGGCCTCTTGTTTTGGTTTCTTTCCAGTTTATGAAACTGTGACTAAGGCGAAGCATTTGCAATTTGTTTCTGGAGTAAAATTAGGTAAGCAAAATCTGTTTTGTCGCCACCCGTTTCTCCTTACTATTGAAAACCCTTATTCCCACAGTTTAACATTAAATGCACGGCAATTTTTGTATTTTTTTTTCGAGTGAAATTTTTTTTCATCCCTTTTGGAAAAATATTTCATCCCCATCTACCAATAATTTTCATTCTGTTTCGTCCAATCAAATAGCTAGTTTTTAGTCCATTATAATTGGTCGTTTATTTCTTAAAATCGATATAAAACGTCGAAATTCATTTGCCCCACGGCAATTTTTTTTAAAAAACCCCCACCCACCCTTTTTGAAAATGTTTTTCAACCCAAAATTGCAATATTTTTCATCCCGTTTCGTCCAATGAAATGGCTAGTTTTGAAGTTCGTTTTTAATTTGTTAGTTATGTTTTGTCGGATTGCTATAAAACATCAGTGCTTGTCGACGAAGTACATTTTAATCATCATTATGGAGGACAGTAACGTGCCTAGTACAAGCGCTCTTGTTTCTCACGCAACAGAAATAGAGGAAGTCTTTTTGACAACGTTGTATCTCGTTGCGTTCCCATCGATTGAAGCGTTGAAGTCCGCTATCACAAATTATGAAAGATCAACTCACTGTCATTATGTAGTTCGAGATTCGCATTTGTGCAGAAATGAAAACTCGTATATTAAATTTGTGTGCTGGAGAAATGGCCGTATAACATCTAGCGGTTCGTCGCAGCTGATCAGACGGAGGAGGTAATTTTATTAATATTATTAACATTTTTTGTCATGAAGGGCTTCCATGAACACTCAATGTCCGGCCTTCATGTATTGTAAGATTATCGACGGCTACCGGACTGCTGTACGTGGGAATGTGCATCACAATCACGAGTGCAATTCCCTGAGGTACCAAGGTAATTCATGGGTGCGCAGGTTAACGGAGGCCCAGCTTGAAAACGTGCGACCGTTGCTAATATCTGGTACTGCTTCATTCCACATTAAGAATTATGCTTACCATTCTTGTGGGAAACTACTGAATGATCAAGATATCTATAATATGCGGTACAAAGTGTTCTCACAGGCGAACATTCCTGGTAAGCCATTTGCCAATTTATAATGCAAACTGTCTGAGGAACAATGCAGTTCACTTTATAACCAATTTTATCAAGAACTTCACGGTAGACTACCACCAACGCCGTTGAACTTACAGGCAGAACCGCAGTTGTACACTGGAACAAGAAGCTCGACTAACTTTACAATGCCGTTGATGCACCGAGGAAATGTTGATTTGGATGAAACGTTAAGTAACGACGAGGATGACCTAGTTTCTATAAACTTAGAAGAGTTAACAGAACGGGACATCCAAAATAAAGAAGATGAAGAGAACCGTTTGTGTGACATCTGTAATCTTGCACAGCCGCCCTGTGAAACTGGTGATGAAGTGGGTTTGGTTTTCTGTCCTTGTGAAGCAATGTTTCATAGATTCTGTGCTTATGACCCATCACCGAACGTACGAGCAGTCCACTGTCCGATGTGTGGCGCCATTACCAACTAATAGTTTGGACGTCCCACCGCGAGAACGATTAAAGGCCCTTTTCAGGGCCACCCACAAATTGATTTAAATTCATTTTTCCTAATATTGTTTTTGTCTATGGCAAAGGTCAAGTGATTAAGCATTTTTTAATGTCAAATGCATTTAGATATACCTTAGATATTAATAATCGATAAGCGATTATCGCTCATGTATTCGTAAACTTGTTTCTAACGTTTATTAGATATAAAGGTTAAGAAAACAGACAAGATTTTGTCATTTTATGAACACTTATCTAATAATTTTAGATGTAAAATAATGTGATTACCGTTCATGTCTTAGTAACATATTTGTAAACTATCTATTACTAGTACATTTTAATAGGAATATTTTAAAATAGTGAAAATCGTTATTTTGTCGTTAGGTGAATAAATTTATGATGACATTTATTAGTGAATATGATAAGATAGTTACAAAGATGAATGTGATTAAAGCTCATAGAGAAGTAAAAAAAATTGAGAAAAATATCTTCCTTATGAATAAGATACTGACATTATAAAACAAGTTGAAGCCGTCATCATTGAAATCAGTAATCTGATTAAAAGGTCATATAGTAAGTGTTAAAAGAAATAAGAATATTACCCGTTTCATGAATACAAAATGCAAGAATTTCATATTCCAGTTTTATATTAATAGTACCTGAAACCAGAACTAAGCGTACGTATGAATTACGTCGGATCGTCAACTAAGCCTTCATTGTTATTCATAACCACTGATTATATCAACGTATTCATTTGCACACCCATATAACTATTAATTACTGGTACAATCACACTATACAGTTATAAGTCCATAATTTCCATATTTTATAAAGGCCAAAAATATGTCATGGCATTAATGTAATGTGTTAACAATGGTGAACGTTTACATCTGTTATATATATATATATATATATATATATATATATATATATATATATTTACAAATTGTAACATTTGCAAATTAGAAAGGTCATTCAATAAAGGTCTGGATTATTTGCAGTAAAGTGTTCAGTCACAATAAGTGGAAGAGCATTATAGGAAAATTTAAAATGCAAAAAATTTTGTGTCAATGAAATGCATAGTATCAGAATTGAATCTTGTCAATTGACATAATAATAATAATAATAATGGTAATAATAATAATAATAGTAATAATAATAATATTAAGGAAAATAAATAAGAATAACATTGTAAATGTTCATTGATACAGTTGACCTTATTCATATTTATACGTTGAAAGTAGATAGATATTTGTTGAGTCAGTCAGACGACGTAGGCTTGTTCATTTACACTTCATGAAACTGATATTTCAAATGCTTGTCAAAAATGGTTACATTCATAATGTCTAGATAATTCAGGTTTCATATTACGGCGGTTAACAATATTCACACATGACTGATTAAACACACTAGTTTTTATTACGATCAAAAAATTAATTTTAAAATACAGAACTACAAATAATTTACAAGTGAACACAATAAACCCTTTCAATGGACTTTTAAAATTAACCGTATTGAAATCTAACGTTTTCTAATTTTCATTAAGAATGAACATTTACAAAAAAAGTTCACTAAATATTAAGTGCCTATTTCGGTTAAATTTATTACTACATTCATATACTGTCAAAGTCAGTTCATTCAATGATGGTATACGGTTGCTTCACCTGAATTATACATATTGCAATCAGTAATTTATCATGATGATTTATTAATATGTTGATTTGTTTCTCGAACTAACAGACCATATGTTACCAAAAAAACTTATGCATACACTTTAGTGATAATTTGTTTATTAATTTGCTATTAAAGATTTGACTACCGACCTTACTCAGTAATCACTATTATCAAATATTCAAACCGGTTTTCAGTTGCTTTTTTCCAAAAACTTTCTTTTTATGTGATATATATAAGTATTCGTGACATTAAAATTGTTGATCGGAAATCAAAAATTTATCCCAATATGCATTCAGTAACAGTAGGATTGCACTTAAGTTGGTGTTTTTTTCTTAAAATGTCTAAATTTCTTACAAGACTAAGATTACACAAAAAGATTTATTCATTATCGTTAAATTTCAAATTCAAAAATCAAAATTCTGACATCCAATCACAGCTCCAGATACGATTTCAATTTCAACTAATCACATTGCAAAGATGAACAGTTTACGACCAATTACAAAATTATTAAAGGTGACAAAATGTTTGTTCATTATCACTTGAGCACACACTTGCAAACCAAATACACCAATCACGATCGCTAAATTTTTCTTTGACACCATACATTTTAAAAAAAAGGGGTGGTAGGGAATCTTAATTGCCGTGGGCAAAATGTCAACCTAAAACGTCCGGACTTGATGACAGAGCACACTTTCTTCCAATTATGAACGGTAGTAACATGTGAAGCACAAACCCGGTCGTTCCTCACGTTGTCACAGAAACCGATAACCTGTTCTTGAGCACATTGTATCTCGTAGCGTTCCAATCTCTTGAAGCGTTGAAGAGCGCCATTAGAACTTATAAAAGAGCTACGTACTGCCATTATGTGGTGAGGGATTCTCATTTCCATAGAGATCGGAAGCCATATATTAGATTCGTATGTTGGAGAAATGGCTGTAGAACACCTAGCGGTTCCTCACAGCCGAGTAGACGAACGAGGTGATTTGATTAGTGTTATTATAATTTTTCATTAAGGACTACCGTGAACACTCAATGCCCTTCCTTCATCTTTTGTAAGTTTATTGAAGGTGACTGGACTGTTGTCCGTGGGAATTTACATCACAATCACGAGTGCAATTCCCTAAGGTACCAAAGTAATTATTGGATGCGCAGGTTAACGGAGGTGGAATTTGAAACAGTGAAAACACTTTTGATATCTGGGACAGCAGCATTTAATATTATGCACTTTGTTTACCAATCTTATAGAAAGCGCATTAATGCTCAAGATATTTTTAATATGCGCCACAAAGTGTTCTCACAAGCCAACCTCCATGGTGAGCAATGTACCTATTTAAATTGTAAACGTTAGGTGATTACTCCAAACTGAAAGATCACACCATGTCGCATGGTGGCCTTTATGAATACGACTTAGATGGGGATAATTGTTTGTTGTATTTCTTCTTCACAATAGCAGATCAAATGAATTTATCAACTCGATTTTTTGATGTTTTTGGTTTTGATGGGACCTACAAAACCAATAAGGAAAACTTATATTTGTATCAAGTTGTAGCACTTGATATGAATTTCATGGCAATACCTGTTTGTATTGCATTCATAAGTTGCGAAACACCTAGTTTACTTGCTTAATTCCTGTCGTTCTTCTGCCGATCGACTAACAATCGAGAGGTGGTAGGCATTGTGACAGATGATTCACCTGCAATAGCTGCTGCCATTATGCAGGTGTATCCCAATTACCACCACATTTTGTGTCGCTTACACCTGATTCGTAATGTGGTAAGGAGGGTAAGTTTTTCGTTGCTTAACATTAAGTCATTAACCGTCATTGTAGAGGCTACGAGCAGAAATTGTACAAATTTTCTTCCGTCTGATGTTCACTAGAAATGTCGAAAGGTAAATAAAAATATGCACTACAGTCTTTCGTAGTTTCCATAGTTATCTGCCATTAATTGAAGTATCACACGGAAATTTTTACCGATATGTGGGAGATCACTTTTTGCCTAAAAAGCACAAGTGGTCAAATGCTTTTCGACCAAGTAATACAAATTTCGTTGAGACAACTCATCGGATTCTTAAATTGCATAAACTGAACAGAAGAACACCCGTGTTGAGATCAATATTCAGTGTGCTTCTTCGCACTGGATATTGGATGGATGCGCGATTCGAGAAGTACTATTATGATTGTAGGGAGCAATTTCCTACAGGTTTAATTCTGAGCTATTCTCTAGACCGTCGAATACAGAGTCTTGGTTTGGCCAAAGTCAGAACAAGCAAGCTATTTGGCTAGATAAACTTTATCTTTTTCTAAAACATAAATTAACATCGTTAGTGTACAAACAAACAGTACGGTCTATTAATACAGGGAAAAACAGAGACAAATAACATACCGAACAGTAGCCAGAGGATAGGAAAAATGAGTCAACAAGCAAATATTGTTTTACAATGAACATTAAACTGTGATTGGTTAATAAAGAGATACAGTCGTACAAGGTCAAAAGGAGTTAATGTGGTGGTGGGCGTTTCCCTTTATTATTGGTGGGTTCGTCTATCGATCACATTTTACAATGATTGTCGTAATAAAACAATAATCGGTCGGGAGCCAGTGATATGTCGTCTTCAGGAAAGACTTACGCCAGCTGCATGTTAACTACTGCAGTGGCACTTGCGCACTCCTATAACTGAGGTCGTAATGTCCGTGGACTTGTCCACGGCTGTTGATGCTACAGGCACTTATACAGTCTCCAGTAATCCACTCAATTGTTCATGTGATCTTTACATTGAAAATCGAATACCATGTCGTCATATTTCAGACTACTTCATCCGCAGTAATACTGAAGTGAACACTCATTTAATTAGTGATAGATGGTTGCAATCGGACAGCTACATCACCAGTGTTGCGATTGACAATTACTTCCCTATTCAAATAGGACAGGAAAGTGTAAGAAAATCGTTGTATGCTTTAGTTAGGCGTATGTCCGAAGAGCAATGTTCTATCGTGTATCGCAATGCATATCAAGTTGTTTACGGTAGGATACCTCCAGCGCCATCGACCTTACCTGCTGTTACAGAGTTTCAGATCGAAACCTCTACTTCCACTAATGTTAAAATGTCGTTGATCCATCAGACAGCAGTTACCAGCTCTCAACGTAACGTCGATATGGATGCAACGTTAAGCAACGACGAGGAAGAAATTGTTTCGATTAACTCAGAGGAGTTCACTGAGCTAGACGACGACAATGACGAAAACGCGTATGACAACAGACTGTGTGATATTTGTCATCTTGCTCAACCGCCACATAAAACTGTTGATGGAAGTACCTGAATTTTTTGTCGATGCGATGCAATGTTTCATTTATTTTGTGCCTACGACCCATCACCACTTGCACATGGAATCTACTGTCCCATGTGTGGCGCTATAACGGAGTCATAGCAACTTTTTTGTTCAGGAAATTCGGAAGTGTTAAGAAAACCAGTAAAGGCCCTTTTCAGGGCCACCCACAATTTGATTTAAATTCTTTTGTTTCAATTCCTTATTTCCATAGCGAAGGTCAAGTGATCAATCCCTCAAAATTCATTTAAGATTAATAATTATTATGTGATTATCGCCCACGTATTCGTAAACGCTTTTTAAGATTTATCAAATATACGGTTTAAGTAAACGATTTCGTATGGGAAATTTCATCTAATGAACATTCATCTGTCTAACAATAGTACATGCAAAGGTTATTCAAAATGTTTCAGTGTTTTGTCATATAGTTACGATAGGCGAATGTAAGAAATAAACGACCAATTATAATAGACTAAAAACTAGCTATTTGATTGGACGAAATAGAATGAAAATTATTGGTAGATGGGGATGAAATATTTTTCCAAAAGGGATGGAAAAAAGTTTCACTCGAAAAAAAATACAAAAATGGACGTGAGGTATCAGCTCACTGAAGACAATGGTGTACAGTGGCGCAACTTCGTGGATTGGTTGAAGTTAGACATTAACACCGTTGGATGCCGGCTCAGTGGTCTAGCGGCTAAGTGCTCGGGCGCGAAACCAGTAGATCCTGGGTTTGAATCTCGCGGGATGCGGGATCGTGGGTGCGCACTGCTGAGGCGTCCCGTACTAGGACGAAACGGCCGTCCAGTGCTTCCAGGTTTTCCATGGTGGTCTAGCTTCAATTGACTCATGATTTCAATCTGTGGAATTTATTGTTAACCTCCGTTTTATTTTATTTGATATTCAAGACACTGATATCATCAATTAGCATACTTAATTGTATCTTCGGCATTGTTTAGCTCACTCACATTTCATTCGTGTTGTTATTTCTAAGAATTTATCCATTCAAACGGTATAGCTCTCACACTAGCTAACTGATATATAATCGTTGGATTTTACAACGATTTATCACTATGAAAAAGGACGAATCAATAGTAAGTTTTGGTGTTTGTTCTTTATTATTTGGTGTTACTATTAAGAGAGGAATGAATATTGCACATAATTATTTAGATTCTGACACCGATTCAAAGCATCGATGCTCATTAGGTCTCTTTGATATTACTAAAGCATTGGATTTACGCATACACATCCCACTTTATTCAGAATCCGAACAGACCTATAGAGACAAACAAAAGGTAGGGCTAAGCGATCACTGGTTTCCCCCATTGTCGCGTACTTGTTCATGCATTCATTCACTGAAAACAGGCTGAAGCTCAGTGTCCCCATTAACTTAAAATATAATTAGGATACGCAGATGACACCTTTACCATTACAAAACGAGGTGAATTAGTTGAAATGTTTAAAAGCATCAACAGCATATCTGATGACATCAAGTTCACTAAAAAATCCGAATTCGCTGACCTCAAACTATCATTTTTTGACCGTTTGGTTAAAAGGAAACAGTAATTGATTGAAAATGAATATACTCCGAAAGCCAACACCTAGGGACTTTATAAGAAGAATAATTTAGAAATTCAAAAAAAATATTCGTAAAGGTAAGCAAAAGGATGCATCGATATGGAAATGATCCTATGTCTCAAAGGAACCTTGGCAGAAATTGAAAGAATCCTGAATCATCATAATATAAGAGCATTTTTCCGAATGAACAATACTGTTAACTGTAGACTAGTAAAGGTCAAAAACACAATATCAAGGGAAAAACAACTGTATTGTGTCCATGCGATCAAATTTAATGACCAATGCTACATATATAGGTGAAGCATCACAGCACTTGAGTGTGAGAATGACGAGACACAAACTTTGCTTGATGCATATTCCTAAATCCTTAGATCTTTTTTAAAAAAAAACTAGAAAACAATTAGGGCGATCGCACTACGTTCAATAGAATCTAAATACACAGTTGACTTCAATGGAACAAGAATCCTTTTAAAAGGCTTTTGGTTCGTATGAAGAAAGATTGACAACTGAGAACCCAAACAGTATGGATAGAAAAGATGAAAAACAATTATCTGTACCATGGTAACTGATAACTTCTAAATAGATCTGAATTTGATCTTACTACTCCTAATTCGTCTCATGTCTGACAGGCGTTAGATGAGTTATATATTCTCCTATCCTTATTAGTATTATTGTTATTACTATTATTATTGATTGTTGTTGGATTGTGTCGCCTTGTCAGTTCTGGGTGTGGAAATATATTTACGTTCTATTCAGGCTAATCACGTGTTCTTGATCTGAGTCTCGTAGAGTAGACACTGGGAGGGAATCTAGTGTAGACATTCGTCTTAGATAAATTAATGTCCTATTCGTAAAGACGAAGGAAATCCGACCGTTATAAAAAAATCTATCAGATTGTTTAATTATATCAACGATCATAGCCTGAGGCTGCTGTTTGAAGAAATTAAAAGTTTACCTAATCTACGAACGGAACGAAGACTCAGTGTCACAATGACCAATAAGCTAATTACTCTGATACTTCCCAGCCCCGCTAACTAGAGAGAAGTTCAGGTTCAGAAGAGGGAAATTTATTGCATAAACAGCCAGAAAACAGTAAAAAAACTATAATGAGCACAACTCAAGAGTATATATGCAGCATAAAAAGGTCCTCGGGAAATGTTACAAATAGCATATTAAGAGACAATCAACCAATAACATTTAAGGTCCTCCCAAGTGGAAAATATGACATGAAGATGAAAATGGGTGCTTTTGGCCCGAAAACGAGAAATTCAAATTTTTAAAATAGAATTTAAAAAATAAGATTCTTACCAAGTGAGTAATGGGAATCTAACATCCCCAACAGAAGCCATATATGGTTAATAATTTTTTTCTCACGTCAAATTTACGTACATACACATATACTACTTATCTTACCGAAATTTCTCTATAATTATTTCCACATGACTAATACCCCCACACTACAACAAACAATACTTTGGCAATTTGTTTAGTACCAAGTCAATTTGTAAACGAAATGTTTGATTATTTCTATTGAAGAAACTTGGATTAGACAGCCGGGAGGAACATTACATCCATATTTGAACTTCAACTGCTGAATTTGTTTAAAAATATAACTTCCTTGTTTTATATCTTCCGTAAACTCGGTGCCAAACTATTGTGCAACTAACTATTCGTTAAAATTTAAACGAAAATTTGAATAAACTATTGTAATCTAATTAAATAGACTAAGATTTTAAATTCCTAACTAATCTATGCACATTTATTTCCTAACTACTTCCTTAATTTTTGTAATAATAACAAGTTACTTTTGGAATTATTCTTTTTCTATCAGCACTCTACTGGATATCTATCTATGTGTGGGATCTGTGCATATTTTTTCTATCCGTTGGTTCTATATTACTGTGCTTTATGGCATTCAATTTGGAACAGTTTGCTCTTGGTGAAAGGTTTCACAATTTAGTTATATTATTTGGATTATTCATTTGGGCTGTATTACCGCAAACATATTTGTTGTCTCGACTATTCCGATCACCTACATCTGGTTTGGTTTGGATTACAGCTATCAATGTATTCACTGGTTAGTTAATTACAGTGTTTACACTTTATTATTATTATTATTATTATTATTATTATCATTATTTAACTTTGTTAAGTAGGACGGTTCCTGTTCCTTTATCAGGTTTCGAAATGATCAAATTTTCGTGAACACCACTCGGCAATAAACGCTCGGATTATTTGGTTTCATACAATGCGATTTTTACTAGCGTTTCAATATCTAATATTTTCTATTTACCCGTCGTCCGATTTTTGCAACACTGTTCAATTTTTGACAAAAACCAAGTTAAATGTACTTGTATTCGTGTTAATGTTACCACTGAGCCTTGAACTTAGTACCCACTAATTAAATGGGTTACTGAATTACCACAACCGTAACACATACAACAGGTATTCGCATCATCAGTGATTCCAAACCTCATAAATTATTGAACCAAAAAAAGAGGAAATGCAAGTGACAATTACAGGAAATTCGTCTGTCGCGGAATTACAAACTATTAGAAAGCAAGGTTTAAAATAATTTTCATCTCACGGTTTAAGCGAAGACGCGCTCGACTACTTCACTTCCTATCCTTAGTTCAGATGTTGATGCAGGCCAGTCCTGAAGCAACAATTTGTATTTAGAGTGGCAGAAACGCATCCCAAACACTCTGGCATTGTTGTTCAGTGCTATCAAAAGACTCTGCATTTTATCAGCGTCTTCATCAAACAGGACTACATCATCTGCGTATTCTAAGTCGGTAAGTGTACCTCCTGGTAGGAGATCAATGCCCGAAAATCCAGTCGATGGGAGCGTTATTTCCATCAGTAGGTCTATGATGAAGTTGAACGAAATGGAGAAAGTGGACAGGCTTGACGGACACCACTTGAGGTTGCAAAAGCAGATGACATTTCGCCGTAACCTCTGACTAGTAGTGTTCGAGTAAAGAGCCCTCACAAGATTCACACACTTCTGAGGTACGCCTTTCAATGAAAGACACTGCCACCGAATCTCTCGGCCTACGGAGTCAAATGCTGCTTTTAAGTCGAGAAAGACCACCATTGTCGGACGCCGAAAAGTATTCCTGTGTTCTAGAATCTGACGAATGGTGAATATGTGGTCGATGCAGCCACAACCAGGTCTGAAGCCAGCCTGATTTTCTCGTGTTTGCAGTTCACGAATCTTAGTTAGGCGTTCTATAATTATTGATGCTGGTATTTTAGATGCTATATTAGTCGAACTAATCCCTCTATGGTTATTACAGGATGATTTTGACCCGTTCTTATATATTGGGACAATCAGTGATTGTGACCGTTCAGATGGAATTACGTCCAACTCTCAGATTTCAGCTTGAATATTGGTTAATCCATATGAACCAGCTACTCTTCCTCGTTTCAGATCAGTTATAGCATTTTGAAATTCAGCTTGAGTCGTGGACCTAATTCAATGTTCCATTCAGTCTGTATGGAAATGGAGGGTAGTTGTTGAGTAGCTGAAGGCCAGCTGAACTGCTCTTTAAAGTGTTCCGCTCATCGTTCTCAACGTGTGGGCTGAGAGCAGATAAGTATCGTCTTTTTCCGATGTTGTATCACGTGGTTTCAGAAAGACTTTCAGCATTTCTATTCGGTGGATACATTCAACTTTCGAACAGACAGTGACTCGAGAACATTTAGGTAGAACAGAGTTCCCACCATGGGCGAGCTGCTGTTTATGTTGAAAAAAGGGTATATATGATGTGAGAATACCCAAGGTATGCAATCCTCTCTCTATAAGTTGGCAATCAGTGTCTGTAGGTATGGTATGTGCTTCTCACCTTCCAAGTGCAAAGTAATTTTACAAGACTGACAGGACCCTGATTCTGCACTCACTCCGGGTAGTGAGCAGATAGAAGTAGTCGAGAAGTTCGTGTATCTAGGTAGCTGCATAAGTGCTGGTGGTGGCGTGAGTGATGAGATCAGTGCACGTATAGTGAAAGCCAGAGCGGCTTGTGCATATCTGGGCCATCTTTGGCGCCTTCATGATGTTAGTCTGACTGTAAAAGGTCGGATCTACAACGCGTCGGTGAGAGCAGTTCTGCTCTATGCTTGTGAAACCTGGCCTCTCCGAGTTGAGGATGTTAGACAACTCTTTGTGTTCGATCATCGCTGTCTCCGAAGGTCTGCTGAAATCCGATGGCAACACCATGTTAGTAATGCAGAGGTTCGGCATTGTGTGTTCGGGCGCAGAGACGATAATCCAATTAGTGTCACCATCTTGAAACATCGACTTCAGTGGCTTGGACATGTTCTACGAATGTCGCCCCAGATAATTCCTCGTTATGCATTATTTGCCGACTCTGGGACTGGTTGGAAAATGTGGAGAGGTTGTCAGTGTATGACATGGTGTCGTGGTATGAAAGGAAACTATACGGGACTGGCTTCTGTTGGTTCTTCTCGACTTCCTGGCTAGAGTCCTAGAGATGTTGCAACACAGTGGCTAGAGACGTTATCAGATATGGCTCAGAATGGAAGTCAATGACAATCCTGCTGTGACCTTATTTTACTTTCCTCATACAAAGTGACTGCAGCTTCCGTAACTGAAAGAATTCTTTCTGGTTGTACCTTTCTGTTTCCTCCATTATTATTATTATTATTATTATTATTATTATTATTATTATTATTATTATTATTATTATTATTATTATTTCACTACCATACACTAATTTGTGGTCGTTTCTGTTTTTTTTTCTTTGTACACTCACCCTACATTTTTTATCTCTTCCCATTCTCATTATCATGTGGCGCATATGTATCTGGTGCCCCATTGTACAAATATTTATGTGTTCAAATAAATAAATATTGTCTCATACATGGCTTACATCGTGGAAGGGTTCTTGTGGAGGTACCTGAAAAAGAAATTGGGTTAGGAGTGGTCTTAGTAACCTGAGAGCGTGACCTCAGTGCACAAGGGACAACTGCTTAAGGTCAGTCATACACGACCCTTTTGTGAATAATTTTCGTGTTAGTTCCGTACTTGTTGAGAACTTACCACCGGAGACGGATATCCGTGGGATAAGGCGAGGTGTGAATTTTAGGGTCGATCTTCCCTAACTTCATCCCTCCTTATGGGAAGGCACCACTGCTGTTATGCTGGTTGTTTGAAAGAAACACCTTACTGCCGTCACACCTCTGTACAGTCGGCAGTACAACTTCGCCCTCAGATTTTGGGTTTGCTGCTTTTAGTCTTACCACTCTTCAACCGACCTGTCTGGCATGGTAGAACCTTGAGGAACGATTGTTCCAGCCAATATAGCTCGATTGGTTCATTACGATAGACAAGCCCAATCACCACATCAAGGTAGCAGCAGCGGTCGGGTAGCCGAAAGTAAATACAACTACGTCTAGTGACTGCAAACCAGAAACATTAAATAAGTTTATACATCAAAGCAATGCGTTTTTCTTACCGCCTGTCTAACATTGATCAATGTTAAATGATTACCTAGCTATGTTGTGAATATATTTGTTTGTTGATGACGATTTATTCGTATAATCGCGAAGCTGTAGAGCTGAAGTAAGTTATGGAGAGTTATATTTTTCGTTTCATTAATACCGGGTTATCGGTGCTTGTGCTTTTTCATATAAACAGTAAAACTGCTATTTTTCTTAGTCAAGTTCCGTCATCATAAAGGATTTTCAATCACAAATCGATTTCGTCCCAATTATTTATTTATTTATTTATTTGGACACATGAATATTGGTACAGGAGAGCGCCAATATATATGCGCCACACAAAACAATAAAAATTCGAGAGGAATACAAAGAAAGAAAAAAAAGCTAAGGAGCGCAACAAAAAAAGAGAGAACAATAACGAAGAGACTGGTGTAAGGTAATGTGCTAGTAATCAGGGAACGCAAAGGTACAATCGGAAGAAATCTTTCAGGTAAGGGAGACAGAACCACTTTTTATGAAGAAAGTAAAAGAAGGTTACAGCAGGATCGCCACTGGCTTCTATTCTGAGCCATATCTGATAACGTCTCTAGCCACTGTGTAGCACCATCTCTCAGACCCCAACCAGGGAGTCGTGAAGGACCAACACAAGCCAGTCCTTTGCAGCTTTCTTTCATGCCACGACACCATGTCATGCACTGACCACCTCTCCGCTTCTTCCAACCAGTCCCAGAGTCGGCAAATAATGCACGACGTGGAATTCTCTGGGACGACATTCGGAGAACATGTCCAAGCCACCGAAGTCGGTGTTTCAAGATGGTGACACCAATTGAATTATCATCTCTGTGCCCGAACACACAATGCCGAACCTCTGCATTACTAACATGGTGTTGCCACTGAATGTCAGCAATCCTTCGGAGACAGCGATGATCGAACACAGAGAGTCGTCTAACATCCTCAACTCGGAGAGGCCAGGTTTCACAAGCATAGAGCAGAACTGCTCTCACCGACGCGTTGTAGATCCGACCTTTTACAGTCAGACTAACATCACGAAGGCGCCATAGATGGCCCAGATTGGCATAAGCCGCTCTGGCTTTCACTATACGTGCATTGATCTCATCACTCACACCCCCACCAGCACTTATGCAGCTACCCAGATACACGAACTTCTCGACTACGTCTATCTGCTCACCATCCAGGGTGAGTACAGGATTGGAATCCTGCCATCTTGTAGGAGTACTTTGCACTTGGAAGGTGCAAAGCACATACCATACCTACGGACACTGATTGCCAACTGATTAAGTGCGGATTGCATGCCTTGGGCATTATCGCACAGTAAGACAATATCGTCCGCATACTCAAGGTCGAGAAGTCTTTCTCCAGGCAACAGATCCACACCACCATTACTTACATTCATCAGAGCTGTTTCCAGAATGTCATCGATGGCAAAGTTGAAGAGGAATGGTGAGATTGGGCAACCCTGCCTAACCCCACTGCTCGAATGGAACAACGGAGAGAGGTGGTTGTATGCCCTCACTCTGCCTGAGGTGTTTTTATATAGGGCTTTTAGGATGTTAATAAACTTCTCAGGCACACCCTTCTTCAATAGACAATCCCAGAGAACAGTTCTGTCCAACGAATCGAAGGCAGCCCTGATGTCAAGAAACACTACGATTGTTGGCCTTTGATAAGTATGGCGGTGTTCCAACATTTGGCGGAGGGTGAAGATATGATCAATACATCCTCGACCAGAACGAAACCCAGCCTGCTCCTCGCGAGTCAATCTTTCTCGGGTTTTGAACAACCTACGAAGTATGACGGAAGCCAATAGCTTGGACGCAATCGGAAGTAGACTTATCCCCCGATAGTTGTTACAGGAACGACGTGAACCCGTTTTAAAGATAGGGACAACTATCGACTCATTCCATGACGTTGGCATACTCTCTAGTTCCCAAACCTTTGTAAACAACGTCGTCAATTCCTTAGTCAAAAAGTCACCACCATCTTTAAAAAGAGCCGGAGGTAAGTCATCTGGGCCAGGTGATTTGTAACGCTTCAAGAGTTGGAGTTCCTTGCGGACTTCCTCCTCGTTTGGTGGATCAGTCGTCACCGGCCATGGAGGGCAGGACAGTCTGACTGATGTTGCCTGAGCAGCAGGCCGGTTGAACTGCCCTTCGAAAAATTCTGCCCACCGTCCAAGACATCGATGGATGTTAGTGATTGGCATCCCATCATCCTCGCAGATTGTTTCACTCACACCAGACTTCTTGCTGCCAGTGGCTCGGATGAGCTGGAAGAGCTTCCGGTAATTACCAGATGCAGCTGCTGCTTCCAGCTCATTAGCACGCTTCGACCACCAGGCTTCTCGGTCCTTACGCAAGCTTTGCCCAATTTCCTTACATAACATCCTTCGTTTATGGTCAAACTCACGGTCACCCGGAGTAGACCGACGGACTTCAATGAGTTGTAAGGAACCAGAAGAAACCCAGTGCTTAAAAGCGGGACGTTTCGCAAACCCACAACTGGCTGTTCCCGCCATTTTCATGGCGTCATGCAATTGCAACCAATGCTCATCTATACTTTTCGGTGGAGTGGTAGCTAGCCTAGAGGCTAGCTCGGTTCGATACTTATTTGCAACAGAAGTTGCAACCAGCTTGCTAACATCAATCTTTTGGTGGTGGTCACTTCGTTGGCCACTGAAAAGTAAGGCAAGATTGGCGCAGACCAAGGCATGGTCAGAGTCCAGATAGGTACTCCAAAAGGAGCGGCAGTCTTTTACACAACCACGCCAGCGGTAGCTGATCGCGATGTGATCAATCTGAGTCTAGGCTTGGGATGCAGAGGGAGGACGCCAGGTGGCACATCGGCGATGACTGTGCCGAAAGTTAGTGCTAGCCAGAAACAGGTTGTGGTCTGTGCATAGTTGCAGTAGACGGTTGCCGTTATCTGACCTGCGACCAACGAGTCCCCATCGGCCACCTAAACGACTCTCTTCTGTGCCTAGACGCCCGACCTGAGCATTCAAGTCTCCGGCTAGTACTACAATATCTGTCGAACGCACTTTCTGGAGAAGAACAGATAATTGGTGGTAAAACTCATCCTTGATTGCATCCGGGCTGCAATCTGTCGGGGCATAGGCGGAGATGACGAAAAGACATCGTTTCTCACGCCGATTTCTTCTCACTTTGATGGAACTTTCTAATCTAACAGCACATAACCGACTGTTAATGGGGATCCAATCGACTAGTGCTGCCTCAGCTCTAGCGCTTAGTGCGACACCAACGCCTGCAAGACCAGACGAAGACGCCACAGGGTCCCCGGATAAGCACACGTAAAACAAGCTTTTTGAAGTGACAGATGTAGAGCGAATTTGTAGTACTTCGCTAGAGTCTTGAATACGGGTCTCGGATAGACAACAAACATCAATATTAAGACTTTCCAAAGACATAGCCAGCCCTATCTGTTGACCAACCTGCATAAGTGTGCGAACGTTGAAGGCAGCCAGTTTGAATGGCGCACGTGGTTTCAGAAAAACTGCTTCAGTACTCAAATTCGATGGTAACATACAACTTTCAACCGGACAGTGACTTGAGAACGTTTAGATACAGTCGGATTTCCACCAAAGCCGAGCCGCTGTATAAGTATGAAAGAGGGTGAATAATGTGGGAAATAATAATAATAATAATAATAATAATAATAATAACGACAATAATAGTAATAATAATAGTATTAATAATGACAATAATAATAATGATAATTATTTGAATCGACTGATTGTTTTTGTTTTTCGGAGCGATAAAAGTAATTGCCAAAGACATAGAGTTCATCGTTTGTGTGTGGGTTGTGATACTGCCCGGGTGCCCAAACCGAAGCAGGTGGTTTTCTTAGGGGGCCACACCCCGAGCCTTTGACCTGAAGGTCTAACCCACAAGGCAGTGGAGCATCGTAAGGAGATGCGATCCCATGGTAGCCGGTGACCAAAGATTGGTTCATACGCCATTTGTTCCCGTAGGATACTGGAGCCCATGTGCACCATTGGTTTGTGATCCGGTTAAAGCGCCGGACATTCGCTTTTCGTCCTCTCATTTTTGTAAACAACACCCTCGCCACGAGAAGGCAATGAGTAGGACTTCCCTGGCAGAGGCTGTATACGCGCGGCCGTGTGAGAGTATTTCGAGAGGGAGAGCGGACTCACCCCACTCTCGGCCGTACCAGGGCATTCGGGGGGCTTTCGTCCCAGTAACCATTGTAAACTTCAGTGACTTAAAAACTAATTCGTTACGTTCCACGACTGCTCAGTATTATTAGCCCAGGAGTTTAATGATTGTAAAATTCTAAACGCTGATTCTGATTTTAACACCTAGCATTGATAAGTTAATTTTACTGAACTTACAATCGCATTCATCAGTTTTCAATTAGTATATATATATATATATATATATATATATATATATATATATATATATATATATATATATATATATACTCATATTGCTTCCTGTTTATTTAGCTTCTATCGGTCTTATAATGGTTGGTTTACTATCTCATCCAATGATTCATCAACAAGCAGTTGGGGTTTGTCTAATGTATTTTTGGATTGCTATTTCTCCATCATTTTGTCTTTCTCATGGTATATTCCAATTATTTATTAATTATCAGTTTCGTCAAGTTTGCGATTCTCCACTTGTTCAATTCTTATGTCTTGTGGACCAGGTAAACGCTTGCTGCTTAAGTGAGTTATTTGTTTATTTGTTAGGTCACTAGATCATCCTATTGACGATCTATATTTAGCAAGTATTGAATGTGATTATCTTTACTTCACCTTTGTTTAAAGTGTGTCACTAAACTTCTCATCAAATATTGGGTTTATGTATGCCAGATTAAACTAAACTCATGGCATGAGTACTAAAGGTGTCTTAACTAAAATGAATTTAGCAAGTTTTGTATTTCTATTGCACAAACTGTCAGGCTACCAATTCATGAAACACAACTAATTATTTATGCACATTAATTTGAATGTGTAATAAATTGTCTCTTGGGTTCGAATGTCTAGTTCATGTGTTGATGAGGGTTTCATTTAATATTACACAAGAAAATATCTCTATAAACATACTCTAAACGAATTAACAGTTCCATGAAATTACCACATTTCCATAATGTGGACTTACAAAAATGAAGTCCTCAGTTTTATCCTAAATAATATCAGCCTGTCACGAAAATCCCTCACATACAATTTTTGTTTAACTCGGTATTTTGTTTTACAAGTTAAAGTTAGTATTATTCCTTGTTAAATTAACAGATTTGTGTGCTTAGCTGAGTTACCTAGGCAACAATATAAGTTTAAGAACATATTACTGATTCCTATAGTTAAGATCATGTGTAATCAAGACGTTTCGATACCTTTAAGCAGAATATAAGTATCATCTATATGTTAATAATTGATATCCGTTGAGCCTATGTTGGTTTCAGCTCATTCTTTTCTAGTTTTCTCGATGAATACTTCGAAAAGTTGTAGTATAATTGTGGGATAAGTTTAGAACCTTATCTATATCATCAATGAACCGAGCTATACAAAAAATACAAATAGTTATCATGTAATGTTCTGTTTATGTACAATTCGGTAATAATCTGAAGTTTATACTTTGTGCCTCATCAATAGGATAAATACGCATTTCCACATTTTCTACAATTGGAACCATTGAGTATATATACTACTGGATCGCGTTAAAATTTTATGTTTAAACATCGTAATTAAGAAAAGTCAATATTTACATTTATCATCTCTAACCGATGCTATCACACAGACTTTTCATACATTTAGGCGGTGTGTAAATCTAAAATTACATATACCTTTGTTTGTGATACAGAGACTATGATTACTATATAGTACTAACCATTACATAAATCAAACTTTGACCTAAGAATCCGATAAGTTTATACCAGCTGTGTAGCTAGTAACCACTAATTCACTGGTTCGAAGCCCACAATGCCTACTTCGGGTTGGATAACCCGGTGATATCATTAGCCCTTACACTTAAAATGTGGCTCATATCCAAATATCTGGTGAATGAGTTCATTTAAATTTAAATGGTTACTAGCTATCACTTTAGCTCTTACCATGGGACTGAAATAGATCTTGGTAAACTAGTCTCAAATACAAATCATCGAAGACCATAAATCATTTTATTGATTTGACAATATATGGAATTTGTATCGAAATATTATTAATTACGTAGTTTATGCAGCTGTATTTAGAATGCATTGTGTTATTTCCAAATATATTTCAAAAATATCCTTTTTTTCATTTCAATTATCCTTCACTTTTACAGAAACCTGCGATCCATTCTGTGCATATTGGACGAATAATGAATTATCCTATGAATTGGGTGGTGTTGGCGCTCATCTTACTGCTTTATCTATACATGGCTTTCTCTATTTTTCCCTTGTATTAATTTCAGATTCGTCAATTGGAAGAAATTTAAAGATCTGTCTCATCGTATGTAAGTTTCCTTAATCTTGTTTTAGTGAGTATATATTTGTATGTAATCCATTCAGTTCTGGTAATTCTTTATTATGGATAGCACTGTTGAACGTATTTAGATCTGGACCCATTTAAAATATTGCTTGCAGACAGTAACCATCACCAGTTAATATCAATAGAACTCAGATTCACAGAACATCAAGCAGCCATTTTATCATGTTTTAGAACCCTTGTCGTAAAGCATTAGAATTAAAAATTACTCAGTTTACCAACCATTTTGCGCAAAATGTTTACTACTGTCAATGTTTTATTCTCTTCACAATCTCCTCTTGTATTCAATTTCAAATGCTTGATGATTTTTCTCACTAAGTTAAAAAGGGGGTATGTTCCATGTAGATTACACAAATACTCATTTTTGATACATTTACTTTTGAAGAACAAGTATTCAAGACCACATTTACCTATAAAATGATTGTTTTATTTCTTCTAAATGAATTTATTAGTTCTCAAGCCGCGGAAACTTAAGACTTCCTTAAAATGATTTAAACAGTAATTTATAGAATAACTGGATCTACTAATATTAAATTGTTGCTTTGCATTTTTTTCATTCATAAATTCTGTTGTCTTGTTTTAACTAAACAGTATCACTTCATCAACCCTAACCCAATTACACCCATACAACCTGCACGATTTTATATAAAGTTCGAAAAACCAATATGATCTTTGATTCATTCTACAATTCACTTTCTATTTTCACTTCACCAGATTCTCATATATGACACTAGCTTTTTTCTTGTCCACCTACCGGTCTCAGCATGTTTCATCCTTTTAGATAATACTATCGGACGGACTTGTTCAACAAAATTTGTTACCTATTCATAACTGTGTGATTTTTTCTCGTAGGATGTTGGAGAAAATGTAAAGATCTATTTATCCCATATAAACATATTTCATGTAGCTTATTTAATAGCTACTCCCCAAGTTAAAGTGTCAATCAGATCTCGACTATAGATCACGAACTCTAATATCATGCTAAAGCAGGTTTAGATCCGTCACGATAACTTCTTCAGAAGATGGATAATTTCCATTGAGCGCAATAAATGTCACCTTTTCTCTGGCGATTAGTATAATCTTTCTCTCTTTTTATCTTTGATCTAGTGTATAGACGTTTTCGTTATCGACATCACAATCCTGAATTATTGTTATTAAATCAGTATCACGATGACTTAAGCTTCGACGATAGTAATTTGCCAGCTGAAGATGTTGATGTACGCCAACACAGGCATCTAGTTGAATCGTTACCGTATGCACGACTAAAAGAACAAACTTCGTAAGTCAAATTATCGTATATTGGTTGCACCTTACATTTATTATCTGTATCCTGATACTGATACGATAGTGTAAATTATGTAGATGTTAAAAAGAAATAACTAGTTAGATTAAATTCTCAGGAAAACTTAAACGACGTCTCATTCTCACAGGCTTACATAATTTTGTAGAAACATATATTATTATTGAAATGCTAACTTTCAATATTCATTACCTATATATCGTATCTTGTTCATAATGAAATAAATTTAATCACGTTTTCTGACGAAAATGAGTTTCAATTAATAAAATGCTAATATTTTTAGATGTCGATTTAGATTAAAATCGGAATTAAAGTCCATTAGAAGCTTTCTGAGGTACCGATTTACTGCTAATTTTGAATCTTCATTAACCCCTTACTTCAAAGTTTGAAATTATACTCTGAGATACCAAACTCATTTCTCCGTTAACAAAAGAAATTTTTTACTATACGAAATTAAGTCACAATGTATTTGATAGCGAAATAACTACGGTATTTCATTCCTCACATTCCATTAGAGTTAGTCGTAATATTCTCAATTTAACTTTACTGTTAGCGACATCAAGATCATGGGTTTCTTGCATAGTGATTGATCACTGTTTTTGGTACGAATACTCTTGGTGATGTACTGTCAGTAAACAATACGTTGTGTAATTCCTCTTAGAATACTATTGAAAATATAGTTTATTCAGACTACATAATTAATCTGGTGTTATTTGTTGTATAGTTTCTTTTTCATTCTTCTTTGCTATACAACTGTAATGTAATGTTTCGACCAATAATATTCCCGTACATGTATTTCTCTTTTTCTCATTTAGTCTTGCACTATGCCGCGTTAGTAAAACTTATGGATCAATTAATCCACGGTGTAAACAAAACAAAAAACCTGCAGTAGACCGCCTATCCTTAGCTATTCCTCCATCAGAATGCTTTGGTTTATTAGGCGTAAATGGTGCGGGGAAAACGACAACCTTTCGAATGATAACGGGGGATTTAGAACCTTCTTCTGGACATATAATAGTTGTTGGACATGATTTAAATAGAAATTTACGAAAAGCAAGTTTTCTGTCCTCAAGCAATTTATACATGTTTTGTCACTATTCAGATATCGATTGATGATTTAACAAAAGATACATCACGTAATGCGAATAATAACAATAGACTTAATAAGTTAGTAACGAATGCATTAAAGTGATTAAAATGGTTTTGTTACAATAATTGAAGGTAATTAAAGGTCATAGAGGTGTAAAAAATAAATGAAATGATATCATAAACAATTATGAATGAAATCATGAGAACATGAGATATAAGTAAACGGAGTAATGCAATAATAATAATAGTAATAATAATAATAATAATAATAGACTAAGGCCAAGGTAACGATAACTATAGGATGTACTTCTTTTGTGTACACGATTCTGACTTGATCTCATGGAGCTTCAGTTATTTTAAGGAGTTGGATACGAAGAAATCTAGGTAGATTTGAATTAATCGTATACACAACCTTAAAATCAAACTGGATCAGTGGAATAATTCGAGTCGATTAGATGGTCAAGAATGAAACTTCTAACATCTGCCAGTTCACCTGCTCTTTTGGAATAAGGTAATATTGACCATAACCAGCCACGATGATCGGAAATCGGTTAGAAGTTTCATTCTTACTTATCTAATCGATTCTAATCAATATACTGATCTACTTCGAATCTCATATATAATGGTTTCAAATGCTACAGAAAGCCATGATAATTGAATTTTATCTTTGTTCTATCCTACTAGGCACAACAGTCTTTGGGTTACTGTCCACAATTTGATGCACTCTTACCGTATCTTACTGGATATGAAACATTGCAGTTGTTTGCTCGTCTACGTGGAATTCAAGAAGGGCTTTTAAATACAGAAATCGATCAACTATTAAGTGATCTGAAGTTAACTGACCTTGCTCACGTTTTAGTCAGTCGGTACAGTGGTGGGAATCGACGAAAGTTAAGTGTAGCAATAGCGCTTGTCGGTGAAACTCCGCTTATTTGTTTAGATGAACCTACCACCGGTGTAGATCCTATATCACGTAGACATATTTGGAATTTGCTCTTAAAATATAGACGTCAAGGACGTACACTGGTACTCAGCTCACATAGGTATGATACATTTTCGTTGTGCTTTCAATTATTTACATATACATATTATTTACTTATAAAACCGACAATCTTATTGTTTATTTTAAGTGCGGATACTCAGAACATGAGTAGGTTAATTAATTTAAGTTAGGCTTTTTCTTATTTCTAGAAAATTTGGCTAAAATATGTAACATATTTAATGTATAACGTTTTCGTTTTTTTAAGGCTTGTAGAAATAACAACAAAAGATCATATGTCCTTGACTATCAACTAGATTTCGAAATCCCCGGCCGTAGCTGCTACCTTGACGTGGTGGTCGAGCTTGCCTATCGTGATGACCCAACCGAGCTATATTGACTGGAACATATGTTCCCGTAGGTTCTACCATGCCAGGCAGGTCGATTGGAGAACGGCAAGACTAAAAGCAGCAACTCAAGGTCTGAGGGCGAAGTCGTACTGCTGACTGCAGAGGGGTGTGACAGCAGTAAGGTGTTTCCTTCAAAAAACCAGCATCTGCAGCGATGCAGCCTTCTCACAAAGAAGGAAGGGGTTAGAAAAGGTCGACCCTAAAATGTCACACCTCACGGACTTCTGTCTCCGGTGGTAAGGGCAAACGATTCGAGTACGCGGAACTTTATTCCTGGTCTCCTGAAACCACACTCTAAACTATACGTAGGAGCTTTCAAAGTCGGAACACTGTCCCAATGAGACAACGGGCTTCCTTAGCTAGGACTTTAGAATCTCGAGCCATCGATGTGTGTTGCGTCTCCGAAACGCGCATACAGGACCCGAGTAGTTTCATTCACTTGACCTCACCATACCAAAATAAAGAACCGACTCGATTCACACTTCGTGTATCTGGAAGCCATGATTCTGCTTCCCATGGCTTCGCCGGCGTAGGTAGGATCCCAGTAGACAGTCGTTTGTGCACTGTCCGACTAAACGGAACAATAAGTACTCGGAAATATAAGGACATTCGTCGTTTCCTCTTCGTCGTCTCTGCCTATTCTCCCACTGGCTGCAGCTCAGATGATGTAAAAGATGAGTTTCATAGAAAGCTCTCCGACCTTCTCAGAAAAGCTAGGCGCTCTGATGTAGTAATAATGGCTGGTGACTTTAATGTTCAAGTAAGTAAACTAAGCGCGAGAGAGAAAGACACCTGGGTGGATCTTATGGTGTCGCGGCTCAAAGAACAGATAATGGCGACCATCTACCGCAGCTATTATCAGATAACCGTCTGTTTCTTGCAAACACTAACTTTAAGCACAAGAAAAAACATCTTTTGACATGGCGACCCCCGAATTTGTCCCAACGTTGGACCCTAATAGATCACGACGCTATCAGCCACTGGTGGAGGGGCTCGATAGAAGACTGTCACTCATTCCGGAGCACATGCTTAGATTTAGATCATTTTCTAGTGCGAGCGCGTATTTGTCTGCGTCTTACTGAACGTAGGAAAGACCCTGCAAGGAAACCTCTTAGGGTCCTACTTAATGATAGCCAAGCTAAGAATATATTTCAGGAACAATTAGAAAAACCGGTAGGTAGCCATGTAAGTGATGCCCACCGCGAGGCAGCATGGAATGATGCCCGAAAAGCTGTGGAAACAGCAGTGATATCTGCTAGTACGGTAACCCGTAAGGTTAGGGAGCAACACTGGATCTCAGCAGCATCTTTCGCACTGATAGATGCTCGGAAACTCATCCCATCTGGCTCTGAACATAATGAGGAGCGTAGTCAGCTTAAACGCAAGCTGATAAGAAGTCTACGCAATGACCGTGAACAGTGGTGGGTAGCGAAAGCATGAGAGATGGAAAAGGCAGCGGCAATAGGTAATAGTAAACAATTGTTCAGACTTGTTAAGGAAACCGGTATTAGGAAACCGACTGTTAGCGAAACACTCTCAGAGAAAGATGGACATATTATGCATTCTCAATCCAGGAGATTGGATCGATGGGCAGAACACTTAAGGGATCAGTTCAACTGGCCTCCAGCCACACTTCGGTTTCCCACGATCTCCAGTCAACCTGAATGGCAAGTTAGTGTAGGTCCTCCGACTCTTTACGAAGTTGAAAAAGCCATAGGAAATCTGAAGCGAGGGAGAGCAGCAGGCCCTGACAGGTTTACTCATGAGATTTTTAAGGATAGTGGTTCAGTATTAGCAATGAGATTAACTGAGGTGTTTGGTAGAATTTGGGAATTGGACGTAATCTCATCTGACTGGTCTCAGTCACTGGTTACGGCGAAATGTCATCTGCTTTTGCAACCTCAGGTGGTGTCCGTCAAGCCTGTCCACTTTCTCCATTTCGTTCAACTTCATCATAGACCTACTGATGGAAATAACTTTCTCGTCGACTGAATTCTCGGGTATTGATCTCCTACCGGGAGGTCCACTTATCGACTTAGAATAAGCAGATGATATAGTCCTGTTTGGTGAAGACGCTTATAAAATGCAGTCTTTTGATAGCACTGAACAACAACGCCAGAATGTTTGGAATGCGCTTCTCTCCCTCTAAATGCAAGTTGTTGCATCAGGACTAGCCTGCATTAAAATCTGAACTAAGGATAGGAAGTGAAGTAGTCGAACGTGTCGAAAGCTTCACTTATCTTGGAAATCTGATCAGCCCTAATGGGCTGGTATCGGACGAAATCTCAGCACGGATTCGAAAAGCTTGTTTGGCTTTTGCCAACTTACGTCGCCTATGGTGAAATCGAGATATCCGTCTATCAGTTAAAGGATGAGCATACTGCGCTGCAGTTCGTCCTGTTTTAATTTATGGCAGCGAAACATGGCCTTTAAGAGTAGAAGACACCTGTAAGCTACTAGTATTTGACCATAGATGCCTTAGAAATATTGCTGGCATCTGCTGGGATCACCGGGTAAGTAACAGTGAGGTTAGACGCAGGGTATTAGGGAATGATGGTAAATCAGTTGATGAGGTAGTGAATCTTCATCGACTGAGATGGTTGGGCCACGTGTTACGTATGCCTGAACAGCGATTACTACGTTGTGCAATGCTAACTGGTGTTAGAGATGGTTGGAAGAAAGTTAGGGGCGGCCAAACCAAAATGTGGCATCAGTGCTTGAAGTCACTAACTTCTAGTCTGAGCCATGTTGGTAGATGCAGACTACTTGGTTAGGATCCGCGTGACTTTCGTAACCAATGGTTGGAGACTGTGGGTGACATGGTACAGAATCGATCACAATGGCGTAGGTGTATATACTCCCTGTCTTCCCTTAAACTAAGAGATTAAAATTGCTCCATATCTTTCTTTCTACGAGCTAACTCTTTCTTCCTGTACTGTATCCTTATATGTAATCTTTCTCCTATATATTACCACCTTTGACCTAAGCACTCCTATGAATCCGGCGTTCATCTTGTTGTACTAATGAGGTATGGCAATTTGGACCGATGCACATACGTTGTAGCTGACTGACTGAATAAAATTAGCTATTAATCCGATCAATTGATTTGACTGACTACACTATTTTTCGTGACCATTTTCATCCCAAGAATTTTTTCTATAGCCAATGACGCTACTAGTTTCATGTGAACAAATTTACAATACTTTGATGTTTTCACATAGCTTTACAACCACTTATAGTAATATTTACATCCATAATAAACCATAGATGTCTTGCCGACATGTGGTTTCCCCCGTAAGTAAGCAAATTAAGTCATAATCTAGATGTTTATTTAAAAATGCTTTCACCAAACCAACCTATTTTCTGAACGAACAGAAACTTGTTTTTATGTATATATCTTGTGGGTTACGATGTTAATAATTTTGTAAACGAAATTTATGAAAGGACAGAATCCTAATCGTTAGATGATGTGCAATAATGTAATGTGGTCGAATGATGACCATTCACGAGACCGTTATTGACATAAGCCTACGAGTGATTTCAAATCAAAGACAAGATTATTGGCCAACAGAATAGCTCTGTGTAATAAAATGACATGATTACATGCAAAACATTGACGTAAAATTGACATGATAGATCACAGGCACTCGAAGAAAATTAGTCTGTAGGTTACTCAGTCCCCAAACAATTAAGACGATTGTTGAGCATAGTATACAGGACTCGACAGATTTTCAAACACAGCTATTAAGGTTTATACCTCCATCTAAGTATAAGTGCATTTAAGTGCTTGAGAAAATGGGCAATTTTTTGAAGATTGTTTTCACGACTGTTTGAACACATTTTTCCCACAACACAGCTGTATATTTTTTGATAGAGTATAACTATGATGTATCAATTATCATGCTATTTATTTATTTAAACACATAAACATTGGTTAAAGGAGGCACCAAATTGATACGTGCCACATTATTCGATTTGTGTGAGGGCTGGGATACTACCCGGGTACCCAAATCGAGGCATTAGCTCAACAATATTAGTACTCACTAATCTGATTAGTCAACCTCTAAATTGACGATTTATTCCTTTGGTTAACAGCTCACTAGTTATCTAAAAAGACATACTGAAGTACATTGTCTCTCTACTTAGGCTACCAGGATTAACACTGTAATGTATCGAGTGTGTACTCATTTTATTTAGGAAACCATCGATCACAAGCTGATGGACATGCGGTTGCCAGATAATGTTCGAAATATCCTTTGACGACAGTTGAAGAACTCTATCTTTCCAATTCATAAAGTCCAAAGATTTATATTGGTCTATCAATTAAATGTACGTCCTTTTGGAAGTCTCATCAACCCTTGTGGTCTGGTGTGTGACGAAATCTCATCACGGATACAGAAGGCTCGATTAGCTTTTGCCAACTTACGTCATTTATGGCGTAGGCGAGATATCCGTCTAACAACCAAATGACGTGTTTACTGCGCAGCAGTTCGTTCCTTCCTACTTTATGGCAGTGAAACATGGCCGGTAAGAGTAGAAGATATTCGTAGGTTACTAGTATTCGATCATAGATTTCATCGAAACATTGGTCGTATATCCTGAGACCACCGAGTAAGTAACTCAGTTGTTAGGAAACGGGTACTAGGTAAGGATGTCAAATCAATTGATGAAGTAGTAAAACTTCACCAGTTGAGATGGCTGGGACACGTGTTACGTATGCCCAACCACCGACTGCCTCGACGTGCGATGTTTTCTGGTGTAGGAGTAAGTTAGAAGAAAGCCAGGGGTGGCCAGATCAAAACGTGGCACAAATCCATGAAGTCACTGACAAGTGGACTGAGCCATGTTGGCAGGTGTAGACTACCTGGTTGGGGACCGCGAGATGATACCAACCAATGGTTAGAGACCCTGAATGACATGACTCAAAATCGTTTGCGATGGCACAGGTGCATTCACTCTTAGTGTTCTCCCAATTTCTAATCTTCTGAATTCTTCATGTCCTTTATTTTCTTCCCAAATTTGTTTCACTGGATTATACTCCTTGAATAACATCTTCAAACCCTAATGTTTCCGATTACTGCTTATACTCGTACTACCTTTACCACAACGGGATTGAATCGATAACTGCATCTCTGTGCTAATGTGGTATGGCAACTCAAACTGATGTACGTACGTACGAAGTTCTACATTGTTTCTGACTGACTGGATATTTCGAATTTGTGTGACATTAATTCGTAGAAACCGTCTGAACTTTGAATAAATGTGTTCACTTTGTGACTGATCAGCAATACATAATACCGAATTATTTTTCTACAAAATCTTGAATATTGTGTTCACTTACGTACCGTTACGTATTCTCCTAATATGATCAACTTACAACAAATACTCAAATGTATATATTTGATCATTTAAACTGTGAGATAGCACAACTTCACGATGGTGGTATATCAACTGTGTTGGTGCAAAATAATGGTTCATTGGTTTCACTCCGACTGTATGCAGATTGTTAGATGGCCTTTGTGGATTCTCTGATGGATTCACTCGATTGATTGTCACGTCTAACATAGTCAGTTAAATGCCCTCTCAAGTCTAATAATTCGGGCAAACAGTTTGTAATAAGGAATAAGAATCAAATAGTAGGGTTCGCTATTAGGTCAAAAACGTTTCGCGAAATTCGCTGTCTGTCATCAGAGTTCTGTACAGTTTTCACAAATTGAACTTCTAACGAGAATACCTATCACATTTTATCCCCAGAACAGGCAAACTAGTATTGGTTTCCTAATAATTCAACGTTGAAGTATTTCAGGTGGTTGGAAATACATTTTATATTTTCATGATCAATTACGCCTTTCATATCTGGAAACAATACATAATCTGGCTTCGTACAAAGATGTTAACTTCACCTAGATACGTATATGCTATTTAGTTTAATGTAGACAATATAAAGCTATTCTGTCAGTAGTAGATGACTTCGACTCCTAAGAGACCAAAGTAATTCTTTTACTTGGATGTGGTTTCCAAAACATCCTAGTCATATTATTCCTGTATCATGAAGGATGCTCGTTTGTACTAGCTGCACCACGTTATTCTCCTTCATTCGTTTTCTGTTTTCAGTATGGAAGAATGTGAAGCATTATGTTCTCGTGTCAGTATTGTTGTCAATGGTAGAATGAAATGTTTAGGAACGTGCCAACACTTAAAAGCACGTTTCGGTCATGGCTATAGTCTTAATATACAAGTGATGATTCCGATGGTAAATCATCATCTCAGTTCACTTAATGCTGAACCAACCGTGTCATCAACATCAAGTTCCCGTGTCCCACATCAGTTGTCATTAATTAATGCAGTAAATAATGTGGATAGTTTTATCAAACGTGAATTTCCCGATGCACGTTTAGTTGATCGACATCAGGTAAATGCATTCTTTCTCCATGGTAAAATTTCTCAATCTGATACTTCTTCGTATTTGGTTATTTTTGTATATTACATTATACTACTTATTAAAACTCAATAACTAATTTCAATTTCGATCATTCATACAAACCTGTAGCATTCTATTTACTTGTCATTGTAATGATAACTTATTATGGTGTATTTCATGTTTTTTTTTACCTACACATATCGTTTTTCCAAGAACACCTAAAAAGATAAAGAAATTCATTCACCAGGTACGTGAATGTGCCACACTGGAATTGTAAGTATTAATACTACTCGGTCACAACCGATATATATATATATATATATATATATATATATATATATATATGCAGCACACTCATCACTTTGACTGTCGAAGAAGCAGTTAATGCTCAAATAATTTTAAGGTGAAGGCTTCAATATTCTGTCGGTTTTTTTTTAAAATCAGGACTGTATGCACTACTCATGTTACAGAGGTCGTACTTTGTTACTCACCTGGTAGATTCCAGTTAACTCTGTGGTCAAGGGCACAAATCTTTATGATGATTTTTTTATCATATATGTGACATGCATAAGTATTTTTATGGTTTAAGGGTCTGTCCCTCCCACTTTATTCATTTGAACCAATGTTTTTGTTGTGTTTAATTACAGGGTGTACTACAATATCATTTACCAACAGATGGGAGAAATCAAATACGCTTAAGTCATATATTCCACCTTATGGAATCGAATAAAACACGTCTCGGACTACTAAATTATTCAGTTAATCAAACAACTCTAGAACAAATATTTATAGATTTAATTAAACTACAAGAAGAACCTGTAAATCAATAATTTTAACTCGTACTACCATGCAACAGTAATGACATTTGATTCAGTTTTTAAACCTTGGTCAATTAACAGTCAGAAAAATTCAGAGATCAGAACGTATACATTACGTTCATCATAATGTTTATGTTATTTTTTAATTCTTATTTTCAGTTCAGTTCTGGAGATTGCTTCCTCTGTATTTTTTAATGTGTGTGGATTATTTAAGCCTGATTAATGAGAGTTTTTTAATGATTCGTTATGCCATTTCCATTCTACGTTTATTATCGTAAAATCTATACATATTTTTAATGACTATTTTTGACAACTTCATCTTCAATCTAACATGTACGCATACGCATATACACACATTGTTGTCAGTGTCATAATTACCTTATCAATATTATGAGCACGACAGCAATCAAAATCCCGCTTATTGAACCTGCTATCCTGTGATTAGAAAATCATCCATATTCGATTGTTTTTACACGTGCTTCGTTTTATGTAAATTTTTATCTCACATTAATGATAGTTTTTTATAGAAATATATATTTTTTTCGCTTGTAAAGAGATACTTGAGGAACAAACTCAAAATTATTTTAAAGATATATATTGAAATGATGACAATTCAACTCTCAGTTTTATTAAGTTAGGATAGTACCTAGCAATGGAATCCAAGGTTCCTGTTTAGGACTCATTAGTTGTATTCCAGTGTCGGTTTGACATTTGGACGCGAATTTAGTAATTTTTGCTTCAAACCTCTACACATTAGCCACTGAGTTCAATAAGCCAATATCCCGCTCAAAAGATATGAATTTTGTTAAGTGTTCGTATTTTCCCGTTGTTGATGTTTAGAACTACAGTTTATCAGTCTCTATACCTACAATGGGATTGTTAAAATGATCCATTTTCCATTGATTTAAAATCAGTTTAAATGAACTGTATGTTGACATAGTCAAATACCAGAAATCACGTAGATATTAGAAGTGATCATGAAACAAAAAATGTTAACGTAATGTATGAGTAGATACATAGTACTGCTGTATAATTAAGCCTTATTCCCTCTTACAAACACGTCTGTTTTTTTAGATGAAGAATTAAAATCATCTCAAGAAGATTGCTTTGTTTATCTTATATAATTAAACACCAGAATTTACTTCGACAACAGTTGTACTATCAGAGAATGATTCGGAAATATGCTTTCTGTTTGTTTCTACCTATTTATTGAACAGTGCACTTGAAAAAAGTTGTTCCATACCTCTCTTAACGAAAGTTTTTACAAAGACAGCTGGATTTTATTGACCGTATCTTATGTGGAAGGTGATTTTTGCCTAATAAACTTGATACACTAAGCTTAACATTGGTACAACTTATACACTAGACATTTTCCCTACATAGGTTTATTTCTCTCCAGCACGTTATGTGTGACATAAATTCTCCTGATTTACTCATCTTAATGATTCTCATTATCAGAGGGAATTATAAATTAAGAAGTTTATTGTAAACTAAATAACATTCCGAAAGAAGTTCATATCCATCATTCAACCTAGCGGTCACAATTCGTATTTTCACAGTTATTATTCTTATGTTTAGTTGTCAGCTTGCTAAATGATAATCTAGTTGACTAACAAATTAAATTTGTCGAAACTACTTTTCCATGAAATGAGCTTTTGTTTTTTCCATTCAATTACAACCTCTGACTTTTCAATAAAGTTATTAACACTGAACTCTTATCAAGTTTGGTCCAGTTTAACCAGTCATTTAAATATAACACTGTAACTATCAGCTAAACTGGGATTGTAGACATAAATTTCCCAAAAACAATTGCCTGCAATATATGCTTGCATCACAGAATGATTGCTTCATTTTGCTCACTACTAGTATTTCCAACAACCGATCCCACCCTTGTTTAAATTAAATCTGTAGCATAGGATAAAAATTATGAGTTCAAATCATATGAAAAATACACTAATGTCCCTACCGCTCAATCATGATCATAGTTGTAGAGCCAACAGAACCATTGAACACTAATCTAAAAATACGAGAACTAGATAAAAACTCGACTAATTGATCGACAGTCGATTGTAAACTCAGTCAGTCAGTCATTAACAACGTAGAACTTCGTACGTACGTACATCAGTTTGAGTTGCCATACCACATTAGCACAGAGATGCAGTTATCGATTCAATCCCGTTGTGGTAAAGGTAGTACGAGTATAAGCAGTAATCGGAAACATTAGGGTTTGAAGATGTTATTCAAGGAGTATAATCCAGTGAAACAAATTTGGGAAGAAAATAAAGGACATGAAGAATTCAGAAGATTAGAAATTGGGAGAACACTAAGAGTGAATGCACCTGTGCCATCGCAAACGATTTTGAGTCATGTCATTCAGGGTCTCTAACCATTGGTTGGTATCATCTCGCGGTCCCCAACCAGGTAGTCTACACCTGCCAACATGGCTCAGTCCACTTGTCAGTGACTTCATGGATTTGTGCCACGTTTTGATCTGGCCACCCCTGGCTTTCTTCTAACTTACTCCTACACCAGAAAACATCGCACGTCGAGGCAGTCGGTGGTTGGGCATACGTAACACGTGTCCCAGCCATCTCAACTGGTGAAGTTTCACTACTTCCTCTGTCTTCATCATACTTGAAGAAAGGTACTATTCTGAAGTATTTAGACTGTCAGCGCACAACATATATACACCTTTTCATGACAAGAATAGTGTCGGATAAATTAGAAAGTTATCCTCTTTTAAAATTGAAGAAAGATATCTCTGTATCACAAAGTAATTGAATTTTGAATAGAAACTAACTGAATAGCATTGTTACGAAGAAGTTGGTTTGATCTCTCTTAGGTTAAGAGGGGTCATCTTCAAAGAGATAAAAGACAGCACAGAATATTTATTCAGTACTAGCTGGTTCTCAAAGGTCACGAAGCTGATAACAGTTCTTGATCAAATTTAATTTATAACCAATACAGAGTTACCGTAATAAGCAACTAGAAGTATGTTCAATTTCCTTGAAAACAAGCTCAGGTCATCAAAGTACATCTTCATAAATCAAGCAATCTTTGTACTTTTCCATCCGGGCAATTTGTTGTTATGGTGACTTCGTATGAGAACAAGTCATTCTTTTATATTTGTTTGATTTCACTCATTTCTTAATAAATAAAGAAACATTCATCACAATATAAAGTTTATTTAAGTAATTACATGAACATCGTTAGTATTGTTAATCAATCCACAAGCGAAAAGGGTGAAAATGCACTTAAATTCTATTCTACATTAATTAATGGATCTTTTGTTCTCATAAAAAAAAATCGTACAAAATGTCATACTGTCCTATTTGAAAAGAGAAAATCACTTTTCATCCTACACAAACAATTGGAAATGAATACATTTCTGTAATTATATGTATGTTGGTCTAAACTCTACTTGTATGACCCGTTTAAACTAGTTTTCTTTTTGACCAATTTTACTTCCTTAACAATACTTAATTCATATACTGTAATTTTTAAAAGGTGTCTTAAACAAAGTTATGTATTTGGAACAGTAGTTCAGATGCACCTCTGTAAAGCCCTATGAAGAGTTATTTAAAAGTGTATCATTCCTTATATATCTGCAATTTTAATATGACGGTAACTATTTTGATTATCTAAATGAGTGATTAGATTTTAATGATGAGACAGCCCACTTTTTGTGAAGCGAGTTCGATCATTAAAAGAACAATGAGAATAGATTAATATGGATGAGCGACTATTACTTGACAAAATCACAGTGCATCGTGACGCAATTAGTGACAATATCACATAAAACTTATCAGGGTTTACTTCAATAAGGACCAACAGGATGAATGGGAAATAACTAGTAGTTCGCTTTAAAATGACATAACTCGTCATCTAAAACTTCAGGAAATGACAAACAATGTAAAGATGCTAAAGTCAATCACAATTCATTAGTTGTTGAAAAAGCATGAACTCACATAGAATAGGTTATTATTTGTTCGGTTCACAACATATTATGTGAGCAGAGTTCAAATGGAAACAAAATATGCCCAAAGGTTATGAATTACATTCCAGTTTATATGTTCTACGTCTCGTCGGAATGGAACCAGTATACATAAAGAGTAACAAAGGCGTTGGTTTACTGAATGACCACACCATGAAAAGGACACAGATAAACAACAAAAAGTTGTGATTTATGGATTATCGGACGGCGAAGTGTAGATCTTGCTCTTGTGCAAAATATGATGTCAATATAGATCAACCAAATAAATCCAATCATGTTCCAAATAAAGCTAACTTAGAAGTAAAACAGTAATCGCTATAATAAAAATAATCAAATCATAGCTAAGACAGCTGACAGTCTAACGATTGCAACTTCAGCTCATTTTCCAGCTGTCATCAAGTATTCCTTCTAAGTCCGAATTGATCGAATACAGTCACTATCATCTGAAAACAAGTAGGCTATGAGAGTCGAAAATTTCCTTCTGTATGATATTGGACTAGGTGAAAAATGAATTTTGATGTTTCCTACAACTCAGAGTCACGAATGGAACAGCCAAGACCTCATCGCTTCTGTTTACAAAGATTATACTATGAAATTCAATACTACTATTGTCTTGGTTTATATTCTAATGAATGACGAAAGTATAAAGATGTTGTATGTACATCTTCAACGAACTTAGCAAACTACATACAAAGTAAATCCCTCAACTATCTCGACTGATTATAAACGTTTAGCCAATATCAGCATATTAATGTGTATGTCTAAATGTATTACAAAGTCTCAAGGCTATAGCGAATTAATTATCCAAATTGTACTGTAAAATATCGATATTTACATTGTGGAAGATCTTAAATTGAATAATGTAGTAGTGAGGTGGTGTAGCGACTTTAGTCAATTCGCTAGTTCTGCTGATCCTAGCATACACGAATTCTCCTATGCTCTAAAAAGCAATAGAGTTTAAATGCATTAAAAATAGAATGGTTTGTTTCTGAGACCCAATAACAGTGTGGAATAAAAAGTTCAAGCAGGTAGAAACACGCATCAAACTACTTGTCAATAATTATGGAAACAGATTCATAAATCGCTATTTGGATCCTCACTCTTAATTTATTACATTTAGCCGGTTAATATACTTATTGCATTTTGTCCTTGACTTAACTGACATTCCCTCTTCTGATATTCACTCCTATCTATCCAAGACACTTTGTTGATGTGCATATCATGGAACTGTGTTATTTCTAAAGGATACTATTTATTTTAAACAGGATTACTACGTGAACAATACTACGCTTAATCTGTATTCTAATCGGATGGAGTTGAACTTTTTATTCTGTTCTGTTTTCCCCTCGTAGTATTGATGTTGTTTAATTTTGATGAACCAATAAGAAGACAGAATTTTGAAAGTTACTTCATTGTAATTGGTTGGTTAATATTTTAAAATATTCTCCAAACCATCAACATTATTTTTTTTATATCCGAGTTTATCTGAGCAAAAATCTTTTGCTTCTGAACAATATGCTAAACAACATGAATACAATAATGAAAGGTTTCATTCTATTAAATTTATTTCTAATTTATTCTCGATATTGTCGTACTGTCCATTTGGGTAAGTCTTTGAAACCTAAACAATTTCGTCCTTATGATTTAACAACCCACATTTTAATTTCATATGAACAAGAGCTGATAAAAATATCATGTTGTAATGTTAAAAATTTAATCCAGAAGTCTAGATTTTGTGATCATATTTCTCTTAAAAAACCAAGTCAATGGCAGATTCTCATCAACATTCTTCAACCAGTTAACTTAAAGAAAAACAGAACAAATCATTTCTAGCTTTTATTTAAGTAAAAACGGAATATAGCTAATTACTTATTCAGTGTTTGTTGACTATTTTGAGCACAAACTTCAGTAAGCAGCTGCGTTTTGTTAAATAACTCGATAAATAATGATCACTATTCAATTTTAATTATCAATAATTATGCTTTACAACCCGTTGTAATAACATATCATTATATTTTATTTAAAGGCAAATTAATTTACGTAAACATCAGTCAAACATTCTAAGAACAAGTATGAAAAGTGACGTATTTTCAACTTCAGTAAACAAATTTAAATGCTATAATACGCAGTATTCGATGTTCATATGGTGAAAGCAAAGAAAACTGTTTAACCTTTCAATGCACTACTTGAGTAAATCTGTTATTTGGTGCTTTCAGATTAACAGAAATTTATACAGCCGAGTGAAAACCAATTGTGTGTTTAAGGTTTAGTGTCTATTCAAAGCATACAATCCCAGAGAATCAAACTAATGAATTTATACAGTACTTAGAGCCATACCCTTGTTTCTTAGGCCTCAACGACACCATATAGTCATGTTAACTAACTACTTAGTTGAATATTTATGTTAAAATCTGACATAAAATCAGTTTTTGATTGTTTAAAAAGATGCCACAAAGAAATAGTTCTGGAAAAACTAGGTTTGAAAATATATTGATCCTATTCGAATTAAAATCAAATTTAGTACTTAAAAATCCAGTTTCAGTAGAGCCCTGGCTTCCTCGCATTCTGACTCGTTGAAATAACTCCTTACATCAATCTTGAATGATCCCCAAGGAAAGATAAATTATTTATTTCTGTTAACGGTAGAACGTTGACGGGACGCAATTACTTAAGGAAGTAAAATTAATGCAACACGTCTGTCACCAGTTCACTCGATTCATGACAGTTTGTAGAGAAGCCTCCAGATATGTAAAATCAATGTCTGTTTTGAAAATTAGGTTTCTAACAAGTTTCCTAACTAACAACGTTAGTAAAATTCATGGAGAACTTGGAAAAATCTGAGAGCAGTTGGTCAACGGAAGTTATATATACATCGTATATACTCCAGGATCCTAAATTTTGATTATTTTCACGTCGTTTTGGATCACTTCATGCAAACTAAAACGTAACCACTTGTCAAAACAATTGTTTTAGACTAGAAGCTAGCAGCGACTTTTCACGTTATCACTGATTTCATTATTACTAAATCGTTTTGTGGGAGTTTCTGTGAAAGCAGACAAGTCAGACGAAATATTGAACACTCACTTGGAAGAATAAAATATTATTTAGATTAAACAACATTTATTATTATTCGAAGATGCTATGAGTCAAGTTTTTATCAATTTGTGTGCATTGTAAATTTTAGATTCTATCTAAAATGTACTATATAATGTAAACTAATATTTTACTATATCAGGGTGTATGAACTTTGCAAGTTCTCCTACCATTCTTACCTTCCCTGTGAAAAAGTTATTTTATTCTAAATGAATAATGAAATAACTTGTTTTGTGCCTTTAGTGATATTTATTCCAGAAGAACAATCGTATTTGAATCTAGCGGCAGAATTAGCAATTAACAGACATAATTTGTTGCAAGACAATATGTCAGATAACTATGTAACTGTAAATTTTCATAAAATTAACCACAGAGATCCACGTTCATGGAGTAATTCTATCAAAAATGGTGAGTGGCTATGTTTAGTTTCTATGATTGTTGTTGTTTTCTCATTCAAATAAGTCTCCATTATTATGTCCATTCTCTATAAGAAGGATGCACCAATCACCTTAGGTGGTTATATTTGATCCTAACATTTTGCGATTTCGAACTTGTCAGTTGAGTCTACCAATGTCAAAAAATGTTGGCGTTTTCTAAACCAAACTTAAAATCAACATTTGTTTGCGAATCTGGTTCAATTGAAAGCCAATTCTACAAACATTAAAATTAATTTATCAAAATTCAAGAATTAATGGCTCAAAAACTTGAAGTGATACCATCTAGGATGATCAACTCAAATTCATATTAGCGTAACGAACATTCAGAGTTAATATTTTCGTTGTGATTGAAACCTTATGGTTATTTAATGTGAATAGTGCTAAACGTCTTACTTCGTTAAGTAATAAAATAGATTAGTTTATTATATTTACGTCAGACATAAATCACGTAAGTGCAATTGGGTGACTAACACAGTAGAGAGCCAATATTAATAATAGTCGCCCAACAGACTAGAGATAAGTAAAAACTAAGGATAATTTATAATTTCCCTATTCTAAACATGTAGATCTAACCCATCTGAAAGTATTCACTATTAGTAATTTAGACTTATTCGAAATTATATGTATGGAATGTTTTTATGTTAATACACAAACATTTCACAGCTTTCATACAAAAGCTTAAAACATTTGCAATTTTTTTGTACTACTTACAAGCAGCTGAAAAATAAAGCATTTTATAGCAAACGACTTGGTCATTCTTTCTTTCAGTTTGCTTAAATATTCAAAATGATACGATAGAACATCCAGATCTTTTAATCGATCTTACACCACCATCGCAAGCTAGTTGTGGCATTCAGAAATTAGCTCAACAAATTGATTCCGGAATTATAACGCTTAATTATTATGACTGCCCGCCGTTATACATTAATCAAACTCTCCTTAATAAATCAAATCTCATCACAGAATTGAATATACCTTCAGTAAACTTCCCTCCTGAAGCAGTGGCATCTGCAATATCTGTTTTTGGAAATACAATCGCTGGTTCTCTTCGAACAGAGACTATAATTAGAGGAAGCGATGAGACTGGTACGTAAAAATGATATGTTACTGTTCATTAACTGGGTGAATATTTTCCAGTCTTTTGATTATTTTACTGCTAGATAAATTGTGCACAAGTTATTTGTAGTTAATCAGAGCTAGAAGGAAATTTCTTAATTGAGTAAATACCGAACAGAGTTTCTAGTTACTATTTACTTACATTTGTTTCTAAAAAAATCGCCTCATTTCATTGGATGCCTATAATTTGAATCTAATTAGTGTAAACAGAAATGATGAATAGTGAATCAACTCGAGTTATCAGCTGGTACTTAATATATATTTGTATCAGTCAACCGAATTAATAATGATGTTCAATAAAACTCACTGTAGTGGTCATTGACCATAAGAATTAGAAAATTGAGCCCATGAATAAGTAATCAAATGTTCTTTTGTTTCTCTGAATCCTTCATTAGAATTGAGTTTCTTCTAAGAACTAGTAAGTACATGGTATGGTTGACATGATATTTTGGGCTTAAAATAATATCACCTATTATAAAATTGTTTTTGTTTACAACTAAATGAGGCTTCATTAACCAAGTCAACAGTGCAGATTATCATGTGCCTAAAATTAACATTATTAACATAAAGCATAAATCCTTTAATTGCACATTCATATTATAGTAGTCTCACAGCAACGATTTAATCGCACACTTCAACACTGTAATAAATAAATGTAATAAAATTGATATACAGTATTCCATAAACTGTTTTGTATACTACTGTAAAAAGTGATAGAATAGCAGCAGATTACAACCGGCTTATCTAACGAATACGAATGACTCCTTATATCACCAATAATTTGTCACCTAATTCAATATGTACTTATTAATACAAATTCAATTCTAAATCCAGTACTTCCTTATGATAAAATTTGTGCATACAGAGCTGAATTTTTATCGGACAACAATGAAATAAAACTAATGAGAATTTCAAAATGATTTAATAGACATCTGTTGATGTTTGCCCACTGTTATAGATGAAGTAATAACAACTAAGTAATATTATATATTTCTGTCCATATAACTCCAAAATACCCTAATCATTACTCATAAGTATCAAGTACAACCATGATCTCTATGATATGTTAATAAGTCAATTGTTTTTGCTCAATTTATTCTGGACGAGATATCATACATTTAAACTTCAGGTTCTATTTTCGGTCATCTAGAGGAAATATATTGTAACGTGCTATGTAAATCTTTTTTACAGTGACTGATATCCTAGTCACCTGAGTAGAAAACATTTATTTGCTACTAGCGTGGTGTATAATACTTATGTCGATATAAGTAGTATATAACACCAGTTGGAAGAGGAATGCCTAGGTCGAATTGAAGAGAACGGAGAAGAGAGTTGTTGCTGTGGCAATGAAGGAATGATGAAGTTTGAGACAACTGATGGGATATTTTCAAATGAAATATTTTATGTATGGTTCTTATATTTTACCAAGATACTCAGTAATTTTGTATTGATATATAATCAGGTGTCCGCCACTTGTGTTCTCATTCACTGCACTATGACCTAATAATCCTCTGGAAAAAACACCAATAAACTGAAATACTTTTGTGTAAGGTGATGCGTTGATACATCAACTTCATTACTTTGCCCCTTAGGTTTATGGACTAGAATAATGGGAAGAGTTGTTTTAATGCAATAGAAATACATTAAACCTACAATGGTTGCTTGATCATTTGTTTAGCTCTACTTTTTAAATTAATTATCCAATATTATATGTAAAATAAACTGTGAAGCTCTATAAAAATCTGCTGTTTTTTCCACAAATTCCAAACGACATTTCAAATATTTCAACTTAATCTAACTTCAAGCATAGTATGATATTTCAAGATTCGTTTTATTCCTTTTAAAGATAACAATTCCCTAGGAGCAATGGTCGTTTTATAAACATTTGTTCTGTCAATAAAATTAATCATTTTGATGATTTCAAAACTAAGTTGATAAGAAATTCTGTGATTTTTAAGCTGTATTTATCTTTTGTATGCTTTTCCTAAATCCAGGTTCTCAAATCACAATTTCAGACTATCGTGACTATCCGTCTGTGAGACGGTTCTATCTTACTTTGCCGTCACAACTGAATGAATCACAATTAGCACAGTCCCTAGAAGAAATAAAAAACGTGGTTATGAATAAATTATGGCTATTATTAGTTGATTCGCAAACAGTGTGGAATATACTTACAACTGTAGCTAAATTCCAGCAAACCGATGTACAAAATTGGATAATATATGAAGAGCATGTTAATTGTAATTTCTTATGTATGGGATCAGACGTAACTGGAAAACGAAACTGTTTAACATACAGCAATTTAAATAAACTTTATTGCCTGAAAATCGGTACATCCGGTGCAGATAAAAACGAATTGGAAATGATACAAAACTATTACGGAATAATTTGGAATAATGAATCTTTTAAACAAGTTAGTTAAAAGCTTATAAGATCAGACTACTTATTATCTCGAGTAGCATTATCTGAAAAAATTTAAATTATTACGACGAATTACTGTGTGATCACGATTAGGTTGATGATTTGACCTTTTTCAAAATAATTATTTTAATATTTCGATATCATGCTATAAGAGTATTTTTGCGCTCTATTGCATTTTTTTTTATTCAATTACTAATTTTATCCACACCATGCACATTTTACTGTTGGTGAGAAGGAACGAAAATAATTTTAAACCATATGTAATGTTAAATTAATTTGAAGAAATAATGTCTGATAAGCACATATATCGGTAGCCTGTTTGGAAAACTGTCATCATCCTTGAAAAAGTAGGTTCCGAAAGACTAGGTGTGATAATAGATTAAAACTAGAGGAAATTTTTAGCTGAATAAACAAATCATATTATCAAGCTGTACAATCGTATATATATAGTGTTATGCAGAGATATTTTGAAATGACTCTGAAATCCGAAGTCTTTTTATAAACTATGTCGCCCAACGTTTTACTGACAAAAAGTAAACCACTTAGATGAATTCTATTGTCCTAACAATGATGATGCGATTCCCATGGACAATTACGTTCTAGTCATTACTACCATATAAGGGATACTTAATCTACACACCAATATTCATGAGTTGTAAAGTGATTTTCCAACCCTTCTTTTTCTTGTTAAATTAAAACTGACAGTTTGTTGCATTGAGTGCATATGAAACCGTTAAATCTGGTTTATTGGCACTGAATTCCTTACTAGTCGATAATCAATGGCCAGAAAGCACAAAATCAACAAACTCATCAAGAAAAATGTGTGATTCATCGATGCCCACTATCGATTCCACAATGAGGTTTTATCGTTATTTAGAAGCCATAACCAGGGTAAGCACCGTGTTTTGATTATATCATAAAATTATGTTATATATATATATATATATATATATATATATATATATATATACCATGAGATATATCTTGTTCTGATATAGAATATGCTATTTCTCCGTTGTAACAATATGATCCATAAATAAGGTTGAAATATTTTTATAGCTCAACCTAAGCAAATGATTGAGCTATACATAAGTCTATTTAATTATTGAGGTTATAAAAGTGTGTTCTAAAACTAGTATTCAATCTAGAATTTTTTTAATACAACGAGAATGTGCTTCAGTTAGAATGAGTTAAATAAATCCTGATACACTGTATTCCGAAAATTTTTATCTCAGCTTCCTAACGAAATGGTACTACTGGAATAATTGATTTTAACAAAACAGTAACCAATCAACATGCTATCTTTCATTTACAACAATGTTTTGGAAAATCGAACTCGTCGGAAGCAATGTGCTATGATGTTGTAAGTTACGTTTTATTGTATGACACATTATGGGACGATAATTTTAAATGTATCATATTTTTTTTATCTAACTCGAGGATGGATAAGACTATAGATTCATTCTGATTTGTGAATTTTCACCAGCCTTAATATTTTTGGAATCAAACTCAGCTTTATGGGGCTGCATTCCCAGCTGTCTACGACTAAACATCACAGAGCATGAAAACTTTGACACTTGTTTAGTGAAATATACTTTAAAGTTGTTGTTTCATACAAGTCAGCCGTTCAAATTTCTAAGAGATTCAACTAACGCACTAAAAGAAGCCAGACATAATAAAAAGATTATGCAAATGACTGATCATGAATTTGGTCGTCTACTAAACTTGCTTATTCAGCAAACTACACACAACTTAACACAAGTGGAGCGAACTAAATTAGAGACATTAATCACCATACATCTTCATCAAAAAGATATTTTCTCATCATTAGTAAGTACAGTTGATAAATAATTGTGTCTATTCATAAGCTCAACATTCTATAAAAATTATCACGAAAAATCAAGATTTAACTGTCTGTCTCGTCAATGTTTCCATTAAAATCCACCCTTGCCAACCACTGATGTTAAATTTCTTCGATATACAAACAGTATGAAACTAAAAAAATTACTGACTTTTCGAATACGATGTCTAGATTAATTTAGATTCGTCTGAATGAAGATTTACAGTTACAATTGAGATTTGTTGGGTCTGTGAACTAACAATATGACTATGTAGCGTTCTAATCACGCTTATTGACCAAGAAAAATTAGCGATATGTAACTGATTTCTGATTATTCATTTAATACAAACACATACTACATTTTTACTCGACATTATATGGAAACCTTTAAAATTCAATAGGTATTGGTTTAATGCATGAAATCAGGCTTGATTCTTTAAACGTCTCTAGTGGTTTGAATCAGGCTAAAGAGGAGGGATCAAAAACATAACGAAACGTCGTCTTTGATTACGTATTCGTTGCCATGACCGATCATGGCATACAATTTAGTGTCAAAACTGAGAATACACTGATTTCAGATATTCACCATTTAGCAGAAATTGACACTGTTTTAATAATTTTAAACAACTATTAAATTGGTGTTTGTGAAGAGTAAAACAGTTTTCAGTAGCTATATTTTTCCCCATTTAGTAAACTTCAGGTGTTCTATTTTGAGTGAAGCCATTAAATAATTAGTCAGACTGAATTACTTACTTACATGAATCTTATTTATTCTGAATAAAGGTTTATCTATTCGAGGCGGCTACTATTTTATCTGTCATATCACTTAATTTCAGATGCTTCCGTTGATTTTTCAGTTCAATGAATGTCAAATCTCATGTACTTGAATTCTTGAGTTGATTGTCTCGGTTGAGACTAACTGAAATGAATTATACAGATGACTTTTAACTTTATCTCGATTCTTCGCATTCAATGCTAGCTACAAAATATCTAAAGTGAAAATAATAGCTAGTTAAAAGAACTTATTGTAATATGCGAATGACAAACATTCATTGTAAATTAGGATATATTATTTAAACAAAATTTCCATATTTCTCAATATCAAAGACTAAATTTTAAATGCAATAGTATTTCAACTCTGATACTTGAAATTAACCATTAACCTGTATGCATTTTCCATGCATAAAATGATCAGTTTAACTTTGGAAAGTTTATCCAAGTCTTGTTCGACTGAATTTATTCATTTGCTGAATGTGAAGGTTGATTCATTGAACTATAAGCAAAGAAATTTATGTGGAACTATGAATTTATTCTGTTCCCCTTGGATAATTAGTATTATGTAAATTATTTCTTGAATCGTACGAAATCTTAACAAAATCATCTAATTTAAAGAAATATACAAACATAAATCTTTTTATCATTACTTATCTAAGTCATACTTTATAGAATTAAACCATTGCATAATAAATATAATGTTCAAACGTAAATTACTCACTTGATATTATTCTTACTACTGCATAGTTTTGGATAAATAACAGCTTCCACTTGATTGACTGTTTTAGGTTAAAGACCGTATCAAATCACCAACAGATTTTGATTGGCTTAAACAAACACGTTTCTACTATTTAGAAGATTCAGATGTATGTCTAATTTCAATTACCGACGTAAATTTCATTTATCAAGATGAATTTATCGGATGCACAGAACGACTGGTTGTTACACCACTTACAGATCGGCAAGTTTTCTTGACATGAATGGTTTTTATTAATATAACCTTTGTAATGTCCTACTGAGTAGAAAATTGTATTTCTGACGTTTCATGACTTAATGTAAGCCATTTCTTCAGGGTAAATGCATAGCCGAAATAAAATTAACACATGTTTAAGTAGTATAATGGAAACAATGCAGAATATTTTTAGTACTATCAAAATCATAATAGGTCTGAGCATGTCACTGTCTAGTTATTTTTGGTCGATTTGATTTTTAATCACATATTACCGTATTAATTTGTGCGTTAGAAGGTGGGTATAAAAAAATGTATATGTTGGTAATATGAAGTAATGAGGTTGAAATTGCGTGTATATGTGTGTGCAGGTTGCGTGGAAAATGTGATCGTTTGGATAAACAGTCCAGGTTGGATGAATATTCAAGCTTTCTTTCCTATTGTGGGCAGAGGAATTTAGCATTACGTGAAACACTTCGATTAATGGCCTTTCTTCATAGTTGGAAAAACCTTGCTGAATTATTTTGATATTTTTAATATCAACTTCGTGGTTATTGAAAATAGCATGTACTGCTATTGCTGATTTAACCAGTAGATTTTCCAATTCTACAGGATTATCAGGCCTTTTTGCTTAACGTGAGTGTTCCTTGGCGCGAGTCAAGATATCACGGGAAGACTCTCCAATGTGGAACTCATCACAGTTGACACAACCTAATCTGTAGACACCATTATATGTAGATGTAAATGAGATCTTATCTTTTATTCTAACTAAAACATTTTTAGTGTTGATCGTCTTAAAGAAAGCTTTGATTTTGTAGGTTCTCAAGACCTGTTGTAATTCTTCTGTAGCACCTTGAAGGTGAGGTAAAACCACAATGCCAATCCAAAGATCTTTCATTAAAAATGTTATTTATTAAAGGACAGTTTGCTTTGTTTTTCTAATGATATTCTTTGGGAAACTATTAAACCGTAGAATACCTATTACATCATACCTGGTTCTATTATTAATGAGAATGGTAGTAACAGTGTAGCGAAGGAGAACACAGGTGAGGATAACCGAATGTATTTCTGACACGAAATTACAGAGCATCTCAATAAAATCTGAGAACTATATATCAAATCGTTAATTTGCGAAATGTCCACCAGTTGTCTCAAAATGCCTCAGACTTCATTGTTCTTACATTTTCATACAAATTGCATTCTCTCCCCCCTCTCGCTTTCTTGATCTTCACTCATCTTCTGCTGCCAGACCTTACATTCCTGACTCGCGTCATATACTACTTATATAAACATAAGTAGCACGCACCACAACGGTACAAGAAATAAATCTTTCATTTTTTATATCTTGACCATACTTTCTCTCGAGTGATCAGAAGTCGGAAGATATTTCTATCAGTTAAGCTTACTGATAACAGAATCAACAGTTCATTCTCAAAATGTTTCTCTACTCACCCTTTCATCAAATGTCTATCATTATAAAGATTAAACGGAAATTATCCGCATAGGAGTATCAAGATAGTTTTCTCCACTGATTTATATCATCTGAAACTGCTTGTATCGATAGGTATCTTCCAATCAAACCGATCGCCATACACGTTCTATTTAAACTACACTACAACAGTTATTTCTATGACATTATTGATCTACTTATGTTATTCCAGTGATGTGAAATGTATCTAACATATATATATTGAAGATATCTTTCTGAAACGCGGTTTGTTACATGCAGTATACTAGTCGGTACATTTATTAACCAAAAATCATTTCACAATAGATTTCGGCTCAACAAAGGCCACTGGATTGTCATTTACAAACAAAATAATTTGACTTTCCAACATCTTTGTCAATGGATATTTATTTGCACACACAAAATGTCTCACTTTAATGGTTGCATTATTTTGGTTTTTCCAGTTCGCCTCTCTGTCAGACACTACGTATAACTTGGCATGTATGTACATTGGTTCGAGTTGTCACGCCCCATTAGTACAGAGAGATGAAACCGTCAGGCTGAGTCCCAGATTAGTAGAGGTTGTAGCAGTATCACTGGTAATAGGAAAGATTAGGAATCGAAGATACGATTCGAAAAGAAAATATACATTAACGGGATAGAAAAACGTTATGAGGAATTCAAGGGCTCAGAATTTGTAGGAAGACAAAGAATGCGTGCACTTGCCCCATTCCAAACGATTTTGAGCCATATCGTTTGAAATCTCTAACCATCGGTAATGGTGATCACGCGAACCTCAACCAGGTACTCTACACTTATTAACATTGATCATCCAGTTGTTGACGAATTCATTGACTAACTTCATGTTTTGGTTTGACCATCCGTAGCTCTCTTCCAGCCTACTTCTACACCACACGACGTCATCTGTCGAAGCAGGCAGTAGCTGGGCATGCGTAACACATGTCTCAACCACCTCAGATGATGAAGGTTTACTAGCTCATCAGTCGATTTGCAATACTTACCTAATACCCTATTCATAACCCAGGCATTTCTTATTTAGTGGTCCCAAAATAAATGAACAGTGCTTCGAAGACACCTGTGATTGAATACTAGTAACTTACGAATATCTCTTATTCTTAATGGCCATGTTTCACACCCATAAATTAGCATGAAAATTTAAACTTATACGTTAAAATGCTAGATACTTGGCGATATTCACGCTTATCTCACAGACCTGCGTAAAACCTTGAGCAAACAAACATCTAAAAGTAGACTCATAAATTAGCTGTTCAACACAATACTCAAATCCAGAGGTATCTGTAGATTGCTCCTATTAATCACAATCTAGACGTCTCGTAAGTTGCACTCAATCAGATTATATATCATTAGGATTTATTTCGCTCTAGATTTAAGCAGTCGAATAATCTCGATTTCTCTCGAAGCTAACAAACTTTTCAACTAACATTGCTGGAGAAAATATTAGTGTAATTTATTTTGATAACATTAACGATATAGTGCGTAGGTGTCACACAGCGCTACATAGTTTCTATATAATTATAAATATAAAAATTAAACATGGTAAAGCGCATAAACTATTTTCCTTCTTTACTAATTTATGTTGACTAACAAGTTAATATATCCTTTCTCTTCAAATTTATAGATGTTATATTACACTTGCACAAGCGATTGGTATGTCTATGGGTGGTTCACCAGCTGGACCGGCAGGAACTGGCAAAACGGAAACAGTGAAAGACATGGGTAGATGTTTAGGAAAATACGTCATTGTATCAAATTGTTCTGACCAGATGGATTTTCGTGGTTTAGGCAGAATATTCAAAGGTTTAGCACAATCTGGTTCTTGGGGGTGCTTTGATGAATTTAATCGTATCGAACTACCTGTGTTATCAGTAGCCGCTCAACAGATTGCTATCATATTAACATGTAAAAAGGAGCGTAAACCTCAGTTTGTGTTTACAGATGGTGAAATTATAACTATGAATCCACAATTTGGAATATTCTTGACCATGGTATGATCATCTTGCATAAATCATCTTTACATATTTGTCACTTGCAGATACTCTTAAGTTGACTAAGCTTTAGTTCTGGGTTCTTTTAGAATTCTTAATGAAAAATTAAAATTATTATTTTCATTTTGGTCAATATTTGTGTTGTAAGTCAAGAGGATTTCAACGTCTTAAATGAGGGGTGGATTATGTTATTTGGAGGACAGGAAACTGGAATTCAACAAATAGAAACAGTATGAATGCAAGGGATTTTCTTATCTGAAAGTAATTTCAGTAAGCTCATAAATTTTTGGCTCCATAGCTCATCAGTAATATTTGTCATAGTCTACTGGTTCATAACAGATTTAAATATATTAATTGTCTATCGATATAGTGTTTTTTAACTTTGCGAATATTAATTTAACTGACAGTTAATCATTCATGCAAACCGTTTTATTTTGTTTTAATATGTATTAGTTATAAATCAGACTAAAAGGCTTCTAGTTCAAGTCCAAGATAAACATAAACTGAGCCTTCATTTTCATTTGCTACTGACTTGACTCCCTAATAAATTTATTATTTTTACAACTATAAAAACAAGGCCAGATCACCTTGTTCTAGTGTACCTCCGCAGAATACTTCAAGATTATTCGTCTTATTGCCAGCGTTTTGCAGTAATATCAATAAAAGCTTTAGTGATAGTTTAAAAAATTCTTTAATTAATTTCAGATAGTCTGACTCAGTAGTGAGTATACCATTCGCGTACCAGACGACTAGTCTTGTATCAAGTTATCTTCACTTAGGTATAGTGTACGGAAAGAACATGTCCACATGTTGAGCTCACTTGAGATCGAATGAACTGTTCCCTGAAAGTCAGTTTAGTAATTTTTTGACTGTTTTTATTCACCTTATTAATTTCGTCATATTATAACGCACCATTAATCTTGGTGAAATTTGGTGTTTTCACACATTTAAGCGAAAATAGGTGGTTAGATATTCACAATTAATTTTGTATATCCATATGTCTAGAATCCTGGTTATGCTGGACGACAGGAATTGCCTGAAAATTTGAAAATCAACTTTCGAACAGTAGCAATGATGGTGCCTGATAGACAAATCATTATACGTGTTAAACTTGCATCATGTGGCTTCATTGAAAATATTATATCAGCACAAAAGTTTTATACGTTATATAAATTGTGTGAAGAACAGTTGAGTAAACAGGTGGGTAGATTTTTTTATAGACGGTATGAATATAAATTAGGTTTTCGGTGGAATATTAAATGTTACTTAACGTTTACGTAATGATATACTATGTATACAACGTAAGTGACCTTTTCAATTTGTTTATGTATTGTATAGTTCAATGCATTTACGAACTCCTGCGAATAAAGGTCAACGCTTTTTTCCTTAACTCTAGACTCAGGTCAAGCGATTATTATCTCCACCACTCTGTCATTACGTTTGTTCATCATGAAGTTTGAAAATCATGTATTTTAAATTATGTTGGAAATCCTTTTCAATTACATGCGATTTGTCTGGTTTAAATAAATTTGTCACCTGTTAAAACTCTAGTTGAATGAAAAATATTTATTTTCAATAAGTTTTCCACAGAACTAGCGTTGTAAAACTTATGGGGAGTTTTGTTTCAAGTGTTTGTACTTTTCCTTTGTCTATTTGAAACACTGAATTGACAGATTACCGTTAATTCATTGATTGTTTGAACGGAGACCCCAGTATTGCCTGTATTTCTGGTCTCTCTCCATCTGTTTGTTTGTCTCTTTCTCCGCTTCATTTTCGTTATGACAATATTCTGACAACTATAAACTTCTTCTTTCTTTAATTTTCCTAATGCAGATTCATTATGACTTTGGGCTACGAAATATTCTTTCCGTGTTGCGTACACTAGGTGCAGTAAAACGTGCCAATCCAAATGATACGGAATTCGAAACAGTAATGCGTGTATTGCGTGATATGAATCTCAGTAAATTAGTCGGACCTGATGAACCTCTGTTTTTATCGCTACTTGATGACCTATTCCCTGGTATGTGGTTTTAATTAAATCTCAATTTCTCGGTTTGTCACATTATTATTTGGATCCCAGTAAAGGTCACATAAAAACTGATTAGATAGATGGTGAGATTGCTTGTCGTGTTAGAGCGTAAAACAAAGAGGAAGGGAAACTAATGAATCAGTCTAAGCTTATGAAAAATGATCTTATTTGTGCATAAAGATAATTTTTAATCGTTTAAGCCAACTCGTTTATATACAGGCTAACTTTAAGCACGTATGTCGTATACAAAAATTCATCCGTTGAGTGATATTTTTAACGAATCTACCATTAAGGAAATTCTCGAAGGTCGATTTTATAGAACATTAACAAATTGTAAAACCCTTTCTTGTGAAAATTTTTAAATAGTCGTTATCTGTCTAGAGCTTAGTCTCAAAAGAGTTTTTATACTAATTCATAAAGCTATTGATCGAGTAATTTTGAAGCTAATGTGCTAAAAATCTCAACATACATGTATACTGTATTAGTCGCCATTCAGTTAGAAACAGTTAACAAGAAATTGTAGGTCTGTCACTTTCATCTCTTGGTCAATTAATTTCTGTATGATTATTTGACTAAGAAAACTTAATCAACAATGATACAACTTCTGTTATCACATTTCTGTTATATCCTAGTGAAGATTACATTACGAGTAACTTCTGAGACCTATTAATGGACTAACATTATTTATATATTCTTATGGTATAACTATTCAGTAATGAGATTATGTATATTTATATTCCCCTTATTATAAGCTTCATTTTGATCTATAATTTATTATTAAAAGATTTACTGTTCTTAAATTATACTCAGTTTATTAATTACTGTCTCCCACGTTCACAGCCACTTTTTGGCTTTATTGTTTATAAATGTTATTTCCTACTTTATGGTGCGTTGAGGTCTGTTTAGTTGGTTTATAAACCCAGTATTTCTGGAATAAATGATTCGCATAGTGAAGGCTGTTATTGGTATTCCGGACTCAGATGGACGGGCTAGGGGAGCAAAGTACCAATAGGACGCTGGGCTGATCAGACAAGTCGAACGTCATTGGTTTAGTACAGTACAAGATAGAATAAGTCGTATTTTGATTGGCGAATAAATCACGTGATAAAGAGCGGGCGTAAAGACACAACAATTTCTATTTCAAATACAAGTGGGTGTACACATTTTAGGAAACTAGTAACTGCTCGGTTGGAGAGAGAGGTACAAGAGCATCTAAACCATCTGAACGTTTTTACTGTCTTAAATATTATTTACTAAATGTTGATAAATGGAAACTTCAACTATATGGGTTCCTTCTACTCTTACAAACTTTTTCTAAAACCCTAGAACTAATGGAAAGCAAATCAAACTAACAATGACTTTCGATGGCATTTTTAATGTACTTAAAATTACTTTTTAGACTTTGAACTGAAATTTGAGACATTCATTCTGTAGCTTCTGATATTAAATCACTTAACTTCTTTTACAAACTACCATAAATTAATTTTCTCTACTTTTATGAAAGGTATTTCATTAGATAAAGGTGGCTATCCAGATCTTGAAAAAGCTATAAAACAAAATCTAGCAGAATCACATTTAATTAGTCACCCACCATGGTTTCTTAAAGTTATACAATTGTATGAAACTCAACGTGTTCGTCATGGTATGATGACATTAGGACCTTCAGGTACTGGTAAATCTTGTTGTATTCAAGCTTTGATGAAGGTACGTCACTACAACTTTTTCTCAACATTTTTATATTATTAGCTTATCCCTCAGCGTTCATTGAGTTGTAATATAGTATTGATGGATCAAGAATCTTTGTGTATAGTTCATTGTTTTTTTATTCACATTAAGGGGAAGCTGGTAACTAATAGTGAATCAGATCAATTAAATTTGTTGTACTCATAGATTGGGTTGTGGCCAAATGTTCTGCTATTTTGTGAATAAATTACTTTAATATGAAGGCAGGTAATGTGATCATATTCGTTTATGTTATCTAAACTTTTTCAAGTCACAAAACAATACAATTTCAACTGGCACATACTGGTTATTAGTTTTTGCCCAAATGTGATTCAAACTAAACCACTCATCATGAGATTATAAAAAAGATTCCATGGTTGATTCTTGTGAGTAGCTGAGATTATGAAATGTTGATTGGTCCAGAAATAGGATCAAACATTTGACTGAAGAGCTTTATTAAGTAAAAAAAAATCATGTTACTCATTACATCTGCAAAGTGATTTGATCAAGTGAGTTTAAAAATTCACGCTTATTTGGACTTAATGTTTAATAATGGATGATAAGTAATATCGTAGTGCAAAAGATCGTTGCAAAAGATGACGATAAGAAAATACTTAACACTTCCAGCCGAAAACTAGGTTTTCTAAAACATATGATTTTGCTTAGCTGTTTGTCAATCAAACATTTAGCATATATCTGATATGTGTTAATATTCATTTGCTGTATATTACTGAAGCCCTTAATATTATTGATCAGTTTACATTCTCATTAAAGTCAGTCATCATATGCTTCATTCTCCAGCTACTTTTGTTCCGTTATTGAATCAGTGGGCTGTTACCCAGTATTTCAAAAGTTCGAATCACCCTTTTCCTAGCATAGGTAATACTATCAGTAAATCTGTTATGGGTTACTAGTGGCACTGCAGTATATCTGGTCTAGGATCACACTTTCGGAAGGTTAACACCACTAGAATGACAATCACAAATCATACAGATAATCATTGTAGTTCCAATAGACGAGGATAAAGTAGATTTAGCCAATAATCAACTTAGCAAAAAGAAGTGATTTGAACCATTTATGATACTAAATTTGTCTTGGTCTCTGAATTAGTGTTTTGTTTTCAAAATGCTACAAACAAAATCCTCACATTTGGCTTCTAATTACCAATAGTCATAAACCATAATGACGTGACAAAATATTTAGTGTAACAAGTCTACATCATCATAGTAAGTTAGCACTCGTATTTGAATATCATTCTTACACCTCGTCACATGCAACTATTTATCATTGATTTAAAAAGTAATCGCTTATACATGAGAAATTACACGAAAGTTACTGCATCGAAATTCATTTATACTTTTTAAATTTGTAATAACACCTTTCCAGTAAAATCTAAATTCTGTTCCACTCAAAATTAAATCTACTCTGACCCACAAACCCTCCATAAACTCGATTTTTCTGAAAGAGTAATGTATTAAAGAATGATGCGTTTTTTCTTAATCAGCATTTGAGGAGTTTCATACTTTAATCATTCAAAAACAGGCAATGACTGAGTGCTTTGAACCACATCGTGAAATGCGTATGAATCCGAAAGCGATTACAGCTTCACAAATGTTTGGACGTTTAGATGTTGCTACAAATGATTGGACAGATGGTATATTTTCCACGCTATGGAGAAGAACATTGAAAGCCAAGAAGGGTGAACATATCTGGCTTATATTAGATGGTCCAGTTGATGCATTATGGATTGAAAATTTGAACTCGGTTCTTGATGACAGTAAACTTTTAACACTGGCTAATGGTGATCGTATTCCAATGGCACCATGTTGTAAGATTATTTTTGAAGTGGATAATGTTGACAATGCGTCACCAGCAACTGTTTCAAGAAACGGTAAGTAAATAAATTGCATAGCTTTTAGAAGTTCCATAAATACTTTAAAACAACTGTCTATTTAAACTTATTCTTGCGGTTTTTCGTCTATAAAAATCACCTAAAGGTTGGTAACTTTTTTATTGATTGTGATAGTATTTATCTGCTCCAATTAATTTACCTCAAATTTTCTGTAAGTACAAAACCCTTATAGATAAGTTTCAATGGTGCTAATTATACCGTTTATTTAAGTCAAAATAACCTTAGTAATATACCATTAACTCTTGATAGACCATGGATCAATGATCAAAAAATTTGAAACCCCGAGTGCCTAAGTTGAGCGGAAAGTTTATTATCTTGTTTCATTAATCATCCCATGAACAACTAACAATGATCTAAATTATTCTAAATAACTAAATAAGGTCAAATTGTATGTCCAAGTAAGCAGAAGTCGACAATCTTATCGAATAGAACAAAACAGAAGTTTTTACTGAACGAAGACGTTATATGCAACATTGAATTTAGATGAAAATGCTTACGAGCAATATAAACGTCTTAGCTAAAAATAGTAAAGTGGCATTAATTAAAATAAATCAACAGAACGATTCATTTAAAAAGCTTTCAATTAGAGTACTCGGCCAATAACCAAGTAGATATTTATGTTCTTTTGAGTACCAGATAAAATATATTAAAAATTCTTGTATAGAGTTCAAGTTTTGCAAAATTCCAAATCTTAAACATTTTTCATTCCTCAGGTATGGTATACATTAGCACAACTACATTACCTTGGTTGCCAATACTACAAGGATGGTTAATGTCACGTGGAAAAAGTGAAGCTGACCAGTTGTTGCAATTATTTACGGCATCGTTTGAAAGTGTGTACCAATATGCAACTAGGCATTTGAACTTTAAGATGAGTGTTTTAGAAGCATTTGTGATTCGTCAAGCTTGCGATATCCTGAGTGGAATATTACCTAAGCCAGAAGAAAAGGATTCTCCATCGGCAAGTAGATACACATTCTTTATATTGGGTTTTATTTATCCCTTTTCTAATAAGTTGAGTACAATATAATGCCTTACAAATTATCTCTGAAGCTATGTCCTCATGCTATTGATGTATGTACCGGAAACTTACAGGACCGGTAGATGCTGTTGATATTTAAACATTCTTTTTTCATTTTTCGACCCATAACTGGCTTTTGATAAATGTTTCATGAATCCTAAAATTTCGTTGGCCGATAGTCTTATTTATATTTGGAAAGTGAATTAAAGATAACGTCGTTTCAGTAACATTAATTTACTGAAGCGTTACTTGTTTTCTAAAAAATTTCAAAGATTTGTTTAGTACTAAAAAACACGATTAATGTTTATTTTGCATATACACTGGCCGACTAAGTATTGACGTTGTTTTATGTACTTCAACTTGAATGGCTCACATATGTTGTTAAACATTCATGGTCAGATTATATTGCATGCATCTCCGATTAAGTGATTGAGGAAAAATGAACCGTACTTAATAAAAAAATGTTTCATGATTGTTGTCGGCTAAATTTAACAGAAAATATTTTTATAATCGAATCTAGAGGAGAGTCATATACTTGTCACTTCACTTGGTTAAGAGTGTTCTTATTAAACAGATAGAATAACTGACGGTTAGAACTGAACATAAATGTGGTGCTTATCCTCAAAGGCCAAATGAATGTAAAGTAAAAGTTTGGCGTTAAAAAAAGATTTCATGATCTGTAGACTTTGATTGCTATGCGAGATGTCAAATTATTCCTTGATCAAAAACAAGAAATAAGTTGTGGAATAATTTTGTCTTTCAAGACATGTCTCGATACATTAATCTCTTTGTGTTTTCGTAACTTAATTGCTTAAGGTAGGCAAAGGTATCCATGAAGTAACTATCGATTTTGAATTATATCACTCAGGATGTACGATATTTTATACCAGTTATTTAGGAACCTTAAATCTTATGTGTTAGCTTTTAACCAGTTTTCTACATGCTCCTATACCAAACAACATGCAAGTTTTACTAACGTAAGTCTCGTCTACAATAATCTTTATCTTATGAAACTTTATGCTTAAATTTGTGATTATTTAACTTTAGAAGTCAATTGTTGATTGAATTAACTTAGGTAATATGGCTGGAAAAGGTAATACGCACCCATTAACAGTCAAAATTAATAACCTGAATTCTATTTTACAATACTTCTGTTCCTACTTATTTCCCGAAAGGAAGTTTTCATGATTACATATTTGTTTTAAATAACTGATTGAATATATTCATTTACTTTTTATCATTTGGTTATAACATATGCTAAAAAACAGTTAACGGTGATCAACCTATTCTTACTAGTAATTAGTGATTAGCTAAAGACTGTACTTCGACAGGTTGAAGTACTAAAACATATTATAGAGAAGAATTCAGGAAGCAAACGTTGTCGAACTTTATTTTAAACTTCAGTTAGAATAACATAACAATCAACTGACTGACAAGTTAAAAATCTAAATGCTAGATGGAATTCTAAAGTATTATGCATAAGATTCATGACTCGACATTCTTAAAATTCAGTAATGGGAACCGGAAAACGTGAAACTTTCTGCTTTATAGTGACTATAAATCGAATTTAAAGTTTAGTTATCTCAATGATAAAGTTTTCGACAGAGGCACCGGTCAAATAGTATTTAAATTTCAAAACGAAGTTACTTTACAGTTTGAAAGTGACATTTCTGATGAATATTAACATTATTAAGACTTGTGTTAAGGGCTCTTACTATTAACTATCGTTCATTCAGTGTCACTATAAAGAGATGCTTATTTTTTTATAACATTCTTTTGTTATCAGGACTCAAACGTACTCTCTAAATACGAACAAATACACTTAATTGCTGTCCTGTACCACTTATAAGGCTAATTTTTTGAAAATATCCACTGAAATTCAGCTTGATACAGTTAATATTATCTTACTGAGAAATATATGTTAACCAACAGTCCAATTTCATAAATTTTAATTTCTTAGATAACATTCAAGTATATGGAACGTATATACATATTTGCATTGATGTGGAGTATTGGTGCTTTTCTTGAAGGTGATGATCGTGCTAAATTCGAGGCATATTTACGGAAACATGAAACTGTAAAATTTGACCTACCAGAAATCTCTACAGAATCACACTCCACAATATTTGATTACTTAGTAAATGATCTAGGTGAGTGGATTCATTGGGATACAAAAGTTGATGAATTTCTATATCCAACTGATCATACACCAGAATATTCCTCGTTACTTGTACCGAATGTTGACAATGTGAGGACAGAATTTCTTATAGATTTAATTTCCAAACAACAAAAATGTGTACTGTTAATTGGTGAACAAGTAAGTTATGTTAACTAAAACCTTTACGGTAATTCATATGTTTGATTAAAAAGAAATTACAATAAAATGCTCCCGAAAAAATTAGTCACTATCAAATAAATATACTATAAAATAACACTAATTAAATAATGAAAATTTTTTAAATCCACTCGAAAAATCCTTTTACTGACCGAGCATATTTCATCATGTTTACAATACCTTGATGAATTTGTTCCCTGAACAATAAGTCATAAGCAGGTGCTCGATAAAAGTTCTTTTCTCTAAAATTTGACTAATTTGATGGGAATTATCACTTGTCTGTATCAAATTTTAAGAGATGAACACATTCAGAGTAATTATCACATTCATATTTAGTCGAAAAGAGGGTCTTAATTGTAATCAACAACAAACATTGCAGTCTCCTATACTATGATCGTTAAGCTGTGACTCGTAACTACTAAATAAACTTCTTTTAGTCTAAACTAAAGAAAAAACCTGATTCCTCATACTCTGTTTTGCTTAAGGTAAATACTAATACGACGTAACTGGTATATATATAAATTCATAAGCATAAAATTAAACTTTCAAACTTCATATGGCTATCTAAAACCACTATGCCTTTGAAATTCTGCATGTCTCTTATGTGAAAATCAACATTTCCAAGTGTTTAATGGAAGGAACTTTTCAATTTTCTCTGTCGTTATGACTTAATTATCTGACTCGTGACGAATAACCTCCAGTTTTGGATGGTAAACATTTTTATAGAACTAACTACTTTGATGAGAAAATGCATTCGGTGTCGTAACCTACTTCAATCACCTACACATTTTAAAAAGTAGAGTATATTCTAGAGTATATTCGTATATTCTATCAATGATACAAGTTAATGCAGAAATGTGAACTTTTCTCACTGATTCACGTGATAAAAGTGATGTAATATTAACTCACGTATTTCTATGCAAGTTTTCTTAATCACTTCTTTACTAGGGTACAGCTAAAACTGTGATACTCAATAAATATTTAAGTAGTCAGAATCCTGAATTTCATATATTCAAAACCTTGAACTTTTCAAGTGTTACGACACCGTTGTTATTTCAACGTGCAATAGAAAGTTTTGTCGATAAACGGATGGGAAGCACGTATGGTCCACCAGCTGGTAGAAAAATGACAGTTTTCATCGACGACATCAGTATGCCGTTGATAAATGAATGGGGTGATCAGGTTAGTTGAGTTATTTGTATCCTTTTTCGACATGAATACAATCAAGTAATTATTTGATGGCCGTGACGTCAACCTTTTACAGTACAGTACTTTGCTGTTAGGATCTTATTTGAGTAAGAGAAAGAGTATAACTAATTGTTAATTACCATCCTGGTATATAATTAATATTATACAACAGTCATATTAGTCAATTTGTGCAACTAATCTCCAATTTAGAAAGAGTAAGACTGAATCATCGCTAAAACTAGTATGGTGTTAAGAGATGGTTTCTAAACTGTAACATGTATCGTAGGAGTTATAACTGTTAGCTATTCCATGTTTCGATCTCGAAAGAACATTACCACCATAACTCTCTATTTCAGCTACAAATACTTTGGATTGTTTCATAAAACTACTAGAATGAATCAAAGTCTTCTGCTGACTTGATGTAATATCTCATGGAAATAAAAATCTTGAACCATATCAATTTTGCTTCAGAAAATATTCTCATTGGAGTGTTCTTAACTTAAAAATGTTAATTTGTTGATACAAGTAGTTTATTTACTGCCAACCGTCGTCATGTCTGGCATGACGTAAGACTCGAAACAATAATCCAGTATTCTATAATGTGCTTCCACTGTCAGCTAACGATCCAAACCAACTTTGAGTCAGGATTTCACAAATCTAAGAGAATATATTTATTTATACTCTGATTATAGGGGTCAGAATTTATTGCTGAGACTCACATATACTATCTGATGTTCATAACTACATTGTCTCTTTTAACTCACAAAATATTTACCAATGTTTAATTGGTGTATATATCTAATATAATATCTTTTGAGTTTAGTATAGTTGGCAATTTGAATTTGGCTCCTAATCATTTTTCAGTATTTCAATAGAGGAAACCCGCTCAACAAAGGTGTAGATTAATAAGAAGTCTTTTCATACATATGATTCTCTTTATAATTTTGAAGGGATCAAAAACAAAGATTTGAGCAGAACGTCATGAATTCATTTTATTTCATTTAGTCCTCATCATCTGCTTACAATTTGTGATACGTAAAACTCATAATTACAAAATGGGTTTAAATTACTTACATGAAAGAGTTTAGTTGGAAATTACTTTTAAGACATATAAGTATAGTATAGCTGTGTCATAAAATGAAATATATTAAACTGAATTCCTGTTACTCTGCTCAAATCTTTGTTCTTACTCTCTTTATAAGGAGTCACCAATCAGCAATACTGTTTCAGTAGATAATAGTCAAAGTTGTTGAGATTTAATTCAGCGTATTTCTATTGATAATAAGTGCACTAACATTATGACTGTTTTAAGATTTATCCTCATATTGCAGTAAGCAATTCTTAAGAACTTACAGAGGTATACTAGATAGGCATACGAGTAAACACAACTCAACATGAAAGCTGTAAAACAAAAGGAAATTTTCAGTAGTAGTCAGTATGGGAAAGTATTTTACGTGGCCAGGACAAATTTTATTCAGGTTTGAATAGAAATTTACTTTGTTCTTTTCTCTCGCTTATTTGGTAGTGCGCTTCACAAGTAGCATAATACTGCTCTAAATGAAAATAAATTTATCCTACTTTAATAAAAACACACTATTGTAGTCAATAACGCTGATATGAGATATCAAAAACTATCGTTTCATTAATACTTAAATTCAGTTCATTGTGGTTCAAATAAGAAAAATTGACTGAAGTTAAGAGAATGGAATGTTCAACTAGATAAGAGCAGGAAATGTCAATTTAGTAATTTCGTCCTTGAAGTTAGGATCACTTGAAGAATAATCTAAAAACCAACGCAGTTTACTATACAAACGGAAAGTTCTCTATGGTTAACCTATCGTCTCTTAGAGTTGATATTGAGATCACGAACTTCTCATCTTTAGTGGTAGACAGCATTAGTCTTGATGTTGAATGAACGAATCTTTCGATGAAATACAAAAATTTCAAAATTTACGTCTGTTTTAAGAACTACTTATAGAAGTCAGTTTTCCATCAATGTAAAGCTGATCTAGCCTAGCTTTGTATGGAATAATTTCCTTAATAGTTGACATATATAAAATAAGGTGTTTATGGTACACATTTTTTTTCCAGGTAACAAACGAAATTGTCCGCCAATTGATTGAAATGAAAGGGTTTTACAATCTAGAAAAACCAGGGGATTTTACATCAATTGTTGATGTTCAATTCTTAGCAGCCATGATACATCCAGGCTCCGGTCGAAACGATATACCACATAGACTAAAACGACATTTTTGCATTTTCAATTGCACCTTGCCAAGTAACACATCTATCGACAAAATATTTGGTGCAATAGCTCAAGGACATTATTGTCCTGAAAGAGGATTCACAGATTCTGCAGTAACCGAAACAGTCAAGCTTCTTGTCCCGTTAACACGGATTTTATGGCAAAAAATTAAAAATAAAATGTTGCCAACACCAGCTAAATTCCATTATATTTTTAATCTACGTGATCTTAGTCGCATATGGCAAGGAATGATTGGTACAATACCTGAAGTGATCAACAATACAGAACGATTAATGATGTTATGGCGTCATGAATGCTCACGCGTATTAGCAGACAGGTTTGTTTGTCTATTGATTCTACTGAATAAAGGTTTTCATGACATAATTTGTTAAATTACGATTTTCGAGCCATTCATGTTTTTGGTTTCTGATAAAGAAATTTGACATGATAAATAGTAGTAGTATTAATTAATAAATTGATTTTTCCCATTTAAGTTCTCGTTCATAACAATAGTATCAGTTATCGTTAACGATATCAATTACATGCTTTCTAACCCCAGGCATTCCTAAGTTGATAGGTCATGAATATATTTCATAATGTTTAACTATTTCTTTCTTGGGTTGTACTCGGATAATATTAAGTTGATAAGAAACTGGTGGAGCACAATTTGAAGATTTTACACGAAGGAAATTTTTTATTTTGGGTGAAAGTTTAACTAAACTTTACAGTGTTGTGTTACTCCTTTTTTATGCTTCAATTATTATTTACTACAGATTTGTATCAGCAGATGACCACCAGTGGTTTCATATGACAACTAAGCGTTTAGTTAAAGAAGAACTTGGGATGGAATATATGACTGCAATTGAAGGCGATCCATCATACTTCGTTAATTTTCTTCGGTAAGATAGTTTTATTAGTTTTATCATATTTCAAATGTATTAGCATTATAATAAAACAACAGTAATGCACCTAATAGTCAAGTTTATAATAAGCATTATCATCCTGGATATTGAAATAGTTCTTAGAGTTCTTCAAGGACTTGACTAGTAGCTCTACAGATTCTATCATGTTCTCAATGAAGTGGTATGCTGATAACTGAGTCATTGGTGTCTGGTTTTATGAATATCAAGGATTTAGTGTCGACTATAAATAGTCGGTATCGAAACTTTTGTTATTTGGGGCGTCTAATGCTCCAAATTTCACTACCTCTTAAGAAACTTGGTATAACAGAATCAATTTTATAAATGCTTGGCGTTTTGTAACAAAAGTAATTTTCATGTTGCGTTACATTACCATTTCATATAACTGGAAAATGAAACCTAATAAGTCAGTATTTTATGTTCTAAAATGGAGAAGAACGTTTTCAGTTCGATTTCAAATAAAGTCATAGGTTCATACTTACAAGAAGTATAAGCTGAATATAAAAAATATATACTGTTTGTTGCAACTATAAACACAGTCAAAAATGCTATTTCATAATGAAAATCGTTCATTAATATATCGAGGTTCAAAGTCAAATATCTCAATGATGATTACTCTATTTCTTCTTTCAATAGTCATGAATCAATTTATTCTAGTGACAACTAAAACAAATCAGCAAGAATACCCTTAACTAATAGCGTCATTCATCGTTTCGGTCAGTCGATGTTCATCACAATAAGTATGTGTGGTCTTTATGAAAAACTGTTATGAAAATATTCCGTTGACTGTGTTGTAATTTCTCTGTTAATTGTTTACACTTTGCTGACATAGTTAGTTGTGACGTGTTGCTTTGTATTTATACTGATCGTTAAACATTTGGTGACTAGATTTTAGACATGAGTAACAGATTATCCTGAAAAGAATTCGTTTCGTTTAACATAAAGTTGTCCAAATTTAAAACACTATGTGGTAACCTCACATTCGATTACACTTTTTACCTCATACAAAGTGATCCACCTGAACCAACCGGTGATGAACCTGAAGATTATATCGTTGAAGTACCAAGGATTTATGAACCAGTAAGTTAGTTCATTTCTAAGTTAAATTTCTTATTTGTTGATACATATCACCAATCAGTCAGTTTTAGTCAACGTAGTGACTGGCAGGTATCTGCTTCATTCTGAGCTGCCAAACCACATCAAAACGATGAAATGAAACTAATAAGAATAGAGAGGAGTCGAAATAATCACAGTAACAATGATAGTGAAAAAAAGACTAAACACTAGAAATATGGTTCGAGAATAAAAATTGTGCAAGTATGTAGCTCAAAATGAACTGAAAAGTAAAGAATGAATGCATCTGCTCTGTTGGTACCGGTTCTGAACCACAACATTAACACGGAATTTATTTCAATCATTTATTTTATTCACATTATTGCATTTTGCCGTCAGTTACGATTTTTAATTCTAATGTACTGTTTGTGACATGTACTTTATGAATCTTTAAGCTTAAGACTTTATAAAATTACTAATTTTTTTCATAAACTGATCTACAATAGCCTCAAGGATGCAATCGTTAAGTGGCTTCATTAAACGAGAATTTCAGTATTCCACTGCAGTGATAAAGAATAACACCTGTACTTTTTGTGTAATATTGCATAGTGTCTTTTAGCTTAAGCGAAATCGCATCTCAGTCAGGCCTAAGTTCCCTTTAATATTACTTTACTTATAGATCGAATCATTTCAACAATTAACTTCACGTTTGGAGATGTTTTTACATCAGTATAATGAATCTGTCCGTGGTGCAAGAATGAATCTAGTACTTTTTCGGGATACATTAACACAAATTGTGAGAATATCTCGAATTATATATATGCCTCGAGGTAATGCTCTGCTGGTTGGTGTCGGTGGGTCTGGGAAACAGTCATTTACAAAACTTGCGTCTTACATCGCTGGTTATCAAACTTTTCAGATTACATTGACAAGGTAAACATTTAAATTTTCACCTTTTCTTGCAACCTGCCACATGCATTATTTTTTTCCCTTTTGATTAAGCGTAGTAACTACTTTATACTCACACATTTAGAAACACATATGAACTCATTGGGCTCAAATGTCATCCTTATTAGTCACAACAGTTGCCGTTTCTAGGCATTGGCTATTCATCTCCAGTAAGCTCATCAATTTCTGAGATTGAAATTGAGAAGAGTAGTGCAATTATTCTTCATATGATAAAATTGCGAGTAATCTAGTAAGGGTTAATAGCTTTACTGAGCGGCATGTATCTAATAAGTTACCCTTCTGGTCGATGAATGCAACCTTTTATTGCATTCCGGAGTTTTTCCTTGTTGGTTTTTAGGACTGAGTTGGTAAGCTTATTTTGATATACCGATTTCCTGAATTATCTGATAAAACCGTAACATACTTAGTTTTACTTGATGCTGATAGCACAAAATAATCCACAACTATGTAGACGTAATTGATATGATAAGAGTTGTATTATTTGTTCGAACGATTAGGTTAATTTAACAATGAGGAGAGATTAGATTAAATATCCATAGAAAACAAAATCCGTTAGATAACTAGTTTTTACAATACTAGAACTCCTCATTAGTTATTACACTTATCTATACTTGGTATTGTTTGTTTGAATCTTCCCATTGATGTTTAGGACTGCAATTGATCAGTCTCTTATTGGCATATGTGCGTGCTGTGCGTATTGCCTTGATATAACCTTATCTATACTGTTTATGAAATCTAGCGTCTTTATTTTTCGCAACTAAAACACTGCTGGCAGCACCAAGGTTCATACGTATAAAATATTTGTATTGCCCTTTCGATATTGGCGTTATTTTATTGAGAGAATTACTTGCAAGTTTTTAAACCCCATGATACTAATAATTTCTCTTGTTTTAAGAAGAGAAAATCCCAAAGACCTGATAATAAATCATAATCTATTAAGTCATTCAACTGCCTTTCGACTAAAATAAAACAGAACCACTCTTATTGTAAGAAAATATAATCGATTTAAAAAATTACGTTTCATAACAACTTTTTAAAGACTATTCTGCCCGCTACATAGACTGAGAGTCTTGATATCTGTCACCAGTATAGTAGTGGATAGTTAGTTCCGTAAATAAGTGGAAGCATCACTGTAACACTAATGAATGATAATTTTTTAAAATTTAAAATATAAACTCGTAATGGAAACAAAATTCATCAAATCGCCTCAATTTCTTATTTGGTTATTAATCTTGTATTAATTCAAAAATTTCCCTACCATTTGATAATAACTTAGGTCCTATAATACTACAAATTTAATGGAAGATTTGAAATTCCTATATCGTACAGCAGGTCAAAAAGGACGTGGTATCACATTTATCTTTACCGATCAAGAGATTAAAGATGAAGCTTTTCTAGAATACTTAAATAATGTTCTTTCCTCTGGTATTATGTCGAACCTCTTTACACGTGATGAAACGGATGAAATTCTACAAGATTTAATCCCTTTTATGAAAAAAGAGCATCCACGTTTAACACCAACTAATGAAAATCTAAATGATTATTTCCTCAGTAGAACGCGAAAGAATCTCCATGTTGTTCTGTGTTTCTCCCCAGTTGGTGAGAAGTTTCGTATTAGATCATTAAAATTCCCTGGATTATTATCGGGATGTACAACTAACTGGTTTCATCGTTGGCCAAAAGAAGCTTTAATCTCTGTAGCTAATCATTATTTGATTGATTTCCCGATTGTCTGTAAACAACAGACAAAAACTGCTTTAATCAATACGATGGGTATAGTACATGATGGGATAGCTGAAGCGTGCATAGAATATTTCTCAAGGTGAGTCGAATCTAAGTGTACGTTGAATTTGTCAATACGGCTGTTTTTGTACACTATGGTTTTAATGAAGTCCTCTGGCCTGATGAAGCTAATTTGTGAATGCTTAAATAATAAAGTTACTCCGTCTCCTGTTATAAGATTTTACTGGGGGTATGTATTGCGAAAACAACTAAGATAAGAATATGAACTGTTTCGGTAAATTGTGGATTCTTTCTAGATGTATCTGAACAAATGTTAAAAACGAAGTGGCGTTGTATGAGTGATGAAAACCAGTTGCAATATCGGAAATAACGTTTTTTGTTCCGCTTTCTGTTTAATTAGTATCACTTTTTAAAAAATATCATTGGCTTCTTTTATAGCTTATTCGTCGGTTTATTTGGCAATTCTGAATGATTTTAAAATGTTTTACATTTCACATAATTTTATGCAGCTTGTCTGACGTTTTAGATACTTTATAACGCGTAAAATTCTATATAATCAAGATATAAATGAATGTATTTAATGTTTTTTTACTTGATTTTTTTCCTTCAAAATTCTAGATATAGACGACAAACTCACGTCACACCAAAATCTTATCTATCATTTTTATGCAGTTATAAATCAGTATATTCGCAACAACATAACCATTATGCGAACTTAGCCCAACGCATGGATGGTGGTTTACAAAAACTAGTTGAGGCTCAAGAGAGTGTTGCTCAGTTGAGTAAAGAGTTGGCCGTGAAAGAAAAAGATCTTGATATTGCTAATAAAGAAGCCGAAGAAGTACTTCGGACAGTAGGTCAAATGTTTTACTGTCATATTTAAAATGCAATCATTATAGCTTTTCTTAGTGTTAGGTTTACATTGGTCGTCAATAAAGTGGTTTTTCGCCAAATATTTAACTAACAAATAACTCCGACAATTTAAAGTATTTTGGAAATATTTGCATTGTTCACAATATGTGCAGAAATTATCTGACACGAAAATTTTGACCATCAGATCCTAGCCAGTGTGTAGTACTTTACCGTTTGATCCTTACTGAAATATGTGAATGTGTCAAATGTTCACTGAGTTAAGTAGTTCAGTGTTAACTTAATTATTATAACTAGTTACGCAATCCATCTGCTTGACTGTTCAAAACTGTGCATAAGTTTCCCATCTTGATAAGATCAATACATAAAATTACTTACAAACGTACATATGGACACTGTTGCAACAGTAATTGTTAAGTTAGTTCAGACTAATATTAAGACAATTCAATAAAGGCACCCATGATAAATGATCTGAAGATTGGCTTTGAAGACAGGAAGTGACAACTTGAGAATTTAGTAAGTTATTGAACATCAACTACAGTATTTATCATGTTTACTTACGTCACTATGAAGTTTTTTGCTCCGTGAAATGCGTTATTTCCCCTTCTTCTTTTTGTCTATAATTTTGGTTTATTATCCTTTTGACAATTTAGGTCACTGTTCAACAAAATGCAGCAACCGAAGTAAGAAACAAAGTGCAAGTTGTTAAAGATAAAGCTCAAGCTATAGTTGATGACATTGATCGTGAAAAGGTTTTAGCGGAAGCGAAATTAGAAGCAGCTAAACCAGCCCTACAAGAAGCTGAAGATGCATTGAACACTATAAAACCAGGTGATATTGCTACAGTTAGAAGATTAGGAAAACCACCACACCTAATTATGCGTATCATGGATTGTGTGTTGCTTTTGTTTCAACGTCATCTTGAACCATATCAACCTGATCCAGAACGGACCTGTCCGAAGCCTAATTGGAGTGAATCTTTAAAGCTGATGACAAATACTGGTTTCTTGTCAATGCTGATGTCCTTTCCAAAAGATACTATTAACGGCGAAACTGTTGAATTGTTGGAACCATATTTAAATATGGAAGATTATACACTAGAAGTCGGTAAAAAAGTTTGTGGTAACGTCGCTGGTTTGTTATCATGGACAAAAGCAATGGCTTACTTTTATACAATCAATAAAGACGTGTTACCAATGAAAGATAACTTAATAAAACAAGAAGCTAGATTAGCTAAAGCTATGCTTGACTTGAATGTAAGCTATCATTGTCACATTTTGAAGCAGTACATTCCTTCAGGTTATGTTCCTTTCTTAAAACATGACTCTCAATTGATAAATAAAATAACACACCATAGGCAGTCTGTAGGGCTTACTTAAATAAATTTAGCAGACCCACTGTTTATTTTATGATAATGTAAAAGTTTTACGTTACTGATTGATTACATGTACACTTTGTGACTTTATAAGTAGCTTCATCTATTTAGACAACATGTTACCAGAACATTTGAGTATTAAAATAAGTGTCTGAAACGTAGTCCAAATTAATCTCATTGCATCTAAAACTCAGTTTTATCAATTTCTCAATAAGATAGTAGTAAATGATCCTATCTGATCTTAACCAGCTCCTGATGGTACGAGTTATCCAGAGTTTTTATAGGGTCATACCGTGTTGACAAATCTTTTTAAACTTCGATTAACCTGCTTACTATTTTTGTTGAGTCATTAATTTTGGATTTTGGTGAACCTTCAGAGCTAGACTGATATTAAAATAATAACAATTGCAGTAATTTTGGAATTTGTCTCTACTTTGATCAAGGAATCGAATAGTTTTTTTAGCAAACTACACAGGTATAGTGACTAATCTTCAGTTATACTACAAGATCATCCCAGGAATAAAATAGTTAGAAAAGTGAAAAGTAAATCCGGTGGGGAGTGACTCCTATGTTTATTACAACTCTGATGGTATTACATTTCGTTTGTTTAACCCAGATCATCGGATTTGTTGTCTTCGTGTGGTAAAAGTCAATGCTTTAACATTTTTTATGTTTTGAAATTGTTACGAGTAACATAGATTCATGAGGCACTCTGTTTGCCGTATATAAATTTACTATCCCTCTCCTTAGAAAGTACACCAATTCAGTAATAATAATGTGGTAACTTAGATGAATTTACACTTATTTTAAGTTGCACGGTAATAATCGTTCTGTTGGTATATATGCTGTCATTTTGTAGACAATCAAAAATGAGTGAAAATCTTATTTTTCTCCCTCACCTCTGTTATGTAAGTGACGTATATCATGACCAACATGTTCAGTGAGAGTTGTTAAAGATTATTGGAATGTTTATCGTCTACACTCAACAGAGACTGTACTTAGAAGATGTATTTTATTACGTTTCGGCCAAATATTGGAGAAAACGTCAGTAATTTATAATAAAATCACTTAATATGATCCGGATCAAAACGTAATCCTTTATTAACTTACTGTGGTTGTTATGGACTCCGATAAACCTAGTTCTTCTTGTTTCTAATACTTGCTTTTATAGGATGCTCAAGCAATACTTGATGAAAAAGAACTTGAGTTAGCTAAAGTTCAAGCAGTTTATGAAGAAGCATTACGTAAGAAAAATACACTACTTGAGGATGCTGAACTGTGTCGACGTAAGATGACCGCCGCTTCAAAACTTATCGGGAGTTTAGGAGATGAACAAACACGCTGGACAGAACAGAGTCAGGCATTTAAAGAAAATGTCGAATGGTATGTGTGAATTACTTCTCTTGATGACGACTTTATACGATAGCTTTTTTCACATTAAATCTTTAAAGCCATATAAAAATATAGCTATCTGCTGTGGTATTTGTAATTACATAGAAACCTATATATCATATCCTTTTGTAACCCGTTTCATCTTAACAAAAGCTCTGTAGACTCATTGGCTTTAATGTGACATACTATGCAATAAGTTTAGTGGAGAACTTTGTGGTGATAATAACTTTAAATGATTAATTCTCTTAGGCTTTAAGGTAGATGCAACATGAATAGTATCCTACTTTGAGCCAAAAATAATTCACCTTTAAGTATAGGTTGTATTCGTTATCGAAATGCATTGAATGAGGAAACAAAAGTAAGTATTCAGAAATTGTATTTTACGTTGCAGACAACATAAGTTCAAAAACGAATACGAGCAGGCAAGTAACTAATCCCCAAGCGTATGAACAAGTATTCATTTTATAAGGTTGTTGATGAAAGAGTGAACTTTACATCGTATGAAATATATTCTAGATCCCAATCTACATTGAAAACCAACTGTTTCTAGAATATATATAGCATAAACATGTAAACTCAAAGAACTTACCACAGAACTATTATGAAAAGGGCCAAACTAACAGTTATCTCTGTATGCGAACAAGAAAATGTGTGGAAACACCTTTGTCTTAAAAATCAATTCAAAATATTTCATCTAGTCAACTGCCTTTGCTAGAAGTGAAGATAAAGCTACTTTGGATATAGCTATAACCCATAAACTTGTGTAAATTCAATTCGATTCGTGATGCTTGTACCAAACCATACACCATATTATAAATGTAAAAGGCCAGAAAAAAGTCCACATATTATTATGTTATACACATTTGCATTAAATCTCAAAATGAATCAGTTTGGAAACCTGACATAAATTTAAAATGATAAATTTTATTTTCTGTTTTTACTAGTGAAGAAGTCAATCATTTCTCACGGAATAGTTAACTCAGTAACTTAAAAGTATTATACTCTATCTAAGGTCTGAAAGTCCCGGACTAAATCTTGACCAAGTTTGTAGGTGAGCTCTGCTGAAAAGTCTCAATCAGACGTCCATTTTTTTCTCGTTTTCAACGGTTTTTGAGCTAACCTTATTCAGTGATAAAATAGTTTTGAAGTAATTAAGAATCCGATCATTAATACTGTTGGCTTTTGATTAATCTGATCAAAATAGATTAACCAAAGTTTGTTTTTCGATACTTCCCAGTTGAATACACTCCATACTGTGTAGTCAAAATATCTGCTGTTTCTAGTTAGAGAGCCTACAATTACCTATAGATTGATTAATTACATTGGTACAAGGGGATTATGGAGACTGACCAGTTTGCAGTTCATTGCATGGACTGATTTTAGGTAGGCAGTCATTGAAAGCCCACATGGGACTTCTAGTCAGTGAGCAACAACGATCATGATCGGAACAAAACCTAATGTCTTCAGACTTAGTGGTAAACGCGTTACCTTTAGATCAATAAGTTGGCATCCAATATTTGACACTTCTAACAATGAATGAATAAGCTGTTCATATTCACTTTCTTGAAGGTCCTCTATACTCGACCTGACTTCAACATTGTGATTATTTGAGATGAAAGTAATTGTACGTGTACAATACATGTTTCAACAACATCGAAAGGACAAGATATAATGAACATAAAATATATACATACGTTTTAGTTCCCCGTTAGGGACTTAATTTTTCTCATTTTTGAGCACCTACCAAAATTAGAAATTTTCTTAATAAGCGTTCAAAATTTGTTTTTTATTTCTGTCTACGTTTATAGTCTTGTTGGTGATGTACTTGTTGCAACTGGATTTCTTTCTTACTGCGGTCCATTCAATCAAGAGTTTAGACAAATGTTATACCAGTCATGGCAGAGAATGTTAAGACAATATAATATACCAGGATCTACAATAGTTAACTTAATTTCCATGTTAACTCGACCAACTCAAGTTAGTTAATCATATATTTTACCTGTTTAGACAAAATTAAGCTATAAATATTAAAATTAACTAGTATACATTTCTTTTCCGGACAAATATTTGTTTTACTCGGTCCTGTAACAGTGGTTAGAAGTAATGGATCGTTGATATTTATTCATAGTTAGTCTTTCATATTCAATAAGTAACTCTCCATCATAATATATCGATTGCATAATTGGCACTTGTATAATAGCTTTCAATTCCTAAGATTTATTCACATAATCAGTCGGTTATTTATTCTCCCTCGTGTAGTTTATTCGGTTCATCGAGGTTATCACTTCGGTCGCTTCAATGATATCAATAGTTTTGCCAATCAGTAGAGTCGTAATAACAAGTTTTACCTTGTCAATAGCTGAAATTATTCAGTAATCTAGTTATCCAAGAGTTTATTAACTAAAGAAGATCTGAGTAAAAATTCAAAAAATTATCATTCCTATCTGGTTTCGCTTGATTCAGACTGGAACTCGGAAACTTGGTTACCTAAGCACAGTATTAAAGTTTTCTTGGTTGTTTGTCCCTACTATTACTGCGATAGTCGGTGAGACTATAATTTATGGACGAACCAATCATATATAAGGTAAAGATCTTGGATTTTGGCGCGAAATTCATTCATTCATTTGGTTAAAGAGCGCTTTTGGCCTTTTAGCTGATGTCAGTTCGTGATGAAAACCATAAATCTAATTCCTAACCCTTAATCATCAACAGTCAATCTTAATTCTGGTTTCTCACCATGGTTTATAACCCTCATTTGGTACTAGCTAGTATGTGGACATTCCCAAGGTCACTTTAGCGTCGCTCAAAGGTCGTCGATAAATTATGGTCTCACCGAATAGCGATTAGGATTTACTAACTATTGATGAATTCTTTATTCGTAATCGTCATCCACTTCTCGTTAAATGTTTGCTTGATAAGATGTGTCCGATAATCTGTTTTTTATTTCTTTTGGGTAAATTCGTTCACTTATCCATCGAATTATTAGCCACCTTCAATTAACTGATTTCATTGACTCAACCGTGTTTTTATTCTCATAATATTGTATTCATACACTGGTTCGGACAATTTTTACTGGTTTAAAAGATTCACAAATTATACATGCTACTTATATCTATCGACACCAGCAGCACACATCACACTATATGCCAAAAGGTGTTTCAGTTCATCAACTAGGATTGACCTTCCATCAGGTTTTTGTCTAAATTGTCCTTTGTTTAAATAAGACCCTTTCTATTCATGAGTGGATTTAACTAAATTAACTGAGGTCAGTAATATTAAAAATATATGGCACTTTGAGAAATTCCTTTACAGATTATTTCTATTACATCCATTCAATTTGTTGTATTCAGCTTGGCGAATGGAAAATTCAAGGTTTACCCAGTGATGAATTGTCCGTACAAAACGGTATCATTGTTGACCAAGCGAGTCGTTATCCCTTACTAATCGATCCACAAGGGCAAGGAAAATCATGGATAAAAAGTCGTGAGCAAAAGCATGACTTGATTATAACTACGTTGTGGAATAAGTATTTCAGACAACACTTAGAAGATGCTTTGTCAACTGGACGTCCATTACTGATTGAAGATATTGGCGAAGATTTAGATCCAGCAATGGATAATGTACTGGAGAAAAATTTTATCAAACAAGGTTCAATTCATAAGGTATAGTAAGAAAGATAAGAGACATGTTTATTTGGGATTGAAGGTTGTAGAAGTTTATATATTTTAATTATAAGTGTAAGTTTTGGGAAATATGTATCTTGTGTGATTTTGACTTTAAATGGAGGTCTAAATTAGTCTACTTAAAACCTCTCATATATTTCAAGGTGATTATCATAACATTATGACAGCAATCAACGAATCATTTCTTTCATTCTGCTTTTCTTCAAAGACTCTCCTGTTACTTCGCCCACGATGGATCTTAGCTCCTACAGATTTCGAAACTAAAATGACAGAACAACCAGTACGAGATTGAGAAAAAGTCATCAGTAGTGATAGTCACTATCATCTACAGAATCTCAGCAAAGCTTCCAATGTTTTTGGATCTCCATTCACTAAGGATAGTGATGCAACCTCTGATGGAAACCTGAATTTTGGAGTTATTGCAATAATTGAAAATTACCAAAACGTCCTATTTATGATATACTGATAAACTTAAAATAAACCTTCAGAGTACTTTTCAGATATCATTTCCGAACATCTAAGATCAGACATAGCCCACCATGAGTTTTTGTCACTGAACCCGGTCACCACACTTGGTTATGTATTCGATCGTGACTTCATTCTTTACTAATTTACACCTGGAGAATATTATGTGAACGTTCGGTTTGTTCTACATAAGTACGATAGCCAATATTATTATTACCAGTTACAATAACGATGTACCTGGAAGTGGTAACAAATAATAACTTACAGTTTATTTAAATAAACGATAACATTATCCTTAAAATATATTTGTAAATACTTAAAAGTACATTTTTCTATTCTTATATCAGTTTCTTGCTTATTCTTTGTTTTAAATTGTCTTAAAATAAATAATTAAACTCCTCTGAAAACCAATGAGATGGCTTTTTAGTGAAATAAAATAGTATAGCCCTATTAGGGAAGTTCCCAATCTTTTCATATCATGATAGTTTGGAGACAATTCGAATATGTTTCTGTTGATAAAACTGTTTGTCGAAGAGTAGCATTTACTGCGAATATCTCGTGTAAACCTATTTAAAGATGGAAATATTAAACGAATTGTTTGAGTTTTAATATGTTAGGCTATGTTTGATCCAATATGATTTAAAAATTTCGTAGATTACACAAGAAAAGAATCCGTAGTCACTGATTAGAAACTGTTAGTAATATGTTTCGAAGTTGCTTCAAATCCTGAGCCTGCATAGCTTTTTTTAAGGCGAAAACGTTTTATGAGTTAAATTGAAGTGCATCTCCAACGTATTCTTTCGGTTACTGTTTTAACACTTGGTTTCATAATGGCGTTTTGTAATTTCATTTAATTATTTAGGTAAAGATCGCTGACAAAGAAGTTGACGTATTACCTTGCTTCCGATTGTATATTACAACCAAATTACCCAATCCATCATTTACACCTGAAATATCTGCTAGAACTTCTATTATTGATTTCACAGTCACAATGAAAGGTCTAGAAGAGCAATTACTTGGACGTGTTATACTTAGTGAACGACATGAACTGGAGGCTCAACGTGTTCAATTAATGCTTGATGTACAATCGAATAAAACAAAAATTAAGGAACTAGAAGATAATTTATTATCACGTTTAGCAAGTGTACAAGGTTCACTGGTAGATGATGTTGATTTGATTGACGTATTAAGTTCTACTAAAGTAACAGCTAGTGATGTATCAAGAAAGTTGGAAATTGCCTCTGAAACTGAAATGCAGATAACTAGTGCCAGAGAAGAATATAGACCGATCGCAACACGAGGTTCAGTATTATACTTTTTAATTGTTGAAATGAGCTTGATCAACTGTATGTATCAAACATCTTTACGTCAATTTTTAGCGCTATTCGATCAGTCATTATCAAGGTAATTTGTATAATTTTGATTTATTGAATAATCGCACTCCTAAAATGGTACGATGTAATTAATCAAGTCGGTATGTAGGACCTTAGTGAAAGTAAAACTGATAGAAACTTATTTGATTGATCATTAGTTTATTCATTTTAAAGTATTTTTGGTACATAGGTGTATCAAACAGCACAGGGAATAAAGAAATTCAGTTATAATGAAGGTTTTGGCACCTAATTGAAGGGGATTCAAATGATTAAAAAATCCTTTTACTATATAGAACTATAACTTCATAAGTGTCCAGAAGCCAATTAGATTTCTTTTTAAACTAAAATTCTTGGACTAATATGTTGTTAATGTTTAACTAGTACTGTGGGAGGCATTACTTGTCACACTCACATTTTAAAAAGAACCGTTAGGAATGAATTTTCAGATTTTGTATTTAAATAAGTTATGAGTACTTAAAAACAGCTGATTTTAATCTATTTAAGTTTATTATCCATCGAATATTACGTTACTTGTTTTCAATAAGTCTACTTATCATCTTTCAATTTAGGTGTATGGAATAGTGTGATCACAACTGAAGCTTGTGAAGTTTAAAAACAATAGGTGAAAGGACTACTTTACGTAACATTACCGACTAATCTTAATTAAATAACCATTGAAAACAGGAAGCACTAAACAGCTGCTTCGTTTAAGATTTTTTTACTATGCTAACATTCCTTTCAATTTTTATAGCCTAACATATAAAAGCTTATTTAATTAAAGTTCTCGGGCTGAAATCCACAGTAGTCTAGTTCATCTCAGAAGAAAAGAATTTAGCATACAAGTGCTATACTAAGTAGATAGGACGGATATCTAAAAGGGTTTTGACTACATTGTGCTCTGATTCATTGATTTTTCACATAAATATAAAACTGACCTACGAATTTTATCTATATTTTAGATCTGAAAAATCTCCAATTACCACGAAACGCATTACGAATGTGATTGACTACATGACTTACGATGTATGGAGATATATTATTCGTGGTTTGTATGAAGTCGACAAATCGACATTTTCTCTCTTGTTAGCGTTAAAAATCGATATGCAAGCTGGACGTGTTAGGCATGAAGAATTTCAGTGCTTTATCAAAGGTATTCATGAACATAACAACATTAATATTAATTTGTTATTAATAAGAATTAAATACCATTAGATTACCATCGTTTTGCTCTGTGAAACTTCGCTACTCGATAGTTTTCAGGTGCTGACATCAATAATACAACCTGGGACTAATGAATAGTCTTTCTCATTAAAGACCGTCTTAATTTTATCAAATTATTTTTCGGAAGATAAAAGTTTGATTACCAATTTTTGGTTGAGGTACAACTCTCTGGGTAAAGGGTTTTGATTGACTCTAGAAAACAAGTCCATGATATGCAGTGTAGAGTAGCTTCAAAATAGAGTAGAACAATTGCTCAATGCTTTGTATTTTCTAGTTCTCTGGTCAATATCAAATATTTAAACTATATCTTAATGTTTCAGGTAGTTTTCCTGAAGTTCATCTAATCGAACATCAAGTATTAGTAAGCGTTTCCTCTTCATTGTCTTGAAATTGTCAAAGAATCGATCATTTATGAAGTGAGAGTTATTTAGTTTCCAAACAAATTATCATAGGCTGTGGCCTTTTAGTATAATCTAACCACTTTGCCTTTTTGATACTGCAGCTTTACTAATACTATTCGGGAGGTTGTGTATGTTGAGAAATTGTAAAAATTCTATGCTCCATGTTTTAATCTCTATTTCAGCTCTTTTATGCCGAAACTTTAAGTAACAGTAAAGGCCGAACTACTCAGTATTCTTTTACCTGAATGAACGCTCAAAACCTTTTTTCCATAGTCCCCATTGGGAGCTTCGTTGCAGTAAAGTAATGGAATGATGAACTGTGGTTGCGTAATAGCTCCATATATATGTCAATTTATTAAAGAGTACCGTGCAATGAACGAGAGTTCCTTTCAGCTTAACAGCCTTTAGTAAGATATTCCCGCCCTTCGAAAAAGATGAGTTTGTCAATCAACAGTCCTTGTACCAAATATATGTTTATCATAACTCTCCTTCTTTTTTAAAGGTGGTGCATCTTTGGATTTAAACACTGTTAAACCGAAACCGTTTAAATGGATTACAGATATGACTTGGTTGAATTTAGTGGCTTTATCAAGTTTAAATCAATTTGCTAGCATTCTAGATCAAGTTGTTAGTAATGAACGTGGTTGGCGTCAGTGGACTGACAAAACTTCGCCTGAGTTAGAAAATATTCCAGACGGTTACCAATCAAATCTAGACACTTTCAGACGCCTTCTACTTATTCGAGCCTGGTGCCCAGACCGTATAACGAACCAAGCAAATATTTATGTGGGTGACTGTTTAGGTAGAAAGTTCGCTGAAGGATTTGTACTTGATTTAGATGGTGTCTACCATGAGTCAACACCGCTTTGGCCATTAGTTGGATTACTTAGTACTGGTTCGGACCCCACTACGCAAATAGAATTATTAGCCAAGAAATACAGGGTAAGTTTGTTTACATTTATTACTATTTGTTTAGTAGTCATTATTATTGCCATTAGGCACACTGAACATACTTCAGTATGTTCTGCAGTACTGTATAATTGTAATGATCATCATTATTTGCAAGATGTAAAAATGATATGCTGTAAGGGAATTGTAGAATTAAGTACGTTTTACCATGAGCCGATAGTGGCTTTTGAAAATCATGGTTCAAATGTTAGAATCATCTTGAGACCTAAGACCCCCAAAGCCACCAATTTAAATTTGAACTTTAAATTGGACTTCCCTTATAACCTACGTATTTAAATATACTTTTTTGAAGACATATCCAAACTACTTAATATTTACTATCGACATTTTGATTTGTCTTTTTTCCACATTCATACACAATTCTTTAGAAATTATATAATGTGATATTAGGTCAGCACATCACCTCAGTGCGAATAATGAACTCTTCATTCGAGTATTTATATCAACTGTTGTCAAACCTAAGACCCATGAATGATGAAAAACAAAGTTGGTTGAAATCAAAATTAGTGGACATTACAAGTCAGTACGTTACGAAACCAGTTCCCTAATCTAAGATGTTGACCAAAGATAATCAGCAAGCATTGGGGAAACTTATGAAAGACGGAAAAATATTGCTGCTTCGTCCAGATAAGGGTTCCGGTGTAGTCATCCTAAGCAGAGACAAATATGCTAGCAAATTAATGTCCATTTTAAATGATTCCACGAGATTTATCATCGATAATACTCAGAAAGACCTGACATATGTGACTTTGAAGCGTCTTTTAAAAACGTTGGGCGAACTGTTGACGAGAATTCTGATCAATAATCATACATATAATGAACTCAATCATAATTACCTTATTTATGCGACCTACCTAAAATACAAACCCAACATCCCGATAAAACCAATATTATATATGACCAAATTACCCTTCCATAAACTCGCCTGCTGGTCGACTAGGTGCTTAGAACCAACGCGTAAGAGACTCACACCCTACAGTCTGAAGGATAGTTTTGAAGTTCAACAAAAGTTTGATGCCCTAAACGCTTCCGATAAATTCATGTTCTCGTTGTCCGATAAGTTACAAAAAAGGACTTGTACGAACCCTTTTTGACTGTGCTCATAAACTTCGCCTTCACTACAAATTGCCTACGCGAAAGTGCATTTCCAGCGAAATTCATAGGGAGATATGCCAAAACCAACGTTCTTGTTAAATACGATGCAGCGGAAAAGAAAACCCGCTTCTTACACTTTCGCTTTAAAGGAGATGAAACAACTGGAATAGGTATGGAACAAGTGGAATAATTAACCACAGGATAAATGCCGCGTTAAAGGTTGCTTATCCATCGGCAAGCCTGAAACGAATTGCTTGCTCAGACAAATTAAAATTGGCAGGTCCTCTTTTCTCAGTACCTCCAATTGCATTTACCAATTTACATGTACGTGCCAAAGTACATACATTGGGAAAACAGAGAGGAAAGTACATGTTCTAATTTCCGAGCATGTTCCAAAGAACTTGATACTGGGAAGCAAAATGGCTCTAAAGAGTGCAGTGGCTCGGCATTTACTTGATATCAGGCATACCATTGATATTCCTCGAGACTTTAAAATTATCAGCAGACAAAGAAACCCAGCTTCTCTTCGGTTTGCTGAAGCAATTTCGTTAAATAAAAGAGGAACTCAAACTTGATTTATGTATTTAAAAAGAGACTGTAATAAACCCATTACTACCCTCGTAGTTTTATTTTGTTATGTGGTCTTCACTTACCGAATTCTTATTTTATGTACATTAAAACCACCCCTTCACTCATACATTTCCATTCACTTAATTCGGTTCACTTATGTAAACTCTTCAAATCTTGTTCACTTATTACGCAACCTGTTTTTTTTAATTCCAGGAATCTTGTGTAAAACCTTCATTACCTCTAAAATTATCACACAATATATCTTATCTGTCTCTGAACAACACATAACTATTGCATCACCCACCTTTCATTTTTTTTAAATTCTAACACCAAATGACCTCCGACCTGTTCTTGCATATATATACAGTTAGTATTGATAACCTTAGTCATTCCAATTCTTTTCACTCACCGATTTCATTTGTTTCACACCATACCTTACTTCTATGTAAACTTTCAATATATATTTGGTTGTAAGCAGCTGATGAGGAACCATGAAAAGTAACAAATTCATATTATCCTGCATCCATGTTTGGCCTGGCTTTATTTACATTATCTAGTAGTTTAATCAACCTTTGACTTCAATCAAGAATATGTTTTTACATTTTTCGGTCCATTTAAGCATTTGACGAATTAACACTGTTTACCTATTTTTTCCAGTTTAGACACGGTTTAATGGTGATTCAGGGTGTGCTTAGGTTTCTTAGTATTTAATTGTAAATACCTTCGAAGCATTCATCACGTATGATGTTATCATTATGATAATGTTAAAGTTGGTGGCAGAACGCTCGTTAAGAATTGGAAACCGGCTGGTGATGAAGTTAACTTTCATCAACCGAAGTGGCTAGGACCTAGATTAACTAAGCCTGGTCATTGCATTTCTGATACGAAGTCCTGGTTGTTATAGGAGTAGGTTGGAAGAATGCTTTTTTTATTTATTTTATGTGAACATATAAATATTGGTACAAAGGGGCACCGAATACATATGCGCCACACAAGTCACTTGATTTGTGTGTGGGCTATGATACTGTCCGGGTGCCCAAACCGAAGCAGGTGGTTTTCTTAGGAGGCCACACCGGAAGCATTCGACCTAAAGGTCTGAAGCAACTTTAGGAGATGCAATCCCATGGTAGCCGGTGACAACAATTCGTTTAGATGTCTTACACTCTGAGTCAATCTGTTCTTTGCCCTTCACTTTCACGTTTTCTACAGATTCCCCCTTCATGCTGATCGACCTTCATGTTGATTGACTCTTCATGTTGATTTCCTCCGAAGACGTAACATTAGAGATGGTTTTTGAATTACTTTAGATGGATACTTGAACCACAAATAAATTAGCCCTTTTATATTCCTCTAGTTTTTAATCATCTCAGGGAAGTAGGCGGTGAGTTATGCGTATTTTCTTTGATTTTCTGCTGGAGGTTGATTGGCCCTATATTGTCACTGTAATCCCTCTAGGTTAATTCCTTCGACAAATCAACACAGAAATCATAACGTGCCTTACAAATCACTAAAACCATCTCAGACTCAAGTGTTTATGTTTACATCTTAAGTAGTGAATTTTGTTGTGTTTTCATCCATTTTTTTCAGGTTGATTGTAAAATAATTTCTATGGGCCAAGGTCAGGAAATTCATGCTAAACGTCTGGTCAGTAATTTATTAACAACAGGAGGATGGATACTACTCCAAAATTGTCATCTATCATTGGCATATGTTGCCGAATTGTTAAGTCAAATAACTGAAATTGAACATATTCATCCAGAATTTCGTTTATGGGTCACAACTGAAGTACACACTCAATTTCCAATTTCATTTTTGCAAACCTCTATTAAGTTTACAAATGAACCACCTCAGGGTATTAGAGCTGGTATAAAACGAACATATGCAACGTTTACGCAAGTAAGTGATAATGTAGAGGTTTAAATAACGTATCCTAACTTTAGAGACCAGATGAGCATGAAACCCTTACAAAAAATCTTCAATTTTAGATTCCAAACCTTAAGTCTTAGCTGTTTCTGGTTTTAGTTCACTAGTCAAACATACATGACCAGTATTTTCAGAGTTGTTTGAAGAAGATTATTAAAAGCTGAAATTTTATATGTGCACTCTTAGATTGTATCTTTATGAAAATAAAATATTTAAGAGTCCGAACGCGTCTAAATTTGTACTAGTAAGAAAGTTGGAGAGTGATTACAAGCCTTGTAAACACGAAAGAGTCAAATGTATCTTTTGAGCTAAAGATTTGGAAACTCATTTCTCGTATCATTATTTTAGGCTGTCGTGGAGAAAACCATCCCACTAGTATTCATTGAATACCCACTAGTTTATAAAGCCTGGACTTGCTCGCCTCATGGGTAAATTGAAAAATTTATGGCACAAATCAGATTCACTCTTGATTATTTAGCTTTTGTGTTAATATTGCAAATATAAACTAATTGCAGTCAAATTATTCAATAACTATTGTTCAATTGCCCAAACATCATAACATTGGTAATTCTATAAAGAACCTAAATTGCACGAAATGTGTGGGCGAGTGACGATCGCTCAGAAGTACTGAAATATTGACACAAATACCAAGAGAACGGTCGTAGAATAAACAGGACGGCTGGCCGATTAGAAAAAATCATTTCATACAGAGAAAATCACATAATGATGTACAAAACTCTTTTCCCAGAAATAAACAGGACTAAAGTTTGTTTGAAGAATAAATGTTTGTAAGATTCCGATTCGGTAGGTCATTTACTATCCAATATATTTGAGGTATAACATATTGCCCACTGTGTCATGTATAAACTATTCAGTGTGGTTGAATACCCTTATTAAAATACTTCACCTATATGTAAAGATAAACAAAAGAAAGATTACGCCCAGAATTTGTCCTAAAAAGACAAAAGGGTTAAACTTCCTCCCAGTTATTGGTAAAACTTTGCAATTTCTCGTTCGTAGCGTACAGGGTCGCATTTAATCAGTCTCTCTGTTGGTTAATAGGACGGAACGTGCATCCTGAATTTGATTCTTAGCCAGAACTTTTCCAGCTGTAGTACAAATGACACATACTTTTAGCCATAAAAGGATAGACATTGGTACTCCTCACTATTGAGCTATGATGCATTTTGGTTGAAGTTGGATTCTACTAGATGTTTACCTGTTTTATCGCTGTTTCTTGTGTGCAACAGCAGTGTTTACTTTGGAGTGATGAATTAATCTGAGTGATTGTACAGACGTATTCGCTGAAATGACTGGGTTAGCTTATGCCCACTGAAAGTTTGTCATCTAATATCTATAAAATAAAGACCATAATCACCATCTTACTACTAAATTCATTTGCATTTTTACCTCATATATCTATGACATTTAGGACTATTTAGATATTAATAATCGACCTCAATGGAAACCAATGATCTACGCAATATCCTTCTTACATACAACAGTACAAGAGAGACGGAAATTTGGTTCGCTAGGTTGGAATATCGCCTATGAATTTAATACATCTGATCTAAATGCAAGTCTACAATTTGTACAGAATCATTTGGACGATATGGATCCCAAACTGGTAGGTGAAATATTGCCTTTTAAAATTTCGATGTGGATTAGGTCAAAATGAACGTTAATAAGCTCTGTAGATATGGATTTTTGTCTTAGGGCAATCTTTTGTTAAATTCATTCAGGTTTATTATGTTTTAAATATTATTGGTAAGAAATACGACAGCACGACGAATATAGTCCATTTTATTTAATACGTCATTCCTACTTCATTTTGATAATTCTCCTGTTTTATGATTAAATACTGTAGTAATCTGTACCAACTAACTTGTATTCTTAGTTTAATAATCTCTTAGGTCTGTATTGAAGGTCCCAAAGCTTAAACTACACACTTACCTGACATATCACCTGTTGAAAATATTGCTTAGTGATTACAGTATATAAACATTTTGTACATTAATCGGTCAGTGGATAGTTTTCAATATAACCCATTTCTTATCCTTAGTATAAAACCTGGTTCGCTAAACAGTAGTAGGCTAATTGATATAACATCATCATATATTATATCCTGTATCAAATGATTGGAGAAAATCTATGTAAATCTCTTCTGTCCCATTGTACGTTGTAATTTAGAGCATTTTGTTATTCCCGAGTAACATTACTTTTTACTTAGAGGACAATTAGACTTAATAATACAATGATATTAACAAAAATAATACTATTGTAACAGTTACTGAATTCCAGATTGATTCTGTTAGGTGTTTTCTTCTTAGAATGGTACATAATCCTAATCAGTGGTAACGAGTGTTAGTTCGGTTAATTGTTACTTTTGATTTGCTTACATCCCTTTTATACAAAGGTTGTTAGCGGTTAAAGAATTAGTTTCACTGACAAATACATAGATATGTCTTGATATAGTTGCTACATATAGTGTTCGTCATACTATCACCATATAAACATTGATAAGTTCTACTCCTTAGTGGTGATGATAATATATTGATCAATCAGAAAGCAATATGGCAGTTCAGCGTTTCGTAATAGAGATTCATAAGTATAATTAGGGACGCTCAATTGTTGACAGTAATTTCTGAAAAATGCTAGTTCTTATCTCATAGAAGGCATGAATTTCATTTAGATAATAGATATCCTCGCTAATATATACCAAAGATGTAATGAATCTGAGTATAGGATTTCTTGTTAGTTGATCCAACTACTAAACCGTTATAATCTTTCATTCTGGTGTGAATACATGCTCTAAACAATTTTCCAGCACATTAAGAATGAATTTTTAAATTAAAAGTTTGTCAAGACAAGTGTCTGAGATTTAACTGTTTTCAGAGCGGCTTGTTTACAGCAATTAAACCATTACTAGATTGACTCCATGCAATGTCATCCGAACAGTAAGCGTTAAGTGTATGTTACCTTCACTCGCTTGTGTCGGGTTGTATCTATCTTTGTGTGACTGTGAATTGTATTGCATCGACTCAAGTAATATCTTACTTCATTCAAGCCCTTATCAACCACCCAATTTCCTCTTAGCAGTCCGTCATTCTGTAACGGTTATCAGTTTCACAATGATTTTATCGAATGATTGTTCCGATTTTTGCTTATAAAGCAATGTATACTTGCTGAATACAAACTCACTATGATTTGCAACTTGATACTGGCTTAGTCGTGGTAAGGAATCGCAAAACAAATAATCATTGCTCAGTAGTTTTCTCGTTGTCACTTTAATTTTTTTTAAATTTATTTGTTAGGGAATTGATTGGAAATGTGTCACATACATGCTTGGAGAAATTCAGTATGGCGGTCGAGTAACTGATGATTTCGATAATCGGCTTTTGAACACCTATTGCAAATTGTGGTTCAATGAAAACTTATTTAATTCAGAATTTGAATTTGCACCAGGTTATAAAATTCCACATGTGCAGAAATTAAGTGAATTTATTAATGCTATTAACGAAATCCCATTATATGATTCACCTCAAGCATTTGGATTACACGAAAATGTTAACATAACGTAAGAGAATTACCATTTTTTCCGATGCTTTATCAAAAAATAAAGAGTAGCATACAATTACTTTGTATCTTACTCTTACCTTAATGTAATGCCGATAACTGACTTTCCTGAGGAATAAAACGAATTGGTCTCAATTCTTTCTAGCGCAACTGTTCAACCAGTGTAATTGGAGAGTATTTTTTCACATATCGTATGGGTGGATCTAATGCAGCAGTTACTCTCCGTACTATGATAGAACGAAAAATAGCATACAAGCAACGATCACAGTTATGGATGACAACCAATCGAATTTCCCGTCGACAGAACACGCTGCTAGTCCATTGTGGAGAGGTTCTAATAGCTCACCACTCTTTGAAGTACATGCTGACGATGTTGTTCAGAAGAACAATGAAGCTTTACAGCCAATTCAGAGATCACAACAACTCCAACTTCCTCAAGTCGCTTAGACACTAGGTTAAATTTTAGACATGATTTTCTAAAACGTTGATATGACGTGCCATTTTTTCCTAAAACAGTTTTAAATTGCCTTACTTTCGATCACTGATATATACATTTCTAAATGATCTCATATGGAATAGTTAGTCTACCCGTTATAGTTCATTATATCTCTAATATAGTCGAAATAGTAGACTATTAAATAATAAATCTAACCCTTATTGTCCTAAAATCTATCTACCTTGACGTGGTGGTCGGGCTTGCCTATCGTGATGAAGCAACCGAGCTATACTGGCTGGAACAACCGTTCCTCAAGGTCCTACCATGTCAGACAGGTCGGTTGAAGAGCGGTAAGACTAAAAGCAACAAACCCAAGGTCCGAAGGCGAAGTCGTACTGCTGACTGTACAGAGGTGTGACAGCAGTAAGGTGTTTCCTTCAGACAACCAGCATGACAGCGATGCTGCCTTCCCACAAGGAGGGGTGGGGTTAGAAAAGGTCGACCCTAAAAATGCACACCTCACCTTACCTCACGGATTTCCGTCTCCGGCGGTAAGGCCCTTTGAAGAACGGAGCTAACACGTCGAAAACCTTCCACAAAAAGGCCGTGCGCGACCGGCCTCAAGCAGTTGTCCCTTGGGCACTGCGGTCACGCTCTCAGGTCACTGAAACCACCTCTAATCCAATTTCCTTTTCAGGTACCTCCAGAAGAACCCTTCCACGGTGTGGTCAACCGGGAAGTGATAACCGCCCTCATACCTCTAACAGCACCCAAGACCACTGTATTCATAATCAACCTTCCTCTTCAATTCCTATTATTCCTCCTACATCGACTTTCAACCCTAAACTTCCTCCTTCGGCTTCCTCCTCAAGTATCACCATAGCCAACGATTCTAGTGCTCAAAACTCTGTCCCAGGTCTACTGAAACCTCGCTCCAAACTACACATTGGAGCTTTCAACGTACGCACTCTATGTCAAATCGGTCAGCAGGCTTCCTTGGCTAAAACCCTAGAGTCTCTTTCCATTGATGTATGCTGTGTCTCCGAAACACGCATACAGGATCCCAGTGTGGTCATTCACTTGACCTCACCTCGGCAAAACGGAGAGCCAACGAGATACACCCTACGTGTATCTGGTGACCCGATGGCCAGTTCTCGTGGACTGGCAGGTGTAGGCATAGCACTAAGCATGAGGGCCGAACAAGCACTGCTAGAGTGGATCCCCGTCAACAGTCGTCTATGTGCTGTTCGGCTGAACGGCTACGTAAGAACTCGGAAGGATAGGGACACACGTCGTTGCCTTTTTGTCGTTTCTGTCTACTCTCCCACCGACTGCAGCTCAGATGATGTGAAAGATGAATTTTACAGAAAGCTGTCCGAACTTCTTCAGAAAGCTAAACGCTCAGACATAGTACTCGTAGCAGGTGATTTTAATGCTCAGATAGGAAGCTTAAACCAAACAGAAAGGCATTTAGGTGGATATTTTAGTATTCCGACACAGCGAACAGATAATGGTGATCGCCTGCTGCAGCTATGCTCAGACAATCGTTTATTTTTAGCAAACACAAATTTTAAGCATAAGGAGAGACATCGTCTAACATGGCGACCCCCTACACCAAACCAAAGATGGACTCAAATAGACCATATTGCCATCAGTCATCGTTGGAGAGGGTCGGTAGAAGATTGTCGCTCATTCTGGAGTACCTGCTTGGACTCCGACCACGCCCTAATACGGGCACGCATCTGCTTGCGCCTCACTGGACGCAAAAAAGCCACAGTAAAAAGACCCATTAGGACCGAACTGAGTAGCGAGGAAACCAAAAGTAGGTTCCAGGAACAACTGAGGTCACGATTAGGTAGTTGTGAAGACGAGGCTGACCCAGATGTTGCTTGGAAGGGCATACAATCAGCTGTGGAAACAGCAGTGACATCTATTAGTGACTTAAACCACAGAGTTGCAAGGAACCAGTGGATTTCTTCAAGGTCTGTCACACTGATGGATTCTCGCAAACTCATCCCATCAGGTTCTGAACATGATGAAGAGCGAAAACAAATCAGATCTAGGTTAAGAAAAAGTCTAAGGAACGACCGTGAGCAGTGGTGGGTAACGAAAGCAAAAGAGATGGAAAAGGCGGCGACTATAGGGAACACAAGACAGCTTTACAGACTAATAAAAGAAACTGGAATTAATAAGTCAAGTGTAAGTGAGATTATTTCGGAAAAAGATGATACTCTCATCTGCTCCCAGTCCAGACGTTTAGAACGATGGGCGGAACATTTTAGAGAACAGTTCAGCTGGCCTTCAGCTACTCTACAACTACCCTCCATTCCCAGACAATGTGAATGGAACATTGAAGTAGGTCCCCCAACTCCTGCTGAAGTTCAAAAGGCTATAGTTAATCTGAAACGAGGAAGGGCAGCTGGTCCAGATGGATTGGCTCCAGAGGTCTTTAAGGATGGTGGTCCAATTTTAGCGATTAGGTTGACTAACATTTTAGCTAAGATCTGGGAATTAGACTTTATCCCATCTGACTGGTCGCAATCACTTATCGTCCCAATATATAAGAAAGGGTCAAAATCATCCTGTGACAACCACAGAGGGATAAGTTTAACAAACATAGTATCTAAAATACTAGCCTCGATAATTATCAGACGCCTAACTAAGACTCGTGAACTACAAACTCGAGAGAACCAAGCTGGCTTCAGACCTGGTCGTGGCTGCATCGACCACATATTCACCATTCGTCAGGTTCCAGAACACAGGCATACCTATCGGCGTCCGACGATGGTGGTCTTTCTTGACTTAAAAGCAGCGTTTGACTCTGTAGACCGCGAGACTCTGTGGCAGTGTCTGTCATTGAAAGGCGTACCCCAGAAGTACATAAACCTTGTGAAGGCTCTTTACTCGAACACTACTAGTCGAGTCAGAGCTTATGGCGAACTGTCATCTACTTTTGCAACTCCAAGTGGTGTCCGTCAAGGCTGTCCACTTTCTTCATTTTTGTTTAACTTCATCATAGACCTATTGATGGAAATAACACTCTCGTCGACTGAATTCTCGGGTATTGATCTCCTTCCAGGAGGTCCACTTATCGACTTAGAATACGCAGATGATATAGTCCTGTTTGGTGAAGAGGCTGACAAAATGCAGAGTCTTCTGGTAGCACTGAGCAACAATGCCAGAATGTTTGGGATGCGCTTCTCTCCCTCTAAATGCAAGTTGTTGCTTCAGGACTGGTCTGCATCAACACCTGAACTAAGGATAGGGAGTGAAGTAGTCGAACGCGTCGACAACTTCACTTATCTTGGAAGTCTGATCAGCCCTAATGGGTTGGTGTCTGACGAAATCTCAGCACGGATTCGAAAAGCTCGATTGGCTTTTGCCAACTTGCGCCACCTATGGCGAAGGCGAGATATCCGTCTATCAATAAAAGGACGAGTATACTGCGCGGCAGTCCGTTCTGTCTTACTTTACGGCAGCGAAACATGGCCTTTAAGAGTAGAAGACACCCGTAAGCTACAAGTATTTGACCACAGATGCCTTAGAAATATTGCTGGCATCTGCTGGGATCACCGGGTAAGTAATAGTGAGGTTAGACGCAGGGTATTAGGAAATGATGGTAAATCAGTTGATGAGGTTATGAATCTTCATTGACTGAGATGGTTGGGCCACGTGTTACGTATGCCTGAACACCGATTACCACGACGTGCAATGCTAACCGGTGTAGGGGATGGTTGGAAGAAAGTTAGGGGCGGCCAAACCAAAACGTGGCATCAGTGCTTGAAGTCACTAACTTCTAGTCTTAGCCATGTTGGTAGATGCAGACTACTTGGTTGGGGTCCGCGTGACTATCGTAACCAATGGTTGGAGACTCTTTGTGACATGGCTCAGAATCGATCACAATGGCGTCGGTGTATACACTCTTTGTCTTCCCTTAAACTAAGAGATTAAAATCACTTCATACGAACTAATTCTTCCTTCCTATACTATATCCTTATTGCAACCTTTGACCTAACCACTCCTATGAATCCGGTGTTCATCTTGTTGTGCTAATGAGGTATGGCAACCTGGACCGATGCACATATGTGCCTGGTCCTACGTTGTAGCTGACTGACTGACTGACTGACAATAGTCTAGAAACCAAACATTCAATTTTCGATTAAGATTTACATGAGATGTAAAAGAAGTTTAGTGACAGAGCTCAGTAAGGCTATTAATATATGTCTATCCAATTTATCTTTTTTTATGATCTACATACGGAGATAAATGACTAAGAGGCTAAATGTATTAAGACGTTTACATATATATTTTGTACAAGTCTTCATCAAGTTTTAAATTAATAATTTCACTAAGTATAATCACTTTTGTTGGGAGCTTTTTTTCTCACATATAATTGTTTTTTCTATATGTAATATCGTATTTCATTGCTGTTGAAATCTCTATAGATATCAGAGTAAAAAGGCTAAAGTTATTTTGGATTGTATATTAAATGTCCAACCAAAAGATGCAAACACTGGCGCATCAGAAACACGTGAAGATGTAGTACGTCGTATGGCTATGGACATGCTTGACAAATTACCACCTAATTATATACAATTTGAAGTGAATGAACGTTTGAATCAAATGGGTGCACTACAACCAATGAATATCTTTCTACGTCAAGAATTAAATAGAATACAAAAGTTACTTACAATAATGCGTGAAAATCTTGTTGACTTAAAACTGGCTATTGATGGTACGATTGTAATGAGTGAACAGCTAAGACAAGCACTAGATTGTATGTATGATGCGAGAATACCCAATCAATGGAAAAAGGTATTACTGGATGAATTTCACGCGTCAATTTCCTTTAGTAAAGACTCATCCATATTTATGTAATTCATTATACAGTGTTAAAACAGATAGAACTTTGTATGATTTTCTCTATTCATCGCTTGGGTTGGTCTGAATAGTGTGGACTAGAGACGATTCTTTGTAAAACTAGAGATATTGATGCAGTATCCTAATAAATGGGTATTAGAAGACATAATACCTACTTAAAAAAGCACTATTCATTCCATATTACGAGATTACACATATACAAAATAAACGTGGCAGGAACTTATATACTGGAATCAGATTTCGTAGGTCATTTAATAACCTACAAAATTAAGGTCTGACTACCACCAGCCCCTCACTGCTCCCCATATCAAAACATTATATTTAAGGAACTCTGATTATGGCTAATTTATTCGATAATTAATTTAAATTGTAATAAACTACCCCAGCGGGCGTACATCTTTTTATTTGAGGGGACAACCAACAACGCAACTTGAGGTACTTAGAGAATAGTAGTTAACAGAATTCAAAGTAGTCCGGATAAATCGGAATGACAGTTAAATTTTAAGAATATATTTTATTGAACAAATATGTGAGAGTTGTTAACATTCCTTTTTTTAGTAAGAATGTTGTGTAATGAAAACTGTATTCTTCACCGATGACCGGAACCCATCAACTGATCTGTCAAGTTCACATAACCAGCTTGGGTCATGGGATCGCAGTGCACTGAAGCTAGTGTTTGAAGACATTTATCAGTAGGGCACACTTACAATCTCAACAAAACCTGTACTTAATCTCTTCGAATCCTCGGTAGTCTGTGGAAAACAGATAATACCGCTACTTTTTTAACACCTTTGTTGTCTGTAAATGAAGACTTTAAGAATGAGGATCAGGGTGTTTTGTTCGTGATTGTTCTAAATCTGACCAAATGATAGGTAATCCCATTAGTTTCAGATCAACGAGATCTTTTGATATGAACAAACAATATTTGCATTAGTTGCAATTGTCTCTATGTGGTACTCTAGACAATTCTTGTTTCTATGAGACTGGAAACGTGAACTCTACTTATCACCAGGATGCAAGTTATCCTGTTGACACGGGTGAAAAAGTAGTCAGTAGGTATAATTGGGTTTATGTTTGGCTTGACTCTTTCGCTCTTATTTAAACAGGTACACGATATCATTTCTTAGTGAGGGCAACAGATGGAAGTATTAAATCTCAGTATAAAAATCAATTAGTAATATCCATATTTCTCTATTTCTTATCCTTAGCTATCATGGGAATCATCTACATTAGGATTTTGGTTTACCGAATTAATTGAAAGAAATCATCAGTTTTATGAATGGTTATACAATGGACGCCCGGTATGTTTTTGGATGACAGGTTTTTTCAATCCACAAGGATTTCTTACAGCAATCAGACAAGAGGTAACACGTAGCCATAAAGGTTGGGCATTGGATACAGTTACATTATGGAATGACGTAACTAGATTTATGAAAGATGATATTCAACGTCCACCGACTGAAGGTGCATATATTCATGGATTATTTTTAGAAGGTGCTGAATTTGACCAAAAGAATTTGCGTCTAACTGAATCGAAACCAAAAATATTATATCAACCAATGCCGGTTATTCATATACAGGCTGTGGATATATCTAAGGACAAAGAGATATCCAAAGAAATGCTGAAAAACTTCTATGTATGTCCAGTGTATAAAAAACCATGTCGAACAAACCTAACCTATGTTACTTCACTCTATTTACGTTGTCCGCCTAACAAATCAGTTGATCATTGGGTATTAAGAGGTGTAGCCTTGTTGTGCGATATAAGATGAACTACTATTTTTCTTATCCTCTATTTCTATTGCTGTTATATTTGTTGATTCTGCGAATTATGATAAATAAACAAGTAGATAAATGTATACAGCCTCATCTTGTTGTGTGTGGCAATAAAAAATCAATTTATACTTCTTTAGAATGAGGAATTAGACTCAATCTTTGTTTTGTATAGAAACAGAACAGAATTTTTAACAAATACTTGTTCATATTATTTGATAAAACAAGGTCCCAGAATCGTTTTTCAATGAACAAGTGAGAGGAGTTTGTATAGATCTGACATCATTTAAATGACTGACAAAGGCCAGGTACTAACTCTACATTCTATTAAATCTTAGCTTGTTTGTACTGAAAAACTTTGATGAGAACAGAATTTTAGACCATGCAATAGTTTAATTAGGCATTGGTTGACAAAAAAACTTTTATTTGTTTAAGAAGTTGACACAACTTTCAATTCAATTAAAGGATACAGAAAGAATTCATTAGATGTTTATTTCCTCAATAATTAATAAAGTTTTATCATTTACACATTAAATTTATACGGGGTGATAAAGATAATCCACGTATGGTTTTAATATCATATTGATTTTCAATAAAAACATCTCTATGGAACATCGTTTTCCATTAAATAATAAAGTAGTTTACGACTTGAGCATAATTGTACTGGAACAAATGATCAGGAAACTACGTGTAAAATTATTGGTACCATATAGTAAGTAAATTATACGTATTTGCAGCTATATAGTTTAAGATGTGAGAGGTAGCGAAACTACCCAACTACTCAAACTGAAGTAGAGGGAGCTCACTTCAAACCTAAATGTTTTGGTGGAACGATAGAGGATCTACTGGTTTTAGGTATATAAAATCAACCTATGAGTAGAATACACATTTTAGAAACAGCAACACAAAAGTAAGAATATCTAGTTGAAAACGCAGAACTACCTATCTATAAGTTACCTTATAAATCCGATGTAAAATAAAAGATAAGCAGGAGACTTTAAATTCTTTTCCGAAATATTCGTGTTCTGCTAACTTGGTCTGCATTATTTAGAAGACAAAATTATCAAAGAATGCATACATCATCTGGTCAAGATAGTGAAGTTAAACAGCCTAGGAAGTTATAATAAACACAAGTAGATTATCACGATCTCATCTTTTTTCCTATAACTAGCAATATTGCAACTGATTTAGGTACAAGACTTCTAACTAGGTGATAGGTTCTAACGTCACTTTGCTTACTGAACCTCAAACAACCAAGGAGATTATTAGTACTCGCACAATATGGTATGATAGTCCTAAGAATGCGATGTGGTCTGCTTGATTGGTATATAAACAGAGGATGCTTGAAATATAACGATTCATATCTCAGAGGCTGAGACTTGCGTTCTGGACTCAATTGGCTGGGCTAGAAAGGGAAGCGAGACCAATCAGAACTATAGGCCGTTCTTACGTGTTTAAGCGTCTTTGGTCCGATCGATGAGTCACTGCCCTCTAATCTGCAGTCACAGGTTATAACAATTCCCCAATACCCTACATCTAACCTCACTATTACCCGGTGAGCACAGCAGATGCCAGTATTATTTCTAAAACATCTGTTGTCAAATAGTAGTAGCTTACGAGTATCTTCTACTCTTAATGGTCGCGTTTCGCAGCCGTAAAGTAGAACAGATCGAACTGTTGCGCAGTTTACTCGTTCCTTAGTTGGTAGACGGATATCTCACCTTCGCCATAGGTGACGTAAGTTAGCAGAAGTCAAACGAGCTTTTCGAATCAGTGCAGAGATTTCGTCAGACACCAACCCATTAGGGCTGACTGAACTTCCAAACAGAACTATGTCATCTACGTATTCTAGGTCGATAAGTGGGCCTCCTGACAAAAGATAAATTTCCGGAAATTCAGTCGACGAGAACGTTATTTACAGCGGTAGGTCTATGATAAAGTTGAACAAAAATAGAGATGGTGGACAGGCTTGCCGGACACCACTTGAGTTTGCAAAATCAGATGACAGTTCGCCATAAGCTCTGACTCCATTGGCAGTTTTTGAGTAAAGAGCCTTAACAAGGTTAATTTACTTCTGAGATAAACCTTTCGTTCAATGACAGACACTGCCACAGAACCACTCATTTGAAGCAACGTGTAAATCCTATATCAGACTCAAAAAACATATTTTAGAACTCAAGCTACTTATTCCATATGAGCATTTACACTGTTCCAAACTATTTTTACAGTATTTTCCGAGGCAAATAATTTAAGTGTATAATCTGAGAAATTCGAATTTCTTAATTTTTGCAAAGTTGTAGGGTCAAAACAATATTGTATTTCTTATAAATATCATTATTGAGAACAAGGATAACAATTCAAGATATATTTAAAAAGTAATTTTTTCAGGTACTAGATAAAATGTCAATGTACATAATTAAAATTACATTAGTGTCACTTATCCGCCAAGCATATGTTTTATTCTAGACCAGCTTGTAACAGTAACAGCGATCGCACCAACAGCAAACCCAGCAACCCCACCAAAGCCGCAACGTTTCCAGCCACCTGGTTTAAACATTCCTAGTGGTTTAAAGAGAATTAATTTAGTTCTGAAAACGATCATATCTGTTTTAAAATGTTTTCTAAAATTACTACTTATCACAATCTACAATTCTGCCTTTCTAATAACGCGAAAAGATTAAAAGGGCAGATGCAGAGGAAATATTCAAACAGTTTAATCTGACACACTAAAACTTATTAAGAAAACAGATATGAAATTTCGGAAAGTGACGATACTTTTCTCTTAGCATACGATTAATATTTGCCATAACTGTGAAGAATAAAGTAGCACGAGGTTACTGGTTTAGTGTTTAAAGTATTCAACTTGGTCACAGATCCGAAAGTCGTTCCGCTTATTTCAGTTTAGAAAGCAAGGAAGTACAAGTGATAGACTAAGTCAAAAAAATATGTGATTTTAATGGCAAATGATAAGTGGAAAATTTCGACGGGTTCATGCCACTTGTCAAGATTTGGTTTAATTAACCGATGGAGACAGATGCCATCGATCGAAAATCTGATTTAACAAACAGAGGGCCATACATACATTAATGACTGAGTTTGTGTATTTATATTGATTCGGGTTGGCTAATAAAAGCTTCCTACTGACTCTTGGTTTTCACGCTCAAGTAGATGATTGGGTTCGTAAATAAGACAAATGACATTACAACACAAAACTACCCAACTACCATTTGGGTGGTAAAGGAATGTAACAGTTGTTGATGAGACCCCCAAATTTAGACGATCAAGTGGTTATAAATTGTGGTCTGGTTTAGTTCGAAATCCCCCATAAGTTCGTTTATTCTATCTTCAGAATTGTAAGCGTTACATGACCTTTTTGTATCTTTCCTTCTAGACTTATTTCTTAATTTAGGGTCAATTTCGGATCATTTCCTTCGTAATGTTCTGATACGTACCACATGAAACTAATGTATTACGTGAACATTTTCGAATTCTTTTGATTACATGGTATGCTTACATAATACAAGCTCTGATGCGAGCCTGTAAATTAGTGGAAACTGCTGGGTCCTAAGCAGATAGGTTACACATAATTTTAAGAAGGAAAACAACTCAATTACAAAATGGTTGGTGTTGAAACTATTAGATAAATACGTTTCACTGACAACATGTTTTGTCTGAAACCTATGAACTTTCACATCTGATCTGGTGTGGTTTCAACAAATCTTGGCAGCTTATTGTTTGAAGTAAAAGTTATTTCCTAAAATTTCGTTGTAAGAAACGCA